CAGGCACTGTCATGGTGAGATCAAATGTAGGGAAAGATTCCTGTCCAGCACAAAGGCATGCAGTTTTCCCTCACCCTCATTCCAGACACTTTGAGTACTTGGGCTGCGTAAAATGTAGCAATTTCTAATGCAGCTATTGCAGTAAAGTAATTTTTGGGGGGAGATGGGGCACAACACTGATACAGCACCTTGCCAAGGGTGAAAGGGATCTTAGTTATGCCTCTGGCTCTATCACTGAGCTATGGCTCCTACCTAGAGCCAGGTGAGGGAATCCACAGCGCAGGAACTACAAAGTCCTAAACTGTAAGGGACTGACTTCTTTTTTCAACCATTGCCATCTTTTCCTTTCTCCCCACACTTTGTATTTCCCTCCCATTGGTTCCATTTATGGGTTTTGGAATCAGTAGGCCAGCTTCAGAGTTGGTGTACTTCCCACCCCTGTTCTGGTTTTTGGTTTTTTTGATTGGGCAGTTCTAAACTGGCCCCCAATCCCCATCTCTAAATGGCCTTCTCAGGTATTGGAGCACCACTGACAGTGGAAGAACAATGGTAGTAGACCTTTCTAATGTTACTCCAAGGAGGCATCCATGTACATACCTCCTTCTCAGAAGACAGATCTTCCTCTCTACCCACTGAGGGGGTGATGCACTATATCCTGTGGTGCCTACAATGACTGTAGGATTGTTCCCTACACAGCTAATCCTGCAGTATAAATTATGGTTGTAAATCACTGAGCTTAAGAACAATGCATAGTACATCAGGCTAAGAACTATCTACTCCACCATGTTGTTTCCAACTATATCCTGGAAGATCACAGTCAAGTAATGGGGGCAATAGGCATATTCTTTGATCCCAGAATCTGGTATGTAGAGGTGAAATGCCTCAGTACATTTAGATTACCTTTGGCTATCATACGTCTGTGAACTCACATAATCCTTTTTAAAAGTCATCTAAATTTGTGGATGTGCCCACATGAATTTTATCAATTTCATTATGAAAATTCACAGTGGATATTCTTGAGTTACATATTTGCAGTTGTCAAGGTTTCTGAATAAAAATTATCCTGTTAAAAAGATGTTCAATTTTCCCCTAGAATGGTCATTTTAATTAACATTACTTTTTAAAAGAAAATTGATCCGCTTTTAAAACCGATATATATATATATATATATATATATATGCAGGTTTTGGTGTCCTCGGGTGTCTTCCCGTGTAAAAGTTGGGGTGTCTAGGCGACGTTTCGACGAGGTCTCACTCGTCATCTTCAGGCTGGTGCTTTCGGCTTCTTGTTACTGGAACAGAGCAGGATCTCAGTGTTTGAGTTCCTATAAATACTGTTGAGGGGGTGTGGTGTATAGCCTCCAATGTTCTGGGCAGAGAGGAAGTTCCCAGGCTAGTGTGCCTTTTCTTCTTTTGTTCCTTAATTACTTGAGGGATATCTTGAGTGATTTCTTGAGTGATATTCTGAGTACCACTAGGTGGGTCATTAGGTGTGGATTAGTTGCTCAAGCCTTCGTGTCTTGACCTCTTGAACTTTGTGAAGAGTTTTTCTGAGAAGATGGCTGTACTGCACTTAGTTGTGCTCTGGCTTGGCTTCGGGTATAGGGGCGAGCTGTGGTTTTGTGCCTTGTGCCAGCCAGATCTGTGTAGGGATTGCAGGGGGGTGCAGCATCCGGAGGTGCCACCATGGTTTGGCTACTGGATGGTGTCTGTAATTTATCTGTGGAGAGGGTCTGGGTTTGGGTCTGGTGTGGTTGATTGGTGATGGCGTTCTGTGTGCCTCTGGATCTGGTGTCGGTTTTTGTGGGGAGGGCTAATTTCCAGATGTCTGGCAGGCGGGACGTGTCGTCACGCTTGTTCATGTTGTGAGGGTGTTTCTCTATCTCGATGGCTTCCATGATTATTCTCTTGTGGTGATGTTCCATGTTAAAGAGCAATTTGGAATCTGCAAAATTAATTTCGTGTCCTGTTTCTTTCATGTGTTGGAAAAGAGAGGAAGTTTTTTCTTCTTTTTTGACGGCATTCTTGTGTTCTGCGATACGTGCATTTATTCGTCTGTTTGTTTGTCCAATGTACGTGGCTGGGCAGACTTTGCAGGGTATTTCATAGACAAACAAACAGACGAATAAATGCACGTATCGCAGAACACAAGAATGCCGTCAAAAAAGAAGAAAAAACTTCCTCTCTTTTCCAACACATGAAAGAAACAGGACACGAAATTAATTTTGCAGATTCCAAATTGCTCTTTAACATGGAACATCACCACAAGAGAATAATCATGGAAGCCATCGAGATAGAGAAACACCCTCACAACATGAACAAGCGTGACGACACGTCCCGCCTGCCAGACATCTGGAAATTAGCCCTCCCCACAAAAACCGACACCAGATCCAGAGGCACACAGAACGCCATCACCAATCAACCACACCAGACCCAAACCCAGACCCTCTCCACAGATAAATTACAGACACCATCCAGTAGCCAAACCATGGTGGCACCTCCGGATGCTGCACCCCCCTGCAATCCCTACACAGATCTGGCTGGCACAAGGCACAAAACCACAGCTCGCCCCTATACCCGAAGCCAAGCCAGAGCACAACTAAGTGCAGTACAGCCATCTTCTCAGAAAAACTCTTCACAAAGTTCAAGAGGTCAAGACACGAAGGCTTGAGCAACTAATCCACACCTAATGACCCACCTAGTGGTACTCAGAATATCACTCAAGAAATCACTCAAGATATCCCTCAAGTAATTAAGGAACAAAAGAAGAAAAGGCACACTAGCCTGGGAACTTCCTCTCTGCCCAGAACATTGGAGGCTATACACCACACCCCCTCAACAGTATTTATAGGAACTCAAACACTGAGATCCTGCTCTGTTCCAGTAACAAGAAGCCGAAAGCACCAGCCTGAAGATGACGAGTGAGACCTCGTCGAAACGTCGCCTAGACACCCCAACTTTTACACGGGAAGACACCCGAGGACACCAAAACCTGCATTCCTGTACCCGTGAAAATCTACGAAAGCATATATATATATAAAATTTCTTTGGACTTAGTTTCTGTTTTTATTCAATAAGAGTTGAAGCTGTAACGTGCAGAAAAAGGCTAATGAATCACAGGCATTCTGGTTATCATAAGAGGAAAAAAAGAGGTGGATATATCTAAACAACAAGGGCTGGGAATCTCAGGCTCTGGTTCTGGATGTGGCCTCAGGCTTCTCTATCCAGCTCCTCTCCTGGCCACACTGCTCCCCATCCCTTCATCCCACCTTTGTCCTTTGCTTTTTCTTAGTGGGAATGCTTTTCTTAGTTGCCAATGCCTTTTGAGTAGCTGGATAGAGAAACGTGTGCATTCGGTATGTATATGTTGAAACCTCCGATACGAGTGTTTCTGCAATGCAGCCCCTGTACAATGTTAAGAGTCACATCCATTACTCTGAGCACTTTTACCTCTGGTCTAGCCTACTACAGTGCTACCTCAGTTCTCAAAGGTAATCCATTCCAGAAGACCATTCGACTTCCAAAATGTTTGAAAACTGAGGCACAAAGGGCTGGCTGCAAGTTCAATGGAGAAAATTGAAAAACACGCAGCGGAAGCCATTCGACTTTCAAGGTGTGTTCGAAAACAAAAGCATTTACTTCCGTGTTTTCAGCATTCGAAAATCAAAATGTTCAGCTTCTGAGACGCTTCAAAACCGAGGTACCACTGTACCAGCGTGTGGGTTTTGGAAGGTTCCTCATAAGGGACTGTGGCTCTTGCACCAATTAAGTTCCACACCCCTGTTCTTCAACACATATACTGAGCAGTAAAATTAATGAAAACTCCATCTAGTTTGCTGTTTCTGTAAGTAGGGTTTCTTGTCCTCTGCTTATCTGAATTTGGAGGGGAGGGTTATTTTATGTAAATGATATGTATTCAAAACACTCTTGGGGGCCACAAGAGTGTTTTTTTAAAGAAGTAACCAAACCAAAACATTTGCTTTGATCTTTTAAAAAAGTAATCCTCTCTAATTCCATAGAATTAAGTGATGAATCGCTGAAACAAAATTAATGGAAATGTGTAAGAGCAAACTGATAGGAAAGGCCTTTGCTTTAACAAAATTATTTTAAAACACTCCGAAGAAGAGGTGGCGCTTCTTGATTCCCTTAAGCAGAACTTTATGAGGAAAAAATAGGTGTTGGTAATGACTTACACTAAGAGTAAAAAGCAAAGGAAAAGGCAGAATCCTGTGGCAAATCAGAAGTCATCTCAGGGGCTCTCTGTGTAACATTCTGCCCTGAAGATTATTGGAGGACATTTTTCACCTATATTGCAAAGGTTGCTGGCCTCTAATGCACCCCTCCTTCTCAATCATCCAGTGCAGTACTCGTGAGGTATAAGAAGCTGGGTGCTCTTGTCACATCTGACAGCCTTTTCTGATTGTGTAAAGGGTGTTAAAAAATAGCAGTGAGCCAGTCAATGGGAAATGGAAGAGTTGAACTTCATCATGTACATGAAATACAGCTCTATACATATCGAATGTTGCTCTCAATTGTTTTTTTAACACTCTGGATCTAGTATTAGTCCAATGTCCAGTGTATTAATGTCTATAAATACTGTCAGTTCATGTTCTTTGTGTTGCATGGTAAAGAGAGGATTTTAAAATGAAGTTAAAAAGATCTGTTGTTTCAGAGTTTGTTGCCTACACGGCTCTTGTGGCCTTAGCTTAACATATGCTAAAAAAAGAGGTGTCTTTCTCTCCTGCTAATGTACTAAAAACTAATGAATACTCACAATTGTGACCTGTTGTTGTTTTTTTAAAAAATTAAACATTTATAATTCTGAGTGGCCTTACTCTTTCTTGGACCCCTCAATAGAAAACAGAATCTCTAACAGGCCACCCTTAGCAACAAAAATAACGATAGAGATAAGAACCTATTAAATGTCATGTCTGTTATTAAGTTGTTGGTCTGTGTGACGTTTTGTGTCGTGTTATTTTGGTACCATGTGTGTGTTCCTAGGGTCTGCCAGGCTTCCCCACAGTTGCTGCTCTTCACAGTAATCAGATCCTGACCGTCAAGGTTTGTGGCTGACCTGTACCAGCTAGCCAGTCTTTCTGTATCAGCATAGAAGTGTCATGAATGCTTAGTTTGTTTTTGGAAGCCGGCTAGCCCACCCTGCATATTGTAATTGTCATCACACGTGCTGCTTCAGTGCTGTTGTGCTATCCAGGTATCAGTGGAACTACCTGATGTATGAGAGGGCACAAGGCTCGGATTATGTATGCTGGTATCTCTGCCAGCTTCCAGCCGTGTGTGTTCTTAATGAGAATTTTCTTAGCAGGAACTGTATTGCAACTCTGCTTGTAAAGGGCACATAAGGATGCACAATGCCTCAAATGAATCTACGTCAAAACGCTAAGGGTAATAATGCAGTTTATTATGCATTCATGGCTTCACACTTGAGCGCATGTTTTCAATTTTTTCAAGTATTAAGCAGAAATGATTTAAGCTATCTATGGACCAGCAGACTCAGTATGTCATTTTAATGGCACCATTCTTCATGGCACAATATGCTGTTTGGAAAGTCTGACTAAATGCTGAACTGGTGCTTTGTCTCTAGGAATCTTTGCTTGTGAAGCATAATAAAGGTGTTCAGTGTAGTTCTAAATCTTGGCCAAAAAAGAATAAAAACCATAGTTGCAAGAGAAGTTTAAGAGTAAGCTTGACTTGCATTACCTTTGCATTCATTAGGTGGCAATGTAATGAATAGACGATTTCCTGCTCTCTCTCTCTTTAGATTAGTGCTGCAATTCCTTTAAAAGAAAGCATAGATTCCTTTATCGGACACAAGCACCAGTTGTTTATTATATTTGCTATTGCAAGTCTAATGTATATATTTCTATTTCTTTCTTGGGGCCTTCTGATGTCTATTCTCCAATTCTTTCACCTCTGAACTTCAACCTTTGACCTCACCTGCCTGATCAGATGGTGTTTCCTAAAATCAATCATGGGTTTCTCTCTGCTGATCAGCAGCTCATTAAACGCCGCCTCATTAAGGTAGTGCTTAATCTCTCTCTGCACCTTTTGCCATGCTTTTGCTTGCAGCTGATTGCTGAATTGTAAATACTGCTGAACCACATTGTTCATAATGAAATGGAATTTATTTATTTATTTATTTATTTATTTATTTATTTATTTGCAAAGGGCTAGAAGACACTGCATGGAGCTTTGCCGTAAACCACAAAATTAATTTTGCCAACTATTTTCTGTTAGCTTTTTACTGGAAACTGGACAGAACTTAGTGTTTTTGAAGAGGAATCATTGTGATTTAACGGTTCGTTGCCCAACCAGATTAAATTATTCCAATGTGGATATATTTGAAGCTGTAAATGTTGTTTCTCAATTGTCGCTATAAAATGGCTGCTAAGGAGAGATTAAATATTATTGCTGTTTGATTTATAGCATGAAAAGTACTGTACAGCTTTTCAGCAAGGCAGTTATATTTCAGAGCCTGCTTAGAGCTCAGTCACAGTGTCGCTTGCTGGGTCTCATGAACCAGTTTTGTAAGCTGCCCATAAAAGTTTTACGGCCTCCACACAGGTCTAATCACTCAGTCTTAAAAATGAACATGCTGGCCAAGTAAACATTTGCCCCTTTGCAGAAATCATGGGCATAGCCAAGGGAGGGCAGGGAGGGGTATCTGCCCCCCCATAAATAAAAATAAATAAAAATACATAGCAAACTGAGGTTCTGCCTCCCTGCCCCTCTAACAAAAGTCCTGGCTACCCCCATGGAAGAAATGTATCAGTACAATTTTGCAAATTTGTGTTAAACATAGTGCATAGTGTCCTAATGCAGAAAACATTCCTGTATAGTGTCCTAATGCAGAAAACAAACTTCACAAACTAAAGTCATCCTAATGTAGGTAGTCAGTGTACAATCCCCTAGACCTGCCTGTGTAATGAGGCACTATGCACATGGTTATAGGCTGCACTAGTGTGTGTTTTAGGGCTAGGAGTGTGGATTTGATTCTGTCTTTGTATCCAGAACTTTAGGTGAAAGTCCCATTTCAGACGGCTGACACTAGCATCTTCCAAAGCATATTCAACAGCAGCCTCACATAGAGTACATTGCAGTCATCCAAGCAGGAAGCATGTGAAAACACCGATAACTGAGGCCAAATCCTTGTCTGAGAGGATCAGCCACAGCCAGCTTACTAGCATACGTTGGCTATGGTCCTAGTCTCTGCTGCCACCTGAGAATCCATCAGTAGTGCCAATAAGTTCTTTGAGGCTGAGAGGTTGGAGTCCAGTCCCCTTTTCTCCACACACAGGTGCTGTGCTGTCAAATGTGACAGCACCAACCATCTTGATGGTTCTGCACACAGCTGGATCAAGATCCTTGTTTAACATATACTTTGAGCTCTTTTGCCCCTTCAGGAACTCTTCCCTTGAATATCGCCTCTCTCTCTCTCTCTCCTACTGTGTTTTGTGCAATTGAGAGCTTATCTGCTAAGATTCGAAAGCTGTCTACTAATGCTGATTTTACTGACTGGTCTTCAGGGTGACCAAGGACAAGCTGGACCCCCGGGGCCTCCGGGGCCTCCTGGACCAAGGGGCCCTCCTGGAGACACTGGCAAAGATGGCCCTCGCGGAATGCCTGGCTTACCGGTGAGTCAGCCATCCATGTGTGTTAAGATCATAGATGTAGAAAGGCTTCTTATAGCTGAGAAGTATTCATTATCCATGTTTTGTGAGTGGAATTACAGATGCACATTGGGAATGTGTGATGCTACTTGCAGATACAGTGTGACTAGGCACTGTAATATACCACATTTTTTTGCTCTATTGGACTCACTTTTCCGCTCCTAAAAAGTAAGGGGAAATGTGTGTGCGTCTTATGGAGTGAATGCAGGCTGCGCCAGCTATCCCAGAAGCCAGAACAGCAAGAGGGATCGCTGTTTTCGCTGCGCAGCAATCCCTCTTGCTGTTCTGGCTTCTGGGATTCAGAATATTTTTTTTCTTGTTTTCCTCCTCCAAAAACTAGGTGCGTCTTGTGCGTCTTATAGAGCAAAAAATACGGGAATAATAATAATAGTGGTGATGGTGTTTAATTGTTTTTTTAATTATTGTTTTGTCAATGTTTTTAGCAATCTTGTTTTTCCCCCTGCAAGTCACCTAGAGTTCCATCAGAGGAAAAGGCAGGTATAAGTAATAACGTCAGAAATAATACTCAGATGCCCTGGTCTTCTATCTTCAATACAGATTGATCTTTCCAAATAATTTTAGATAGCTGGCTTGCATTCACTTTACAGAACTGCTATGTGGCTGTATTGCACTCATAGCAAAAGCATTTCTGCACAACCTTCATTCTGAATAACCTTTAAAAAGCAAAGGCATTGCATTTGATTTTATAGCTGCTTCTTCAGTGATAGTTAACATTAAGAGAAGATAAGCAAATAGTCTTTAATTATTAATGTGTGTGTGTTTGATTTCTTATTGAGTAAGGAAGCATTTTTATTTTTACTTTTAGACCAGGGTGACTAATATGTGGCCTTCTAGATGTTGCTGGACTCTCAACTCCCATCAGTGATGATAGTTGTAGTTTAGCACCGCCTGGGAAGCAGCCCCTCATTTAATCATTTATAATTTGCTCTTATGTCACCTGACTCATTTTCAAAACATTGACATATTTGTCTTCCAGAGGACGATGACTATTGACTTAAATCATAGCACCTTATAATCCCTGGCCTGATAGGTACTTGATCAACTCTTAGATCTGATTCTATGTCTAAAATTAGAACTGCCCTATAACACTTAAAGGGGACGCGGGTGGCGCTGTGGGTTAAAGCCTCAGCACCTAGGGCTTGCCGATCGAAAGGTCGGCGGTTCGAATCCCCGTGGCGGGGTGCGCTCCCGTTGCTTGGTCCCAGCGCCTGCCAACCTAGCAGTTCGAAAGCACCCCCGGGTGCAAGTAGATAAATAGGGACCGCTTACCAGCGGGAAGGTAAACGGCGTTTCTGTGTGCGGCTCTGGCTCGCCAGAGCAGCGATGTCACGCTGGCCACGTGACCCGGAAGTGTCTGCGGACAGCGCTGGCCCCTGGCCTCTTAAGTGAGATGGGCGCACAACCCTAGAGTCTGGCAAGACTGGCCCGTACGGGCAGGGGTACCTTTACCTTTATAACACTTAAAAATATTGTTACATGCCACCCAGCTAATTAAAGAGCATATCCTCTTAGAACACTGCCAGATCTGTGGCACATAGAATCTAGTCACATTTCTGTGAGCACCAGCGGCCAGGAAATTCTGGTAAGCAAGGCATAGCAGGTGCTCTCCAAATGGTCACAAATTCGTCAATAGATATTTCACTGCAATATAACAAAGAGACAATTGGCATTAAAAGAACATAGGAAGTGCCCTGCTTCATGCAATTGCCAATTCAGTGCTTTATGGAAGCCCCAAAGCAGGCACAGAGATGGTTTTATACATACCATTTTGCAGCGTGCTGATTAAGCAGTGTATAAATCCTGTTAAAAAAGAAAAAAAGAACACGCCCTGTTGTTGGTCCGCAGCATCTGATGCTCAGTGGCCTCTGAACGTGGCGGGTGGAAATTAGTGTTGTGGTTGTCAAGTTGTTTCGTCAGGCCAAGCATTACAGTCCCCCCCATGCACCATTCTGGAGGTTCTCCCAACCCAGTTTTGGGGGGCATGTGGCAGGAGAAGAAAGCCCAGGTGCACAGGAAGAAGTTCTTCTGCAGGGCTTCCACTGAGAGGACTGATTTGATGAATCCCATCCAGAATCTCCATGTAGCTTTCATCACTAATGGCCATTGATAGACATATCCTCCATAACTTTGTCTATTCCAATCCCCTTTTAAAAGCCATCTAGACTTTTCAGATGCAGGATGCACTTTTAACCCAAGCATGTACTTGAGGACACATTCCTTAGTCTTTTACTGTTCTAGTGCTCCTGTTATGGCCCACCTTGGATCAAGCTGTGTTCCTGACCCACCAGTTTAAGACCAGTGATCTAGACTACTTGCCATCCCGTAGCAGTTAACTCTATGATTTATTAAAGCACAAACTGAATGTAAACAATGGCATTGATGCTGATAACATTTTGTGTTTAAGGGAGAGCCAGGAAAGCCAGGTGAACAAGGCTTGTTGGTAAGTCCTCATTTCTTTAACTGATAAGAACAACCTGCAAGAAGTCTTATAGTTTCCTTTCTCTAATCATTTCCTTTTGCTGCAAGATATATGGCATGCCACTCGTGGGGCCAATGGGAGTTGCAAATTAAATCATCTGGCAAAGTCAAGAAAGAACTGGCAGAGATCTCTATGCACTTGAGTTTTCACAAACATAAGAAAAAGTTGGAACTTGTAGATTTTTTGTTTTCTTTTGGAAAGGGTATATCTTATAGCATTAACACTCATTCTCTTCAAAATCTTAATGCTATTCACAAGGCCCTAATCATTAAATAGTTCTCTCTTGTCCTGCCATTTAGATAGGCCTGGAAGAAAACATAGCAGTTGATAGCAATTCTGAATATCAATGGAGATCTTCAAATTGTCACATATCAGATATTTCACTGTTTTATTACAAAGGGACACCTGATATTTAAGAAGAGGAGAAGAACCCTTCTGGGTGTGACTATCTACCTAGAAGAACCATCCTGCTTCTTACAATGGCCAACTTGGGCTTGAAATAATGACCAAGCAATAGCTGGGTTTCTAATTATGACTATCATTCCTTATAGACATTTCAGGTTGGGAAAACCATGGTAAAGTACTGCATCAAAACCAACCCAAAGCTACAGTGAAACACTAGCTCTGCTTTCTGCCTAACCAGGGACCCATGTGCTTTGCTTAAGAGGCTTTATGTTTTCAGAAATGAGGAGCAGCTATTGGTTCTTTATCTCAGAATTTTAGATGCGCAACATGATACCTGGAATATGTAGCAGCGACTTTATTCAGCCTGCAATATCCATATTGGGCCTAGGTCTACCTTATGGCTCCAATATAGTTTTTGTACTCCCACCCCCAACACCCTGCTTTTTGCATAATTTTGCCTGATGAAGAGTTCTGCAGAACTCAAAAGCTTGCCAGTGTTAATTTTTGTGATATTTTGACGGAGTCTAATGAAGTGGATTTTGGAGGGTTTTTTCCTTATTGACCAACACAGCTGCTTTTAAAATCTGTCTATCTGTCTGTCTATCTATCTATCTATCTATCTATCTACAACAACATATCCTGACAGACCTCCCTGACTTGTCTTTACTTAAATGTTCATTGTTCAAAACTGCAGGTTATTCATATTCACTCTGCTATTTAGCTATCCATTTATCTCCTTTGGTATATAAATAGCTATAATTCCATTGTTCTCTCTGGGAGCTTATTGAAAGGTGGGGCAGGGGAGAGAGAGAAAGAAAGAGAGAGTCATAAATAGATCATGAACAGGTCATCTGCAAAGGCTTTATAGCTTGGAGGGCCACGCCTCCCTTACTCCCAATGGCATGGGAGAAATCCCTCCAAGGAACAAGGCTGCTGTTTGGCTCAACTCAATGAGCTGAAAGTTCACAGGGTAAGGAGCACTTGTCAGTATGAATAAATTCTGAAGTGTATTTTTGTGGGAGGTTTTAATTACAATTGGCATATCCATGCACAAATGCTGGAGGCGGACACTTTGCTGGAAAAAAGTGATATAATGCGTGATTCATATAATAGAAGAACTCAGCAATATTTGGAAGTACATGAGCATACGTACACAAGACCCGAGAGATACTTTAAATTCCAGTGTAAAACTACTATCACTTATTAAAAGCCTTAACTTTAAAGGGCATATTTCGTTCCAGGCGCAAACATTATAATTATAATACATTACAATGATTGCTATTTATTTATATCCAACCTTTTTCTCCAGAGAGCTCAAAGTTGTGTACATAGTTCTCCCCTTCCTTATTTAATCCCCAGAACAACTGCAAAGAGGCAGTAACTGGTTCACAATCACCCAGTAAGCTTCATGGCTGAGTGGGGATTTGAGCCCTGGTCTCCCAGGTCCTAGTCCGACACTCTGATCACTGTGGCAATCTGTACTTGTACATGATGCTTGCATATCATGTATAATACTGGTAAATTATGCCTAGTTTGGTAGAGCAGTGGAAAGTGCATGAGAAATCAGCAAGGTGTATTCTATTCTGTGGTAGGAGAGGAGGGAGAGACAGCAGAGTGGTTGCCTTTAACAACCGTCTGGCCGTTTGCTGCTAGCTTGTAACTAGAGTGACAAGGCTTAATGAAAGATGAAGGCCTAGTCATGCTAACCCCCTCCCTGCTTCAGATTAGTTCTTGTAGAGGTATGGCCTAAAACAAAGATAGCGGCAGAATGTGACAAGCAACCTCTGCTCTGCCATGAGAGTGGAGTTTGGTCCAGGTTGTGCTAGAGCGGCGTGGCCTTGGCCAGGAATGGGAAACTTGCAGTCCACTAGATGTCGTTGGACTACAGTTCCCATCAACCATGACCATTGGCCATGGTGACTGTAACTAATGGGAGTTGAAATCCAACAACATCTGGAGATCCACAGGCTTAGTGGGTGATTTGCTTTGAGGGAGTTGGTGAGGAGTGAAGGAAGACAGAAGTCTGCTAATCCTTTTGTCAGGATTTCAAAATATGGAACAAATTGTAGAAGTCAGGTTTTCTTGAAACTTGGATTTAAATCCCCAACAAGTCAATTTATAGAAGTTGTTGTTGTTAACTACCACAACCCCCAAGTTCCTTACACAATGATGATTGTGGATGGAGAGTAAACATGTCTTCCAAAATCATTCATTACATGGGTAAATCATGCATTGAATGCCTTTTTTCCACGCCTAATGTTATCATGCTAGTACTTTTCCCTCAGGTTTTAGTTCCTCTTGACAAGCTATTTTGTACTAGGGAAATATGTCCTTGACAAAATGTTGTCATGTTATCATCTGTCAAATACATAATATGAGACTCAGCTATACAGCTGCAAATAAAACGTTTCAAGTGTGTTTTAAGTGCAATATACAATGTGACACTGGATGGCAATGGTGAACCTTATGGAAAATTCAATGTATTTTTTAAAACGCTTTTTTTAAAAAAAAGCATTTTGAGAATGGTTTTTATATGTATGTAGATTCCAACATGGAAAGTTGAAACTAGCTTTTACCAGGTATTAGGAATAGAAAATGCTGTCCAACAGTGGCAGATTTATTGGTATCAGAAGAGCCAGGTTGGGGTGGAATGTAGAAAGTTAACATGGATATAAGCAGGAGTTGGAATTTTTGCAGAACTTCTAGGTTGGCAGGAGCAGGGACCGAGCAACGGGAGCTCACCCCACTGCAGGAATTCGAACCACCGATCTTCTGATTGGCAAGTCCTAGGCTCTGTGGTTTAGACCAGTGTTTCCCAACCGGTGTTCCGCGGCACACTAGTGTACCGCGAGACGTTGCCTGGTGTGCCGTGGGAGGGAGGCGGGCGAGTCGGGCGGCGAGAGGCGGGGCGGCGGCGGCATCTCCTGCTGGATGCAAATCCAAACATGGTGGGTGCCTCCCTCGCTCCTTTGTAGGCGGACCATCGAGAGAGAAAGAAAAGGAGGCGAAAGAGCGAGAGAAGGCGCCTGCGCGGAAAGAGGAGCGAGCAGTGCGCCTGCGCGCCGCGGCGCCCGAGTGCAGTGAAATTCCGTGAAGAGGGGAGGGGGGCTGGAAAAGAGAGAAAGGAAAGATTTTTCATTTTTTTAAAAAAAAAAAAAGGAAGAGGGAAAGAAGAGAAAAAGCGGCAGAAGCTGAGGGGAAGGTTTCCGTGAGGGAGAGAGAGAGAAACGCGGGGCTGGCGGGACCCCTCCTCTTCCGCCACGCGTCGCCCGCCACTGCCTCAGAATCTCCTCAGGAGCGGCGGCGGCTGCTCCCCCTCGCCCCCTTCCTCCCCCCCAGCCCCCTCCCAACCCCCGGACAAGGGACGCGAGGCGGCGCCGCTGAGAGGACGGGAAGGCCCCCGGCGGCGGGGTCGGCTCGAGCAAGGAGGGGCGAGCGCTAGCCGGCTGGCTCTAGCCCGGCAAGAGGAGGAGGAGGAGGAGCACGCCGTCGCTTCCACAGCGGCCGCCCCACACTCCCCTCCCCGGGCACCGGCGGGGAGAATGACGGAGCTCCAGTCCGCGCTGCTACTGCGGAGACAGCTGGCAGGTCGGTCCGTCCGTCGGTCGGGGCAAAACACACCACAGCGCAGGCAGAGGCAGGCAGGCCCGTCTCTCCCTGCCCCCCCTCGGACCTGGCCGGCCTGGGGTTTGCACCCCAAACATTCATGTCCACCCCAGCTACACAAGCCACACCTTGCTCTCAGTTCGATCTGTCAAATAACTCACCTATCATTCACATAAAGAACCTAGTCTATCCTCAAACGTCAGAATGTACCTCCTCTCTAGCTTCCCCCACTTCATCTAGGCACTTTCAGCCCTTACTTAACCCACCCCAGCCTGCTTACTCTTCCTTCATTTGCTATAAAACCTAATACAGAGAGAGACTGAGAGCTGTTGACGAAGAGCTACGTGTGTGTCTTTCTTCGATTCCAGCCAGAATATCAGCTTTGTGTTCAGCCAAACAGGCCCAGGTTGCGCACTGAATAAAGTATTTTATAATTTTTCATATTTCTGTTTACTTACTATTTCATAATAAAGTAATTATAAAATACTTTCTTTGTGTTTATTTGATTCCTATTAAAGAGAGTTACTTTATATATAGTCAATATAGGCACAGAGTTAATTTTTTAAACATTTTCTAATGGTGGTGTGCCTCGAGATTTTTTTCATGAAACAAGTGTGCCTTTGCCCAAAAAAGGTTGGGAAACACTGGTTTAGACCACAGTGCCACCCGCGTCCCTTTGCAGCTTGTAGTTAATGCTAAACAGAGGAGAAAAAACATCCATTATACATTTCTAGTACAGAGTTTTGCATTTCCTTGATGTGAAAAACATCGGCTGATTTTGACCCAGCATAGGAACATTTACACAATGGGGCATTTTAATTGGTCATTTAAAGCTAAATTGGCTGCATTATTATGCTAATTGAATTACTGTTGTTGTTTTTTGCTTTCCAGGGGCCTCAGGGGCCTCCAGGACAAAAGGTATAGTATAAACGATGCTGTGAAAGTGATTATACTTCGTACTGCCAAATTTCATGCTGTCAGAATGAAGGGCATTAGCTACTGTATCCCACACTGAAGCAGTTAGTTTAGTCTGTGTCAAGCTCTGTTTCCCCAAAATACATAGCATGAGATTCCCAATCCTCCGCCCCTCTGTATGGGAAAGGAGCTTGAGCAATGCCAAGCAAGACTTGTTTTCGATCCATCTGTTGAACTTCCATGTTACAGAAGTTACTACAGTTTTCTTCTTCAACACTGGGAAACTGATGAAACCAAACTTAAAACATTGTGGGATATACAGCTAGAGTTTCAAATGAGAGGCATGGTGTTATTCAAATAGATCACTGCCATATGACACACACACACCCCCAAAAAAATTCCAAACGAAACAAAGGATTCTAGGTGTCGCTGATAAATGGTGCTTGGTGGCTGGCCAGTGTCTTCCTATTTCTATAGTAACCTGAGAGCTCACTTCCTGTGAATGCTTCCGATATTACTTACACTCATCAGGGTTTACGGCTAAAGTTTGATAGAGTGAACCTGCGATTTATGGACTGCAGCATTAAACCAATACTAAATATATCAAAACTAAAAAGAGTTTAAATGGGTTTTTGCATTTAACCCAGCCCCCCCCCCCAAATCAGCTCACGGCAAATTGTTTTAAAAGCTATCTTTAAAAGTTAATGTATTATAGTAGGTGTTTCATAAAACTAAAATGTTTAGGAAGAAGCTGAAGAAAGCTGAAAAGAAAAATTAGTAGCATTGCACGTGGGGAAAAGCATGAATCTTCTGTTTCAAAGTCGCAGACATAATTTCCTTTTCTAACATCACCATCCTTACAAAATCAAGTAAAACATTGCTAGTATGATACTAGTAAGTAGGGTTGCAATGAACATGGAGTGGTTAGCAGTAACGGCAGACATTAAAGCTGCTCTAATCTGCTTATCGGGACGCGGGTGGCGCTGTGGGTAAAACCTCAGCGCCTAGGACTTGCCGATCGTCAGGTCGGCGGTTCGAATCCCCGCGGCGGGGTGCGCTCCCGTTGCTCGGTCCCAGCGCCTGCCAACCTAGCAGTTCGAAAGCACCCCCGGGTGCAAGTAGATAAATAGGGACCGCTTTCTAGCGGGAAGGTAAACGGCGTTCCGTGTGCAGCTCTGGCTCGCCAGAGCAGCGATGTCACGCTGGCCACGTGACCCGGAAGTGTCTGCGGACAGCGCTGGTTCCCGGCCTATAGAGTGAGATGAGCGCACAACCCTAGAGTCTGGCAAGACTGGCCCGTACGGGCAGGGGTACCTTTACCTTTACCTTAATCTGCTTATCACCACTTTAGAGTTACGGCAAGAGATGCGGGAGATCTATAGCTACAGATCCCATTTTGAAAACATCCCCCCACATTCTATATTCCTGGAAAGAAACTAGAAGACAAACAAATACTATATGAGTATCCAGTACTTTGGCATTTACCCCCTCACTACAGTATGTCTTCTATTGTTAAATTTCAGTAATGCTCTGTAATGGCCATTTCATTCACTGTTGACATTCCCAGCCTTTTTTCATGTGACAGTAGCCCATGGATATGCTGCCAAATCTGTTAGAATATCTTCAAGGTTAGGGGCAACTTCATTCCAACACGGACAGGTTGAAATCCAACCTAGTGCTTCTGATTCACATCTGCTGGAAGCCTATGATCACTGGCAATTCTTGCTGCCTCTCCCTTTTGTTATGTTGTTACATGGACAATATTGAAAAGTATTGTTTATTTTTAGAACCTTCTTCACAAATAAGGCTTAGGCATAGGGTACAGAAAGATTTTATCCTGCATTGGACCAGCTACAACAGTTGTTCCAGTAACTAAGTTGGATCTTTAAGGAAGTAAAGTACCCAAATGAGCTTAAGAAGTTAGTAGCCAATAAATGTAACTTAATTTTATTAAATCCCCATTGGATAATCCTAGCAGCAGCACCTTTGTCCTATGGGCTTGCTTCTTATCATTGTAGTACCTCACAAATACCTTCCGCTAGAGGTAAGTCTTCTAATTTAAAACTGAACCAGAAAGAAAAGGGGAATCTAATTGCCAGGGGTTCCTAAAATGTTTGCAACAAGTCCTGGCTAATGATAGTTGTTGTCATGGGCAACTTTTCCATCTGTTCCTCTTTCCTTTGCTACAAGCAGGCCTTTGGAACAGATGTTTAATCACATATGGCACGATCTGAAGAATTGTTCAGAAATGAAAGATAAATTGGTGGTTTTGATTTATTTCTTTCTTTAAAACTTACTGATGTGCTGGTGTACACTGCACGGCTGTTTCGTTCAAATTTCAAGCTGTCATTGAAAATGCATAAAGGCCAACATACAAATTATTCCAGAAAGACAGAAGGACATCTAACTAATAGCAAATTGCACTATAGCTGGTTTATATATATAATTATTTAAATTAAAACCACTTTCAATGCTGGGCTCCATTTCCGATTTAATTTACCCACTGATTGAGGGCGATAAAACTGATGCCATTATGAAGGATCAGGATATTTTGACAATTTTATGTTTAATTATTTCAAATTATATCTTTAAGGCATTGATGATATACCAGGTGGATCATAGTAACATTGTTCCTATAATTGCACATGCTAGATGTTAGGGGTTACTCTTCAAAATAGGTACTACTGAAGGATAAGTGTTTAATTTTTAGTGTTCTGTACAAGTGTCAAAGGATGTACAAATATCATTCAGTTAATTGAAAACTATGTTTAAGAAAAGTTAGGAAGTTCTTGACTAATAAAATTCTGAATTCATTATATAACTAGAAGAGCTTTATTGAATATATAAATAGAGGTGCTATCCTCCACAAATCCATGGGCTTATATGGAATGACATATTTAGAAAACATTGATGAATATTTATCCATCTTCTATTTTGTTTTTGGTGTGGGCCTCAAGAAAGCTGTGCGTGTATTCAGAGATATTTTGTGTGTTCTAAATATGAGTTGATCATCTTTTTTTGTTGTTTACACTTTTACTGGTTATACTTTTTCTGCTACTGCTCCATAATAATAATAATTTTTTGTAATTTTGTAATTTTTTTAAAAAAGATTCTCACGCACACAAGCTTGAAAATGTGACAGCTAACCAAGTGTAATTCTGAATCAAAATAACAATTATATAAAAATAAGTCATATTTCAGAAGAGTAGTGTCCAAGTTTACAGAACAAGGCCACTGAAATTTCAGTGGGTTAATTAAACTCCTCAGTTATAATAACATATGGAACGAAAGCACTGCATTTGCACTGAGGTATCTCACAAGGAGTGTGATATATTTTCCTGAATCCATATATGTGCTTCTCTTCAGGGTTCCTTTGGTGCACCTGGTATCCCAGGGATGGATGGACAACAGGTGAGTCCCACACAGTTTTATACCCTTGTTTTTTGTTTGTAGTAGCAAAAATATTATTTTTGCAAATCCAGTTAATCAGGGCATGCATTTTTCTAATTAAAAAAAGAAAAAAGCAAGTGATCAATAAAGTAAATAATAAATTAAGTCATGGGCCCAGTGAATTTATTGGATAGGAAATAACCACCCCTACACAATCAACAACGCGTAACAAAAATGGCTGCAATCCAACACATTGTTTCCATGCATACGAATCTAACTGAAATGAATGGGGCTTAAGAAGTGAATTGGCACTGTGGGATTTTTGCCTTTTCTGATGACAGAGAGATTACAGAGGAATCTATCGAGATAAGAAACATATGAAGAAAATAAAAATTCATCCTGGAAAGAAGGGGAAAATGCAAATGAATGCATTTGGCAATACGTAAGCTAGAGGCTTTTACCCACAGCGGGTGGCGCTGTGGGTAAAAGCCTCAGTGCCTAGGGCTTGCCGATCGAAAGGTCGGCAGTTCGAATCCCCGCGGCGGGGTGCGCTCCCGTTGCTCGGTCCCAGCGCCTGCCAACCTAGCAGTTCGAAAGCACTCCCGGGTGCAAGTAGATAAATAGGGACCGCTTACTGGCGGGAAGGTAAACGGCGTTTCCGTGTGCGGCTCTGGCTCGCCAGAGCAGCGATGTCACGCTGGCCACGTGACCCGGAAGTGTCTCCGGACAGCGCTGGCCCCCAGCCTCTTGAGTGAGATGGGCGCACAACCCTAGAGTCTGTCAAGACTGGCCCGTACGGGCAGGGGTACCTTTACCTTAAGCTAGAGATGATCTAAAATAAAGCTAAATGGGAAAAGAAGTAGTCGTGGCTTAGATTGCCCATAACATGTGTTCAGTAGTTCAACTCTTTCAGTTGCGTCACCAAATTGGGTCACAGTTCACCGTGACTGGCAGCCTGCATTCAGTCTCTTACTAAAACAGCAGGGTTTTTTCACATCAGCACTATAGACTGTTGGCAAAGCTGGTTATACATAATGTCTGGCCTGACACTTGAAAAATACTGTGCATCTATTGTTCTCATAAACATTAACTTTTATATCAAACTCGTTTTAAAAATTATGTGACAGCCACAATGTAATGGAGTTATTGCATTTATACAAGAGCAAGTCATTGCACACAACAGTACGAGTACATAAAATTTCGTGCCCAAACTGTAACAGTAACCACATTGTTTGTATGTGATTTGTAGTGTTAGAATTTACAACTACCGGTGTGTGGCTCTTGGCTAATAAGGAGTAAATATTTTAATGACATGTAATTTAGGTATTAACAAATAATAAGCCTCTTACTGCTACACTATTGGAGACAGTAGGGCTTTTAGAAAGCATTGTGCTTATCAAATTAGAGGGAGAAACTTTCCTATAGCTTATGAACAAGTGTCTGTTTGTATCTACATTTTCAGCCGTGGGTGCTGATGAAAATTGCCTTCCTTTCCAGGATGCAATGGCTAAAACAGCATGTCTTATGGATTTCAACTTATACCTGCAATTGCTAGAAACTTGAAACTCAGTCATGTAAACTCATACATATCATGGTGGCAGAGGTCCACCCAGTGCATGGGTCCACAAATTGCAGAAAGGGTAGGAATGGGATGGCAAATTTTCTGTGAAATTCCCGTGCTGAATGCCTCAGTGCTGAGTTTGAGGCTGCTACAGGATAACAAACTACATTTTTGCAAAGTCTCTCAGCCTGATCTGAAAACTCACATAGTATTTCCATCAAGGCCTAGGTGACCCATCTGAACTGCAGTCCAAGTGGTTTATCACTTGGATAGCAACAAGGGATGGAGGAATTGGTCAATTTAACTGTGTCTCGGTTTCTCATTTTTCCAATCTTAAGTTCTGCTCTCAACATTTCCACATCATTTTGCTTTTTTTAAAAAAAAAGAAAAACAGTTCACATAAAAATTCACCAGCATTTTAGTGTGGTTTTCACAAATATACACATTTTGTATGCAGTTTTGCCTAAAGTACAGTATGTTATTTTCACTAAATATATGCATATGTACACAGTTTACCCTAGTTTATGTATTTTTTTTACATATTTGCTTGGCTGGAGAACTTCGTTGAAAATTCGGAAAACTGCAAATTTCAAAAGATGGCTTTGTTTCAGTTTGTGGATTGTTTTGAGAAGTGCAAACTTAGTATGTTTGCGTTTAAATGTGAACTGAGTCAAATTTCTTTCCTATCCATCCTTAGCAGTGACAGAGTCATAATAATTTTGGGATTTTTTTACAAGCTTGACAGCTCCTAATAGAATGTGTGCTCCTTCCTTTAGAAGCATTTTTTTTTTTTAAAGCCAGCTTCCTCTTAAAAAAAAAAAGTCTGGCTAGTATCTAAGTGCTGAACATAGCGCCATATGCTTATATACATTTTTACAGTACTATTTTTCTAGAAAAAGGGGTGCCAGAACTCACCATGAACACCTCCCTCGTTCTCTTAGAATGGCAATGGCGCCCACCTGAGAGGTGCCAGAACTGGGTACCGGCAAGTTCTAGCTGAAGAATGCATTTTTCATCTTCCACTTTCAGTGGCTGAAAAAAACCTTTGCCTTTATCCTCTTTTACTATATATATGTTACAATTTAAATCAACTAAGTCACAAACCATCTATATGCTTTGTGGTAATGAATTTCATAAGTTAACTTTGGTCATTATTATAGCAATTAAAGGGAGCAGGGATGTTTAACAGTCCAATTCCATAAATTAATCTTCATTATACGCATCATATGAATCCAGATTTGCTTCACAGTAATCTTTAAATATAATCTTATTTGAGAAGCAGGAAGATCCTTTAACTGGGGAAATATACAGTGGTACCTTGGGTTAGAGACACTTCAGGTTCTAGACGCTTCAGGTTACAGACTCTGCTAACCCAGAAATAGTACCTCGGGTTAAGAACTTTGCTTCAGGATGAAAACAGAAATTGTGTGATGGCAGCAGGAGGCCCTATTAGCTAAAGTGGTACCTCAGGTTAAGAACAGTTTCAGGTTAACAACGGACCTCCGGAATGAATTAAGTTCTTAACCCGAGGTACCACTGTACTGTATATGATTTCACAACTGTTAGAGTTGCTTCCGCAGGGCATGTTTAAATGTTGTGTAGCTCAGAAAAAAAGAAGACAATATTAAGAGCATAAAAACAGCTGCTGTTTTTGTGTCTTCATCTGTTTTCACAGTTTGTGTTGTACATCACAGGTATGCAGGTTAGAGTGGGAGGAGATTAGCATTACATCATTTTATGAAAGGAGATCCTAGGATTCCTAAGGAGCTAAGGACCCACTAGGCCAGTTCTCAAGAACATGTTTCTCCTGGAGCTCTGAAGACTCTCTGGTCACAAGGGGGACAGGCAAATCCCTGACAATGCAATGGAAGGTTATATTCCAGTTTTAATTACTATGTGCACAAAGGCATAGACCCAGGTCTGTCTTGGAACTGGAAATCAGAAAGCTTCTCATGAATTATAAGCAACCACCAGTGAAAGGCGAAAGATTTATACGATCTGAAGAGAAACCGTCCTTATAAGCAACCACCAGTGATCTCTTCAAATGCTGCATAGATTAAAAACAAAGGATCAGGGCCATAACATATACTAACAGAGAAAAGTTAATAATGTGTTCACACAGGTGTTCTTTTTAAACATTAGCCTTCTGTATTTGGCAGCAGCCCAGCAGTTTTGCTGCCAGAAGGTTAATCCTTCAAATAGGATACAAAGCCAAGGTTCTGCCAGTTTTGTGAGATGCAGGGTATTGTTATGCAAGATGTGATGTCAAATGGAGCTGAGATAACTTTAGTGCCTGGTGTAATTCTCCCATTGTCCATTATAGACCTCGGCTGCTCTGCAGTCTCAGACTAGCCTTTTGAGGAATCAGTGTTTCCACTTTCAAAACCAGACTGAACTGAATTGAAGCTGGCTGTGGGTTGCTTGCTAAAGTCTTTGGCTTCATCCTTACACATTTGTGGCTTTTTACTAAAGGCCTATGATGCAAACAGAAGGCCTTAAGACTCACAGCTGAAAAGCTGTATTCCTTAAAGCTGTATTCCTCTAAAATTCTTATTCTGGAATAGTTCCATAGACTTCAGCAAGGAGATCTCCTTTCAGTGATCTGAGGACTATGGACGTAATACTTTTTTCTCAACCAATACGTGGTCAATAGCAAAAATAAACAGACTGCTACTGCTGTTCCTTCTGCTTAAGCAACATTCTCTGTGCAGTGGTTTGGCTTCTGTCATAGCATCACTATCACAGTATCACTATGATTGGAGCATCACTAATTGTCACCTGAGTTGATGAAGCTCATTTGACATGGACATGAAACTGAGCCTTTAGTCTTATTTGCCCAGCCTTGTGGAATGCTCTTCCAGTAGAGATTCAACAGCTGCCTTCTCTATTGACCATTAAGGTTTCCTGAAAACTTTACTTTGTAACAGGTTTATGTAGAGCAGTAAGTTAAACACTTTCTGAATAGTAATTTCCTTTAGATTTTTTAAAAGTGGTTTATATTGTGTGTATATAACTGTTGTAATCCACTTATGAAATAGCAGCATACAGTACAGGTTTAAAAAATAAATAAATAAATGCAATCACTACCATGTCATTCTGGTGTTTGTAGCTGGAGTGCAGTTCTGAGCAACACAAAGTAGACAATTCCCACAAAACAGAAATCCTCTTTTGTCCATTAGCTGACATAGAAGAGGGTCCAAACACATTACTTCATCTAATTTTATTTTCTTTATATGCTGAGAACAATGTCTGTGCCCAGGCAATGTGACTAAAGCCTTACTCACACAACAGTTCCACATTCAGTGAAAACATAGAGGGGATTTTGCCCATTGGTCCAGTTCCAAGTACTGCATATTTAGCTATTCTCTGGACACAGAACCTATACCATGTTGCTCTCCAGATGTGTTGGACTACAGTACCCTTCAGACCCAGCCAGCAAGACAGTGGCCAGGGATGATGGGAGTTGTAGTCCAACATCTGGAGGTCACCAGGTTGACTATATAAAAGGTAAAGGTACCCCTGCCCGTACGGGCCAGTCTTGACAGACTCTAGGGTTGTGCGCCCATCTCACTCAAGAGGCCGGGGGCCAGCGCTGTCCGGAGACACTTCCGGGTCACGTGGCCAGCGTGACAAAGCTGCATCTGGCGAGCCAGCGCAGCACACGGAAACGCCGTTTACCTTCCTGCCAGTAAGCAGTCCCTATTTATCTACTTGCACCCGGGGGTGCTTTCGAACTGCTAGGTTGGCAGGCGCTGGGACCGAGCAACGGGAGCGCACCCCGCCGCGGGGATTCGAACCGCCGACCTTTCGATCGGCAAGCCCTAGGCGCTGAGGCTTTTACCCACAGCGCCACCCGCGTCCCCAGGTTGACTATATACCTCCCCACATATACAGCTAGTACTCTTTTAAGTTTCTTTCTGTTCTGTCAGTGATCTTGCAGGTTTCTAGACTGTACACAGTCAATGTTTACAGGTTTGGTTGAATGCACAGAGTCTTGGAGCATAGTCAGCGGGCACAATCCTGCTCCCCACTCCTCCCCTCCATGCGGTCACTGGGCTGGATCCACACCATTGCACTTAGGTCCCATTGAAACCAATGTGAAAAGTCCCATTGGTTTGAACGGCAACTAATTAACTTCATCTGGATCCAACCCACTGAATGCAAAATTGTTATGCGAACAGGATTTGATCTTCCCTTGCCACAAACTGATAAGCCACCGAAGTATTTCCATTCTTTTTTTTAAAGTGCCAGTAGATTTATGTGGTGGCTCATACATACCATTGCCCATTTTGATGTTTATTTCTTAGCGTTAGTACAGCAAAGAATAATTCTTCTTTACTATTATTACATTGGACACACTATTTCCTCTCCCCCTCCCTTTTCAAGAAGGCTTACCCCCCCTTTCCTCCCCCCCTTTTCCTTTTAAGGAGCTGGATTTACGTGTGTATAAATCAAGTTGCTTATACTGCAGTTTATTAAAAGGAGAAATGAAAGGGAAAGAAACATCGCTGCATATAGTTCACAAATTCTCAGACAGGTTTTGTGGGCCATCTGAGTATTGTTGAAAAGACTTCTCACTTACTTTCACTTGGTGAGTGGGCCAGGAGAGGTTTCTAACCTTAAGAGAAATAATTTAAAAGTTTCAGGCAGGTGGAAAGGAGAGATGAAAAGCAAGATGAAGAGGTAATTCAACACTGCTCTGAAATGAAGTCCAGGATGGGGCTAGCAGAGAACAGGCCTAATGAACCACTTGCTTTGCTTATACAGAGAATGGTAAAACCAAGTTTGATTAGGTTGGGGTGATGTGGGGTGGCTTTTCTGTTTCCTCAGTCTTAAAATGTATTGCATTCCAGGGACTGGGGGGAAAATTGACAGAAAGATATAATCTATTGCTGCGGGGGAAAGGTTGTGTTTTTCATAGCAACTATGTAGAAGCTGCTTTTGGCGGTAGTTTGACCTCAATATATATATTTTTAACTTTCCTAGATGGTGAATTGTATATGGAGGGGAAATAGCCTGAATCATATTAATATTTAAAGAATAGAAAAGGGCTATGTTTGTTTGTAGCCTGCAACTCCCTTGAATTTAGAGATTCTCTACTCTCAATTTTTGAAGCAAGGTTCTCAGTCTTAAAGAATCTAAACATGTTAGAAGCATGTGCTATAAGGCAAAGGGAATCAGAAAACTAGCAAATGAAAGAAGCCTAACTACAGTTTATTAAAACTTAGCTACTGCCATGTTTATTTCACTTTTGCTGAATGGCTATTTCAAGATTTCCCACACTGGTTTTGCTGCTTAAGATTTAATAATTTAATAATAATTTTAATATACGTACATAACTGACAGTTTTGTAACTTACATAGTATTAAAAATGTTGCTAATAACTAACAATCAACAAAGGAAAATGGAAACACTTGTTGTAAGTTAAAAGAGCAGAGATTTGTCTTGTTCCTGTACAAGGTAAACAGTGAAGTCTCTGGTGCTTTGCAATAGAGTATGAAATAATAATTTTGCAGTGGACCTTCCCTTGCAGTTTCTTTGTTTAGATATGTTGTGGTTTTTATTGGCACATGTCTCACACATCCCAAATACTAAATCAGCCTTCCCCAACCTGCTGCTCTCCAGACGCTGTAGAATAAAACTCCTACCATCCCTGAACATTGGCCATGCTGGCTAGGGCTGATGGGAGTGGTAGCCTAAAACATTGAGAGGTTATTGGGTTGGGGAAGACTGTATTAAAATCTCTTGATGTCATCCTTGTGGCAAACAAATCTTATTTATTTAATAAAATTATTAGACGCTTGTCACCCGGAGGGTCCTCAAGCAACTTACATTGAAAAATATATACATAAATTCATTGTACTGTAAAAAGGGCAGAGGACCGTATAGCACATTAGTTTTCCATACAGCATATAAAAAGGTAAAGGACCCCTGACAGTTAAGTCCAGTCGATAACAACTCTGAGGTTGTGGCGCTCATCTCACTTTACTGGCCGAGGGAGCCGACGTTTGTCCGCAGACAATTTTTCTGGGTCATCTGGCCAGCATGACTAAGCCACTTCTGGTGAAACCAGAGCAGCACATGGAAACGCCGTTTACCTTCCTGCTGGAGTGGTACCTATTTATCTAATTGCACTTTGATGTGCTTTCAAACTGCTAGGTTGGCAGGAGCAGGGACTGAGCAACGGGAGCTCACCCCATCGTGGGAATTCGAACCGCCGACCTTCCGATCAGCAAGCCCAAGTAGAGGGGGTTAAAAAAATGAATTCAATGTAGCCTCATGCTTCCTATGTTGAATTGGTTAACTTTATGGAAGGCCAGGCCAGTGGGGAAAGACTTGCTACATCAGTTTGTTAGAGCTTTCATTTTACTTTATTAATGAAAACCCTGCCATTTTACTCTGTACCATGTGAGCAAAAGAAATGTCATGTGTAAGCAGCATCTGCATTCTTGTTAAATGGTCAGTTAGCACTAAAGGAGCACATGCTCCTACCAAGTGCTCATCTGTATGTTTTCAGAGTTCTGTGGGTCTGACCAAATATGCTCTTGGTCTGTATATATTTTTTGTGCCACAGAAGATGAATGTGTTGTCCATTCAGTTCTCCTTGAAAAGGTGATCTAAGGCTGCTGTTTTATTCCTTCCTCAAGCTATAGCACATAAATTCTTGGAATTCAAAAGTATTAAACAACCACATAAGAAAAAATGTGCCAGGGTTTTTTGTGTATTTTTGGAGGGGGGAGCCTCAGTATTAAGTGGAAATCACTTTATCTGTAACATTAATATTGCCATTGTCCATACTGGTTGGGTATTCAAAGAGTAAATATCTTAGTTCACAGCAATATAAAGTATCGGATTCAAAATCAAAATTATAAGCATCTTGCATTTTAAAAAAGTATGTATGAAAAAAATGGTGTTACATAATTACATCTGGAATAGTTCTTTAATTACTTTATCTTCCTGTCATATTTTATTTCAAAATTTTATATACCCCATTCCTTACATTTATGGGTCTCTTGAGGTACTCCCAAAACATTGTTTCAGATAATTACAAAAAACCTCCACAGGGTTTTGTACTAGAAACATGTTTTCAAGAAAATGAAGCTTTTAGCCAGATAATTTGCCTATACTTTCTAAGCTAGTAATTTACTCTTTTCCTTTTCTTTGTTAGTCTTAATGCTAAAACAGTCCATTGGGACTCATGTACTTGCAATACAGTGTTTGTAATATGCACTAAAGAAGTTTCATCAATTTCTATAAAACTTTTAATGTTCCTCCTAGTTATTTCATGCTGTAAAAATATGTTGCTGTAAAAAATGACCTATAAATGTGGTCAAACCTTTGCCTTCTGTTCTAGTCATCCTCCTCTCCTATTTAATCTGCATATACATTTCAACCATAGCTGTGCTGCTAATATTTAATAATGATGTTTCTCCCTAAAAAGTTTAGGGACTTTTACAAAAGTCTGTATGTGAAAGTCTACTGGCATACACTTAGACTCCTCAAGATCTTCTTGTATAAAGTCTGTGCAACTGTGAACTATTTGTTGCTTTAGATCTATTCTGTATCAAAAGTTACATACTGAAAGGATTCAGATGCATTCGTGCATGCTTCTTGCATTCCTGCTGAATCAGTGCATTAGCAACCTGAAAAAATCATTTTGTGAACATGCTTTTGTAATTAATATATACACCAGGGATGGAGATCCTGTGGCCCTCCAGATGTTGCTTGACTACAGCTCCCATCATCCCTGCCCATTGGCTGTTCCACCTGGGACTGATTCAGCCACATCTGGAAGACCACTCCTGAAATGCACAAACTGATTCAAGTTACCTTCACATCCATCATTTAAGCTTGGGCCCTTGATATTGCAATGTTCCATTGTGGTTTGCTTGATCCATTGCTGTTGCTAACTTCACATTGATAGTATAAGATATGTTGGCTACAATACTGCCAATTTTGTTATAAACTATCCTACAAATCAGTTTAATAATTTCTACTTGTATTAGCCGCACTTCCACCAAGTGTTGGTGGTGATAAAATAATTGTTTTAAAATAATATAAAAATAATTATATTATAACTTCAGCACCTAGAATCTTTTTGAGAAGTATCTGTCACTGATCCAGGGATTCTGCCAATAGTTCAGTAACATTTTTCCTTCATGTCGTTTTAGGGTGCACCTGGTATAATGGGAGAAAGAGGAGTTCCTGGGCTTAAGGTTAGTAGAGAAAACTCTTGTTGTTATTCTTTCTCATTTGTGTGTATACTTCATTGTTCTTATTTCATTTATAATTGTGAACAATGTGGTGAATAGGTTGGGACTTAACAACTTACAAAGTTTTACCCACTGAACTTCATGATGTAGCAGGAATCTGAATCATAACCTCCAACACCCATACTTAGCACTTTCTTTGCCATACAACTCCATCAAGTACCGTACATTGGCTTGGATAACTGACTTTGATCCTATCTGAGGGAGCATATCTTTAGTCAAAATGGCTGGCAGAAAGGAGGGAGGTGACTTTTTCTAATTCTCCCTCTTTTAGCTCACATGTACGGAGAGTTGGGAGACCCTCTGGAAAAGTGTAGGATCCTATCTTCCACAAGGAAGGGCGAATTAGCAAAAGTCTTCAAAAGTCTTCCATGGACAGAAGGAGGCCTTCCATTTATGGAGGGTGAAATCTGTATCTAGGCCATTGTATGTATATAGTTGGAATTACTGTTTTGCTTCCAAGCTTTGTTACTGGAAAGGCCGTAGATTACCCTTTGTATTAATCCAGCTGGACTTTTAAACTGATCCAGTCCTTTGTGACTTTTAAAGTTGGTTTTCATGGAGGGTACCTCCTTCACTCCCTGTTAAATGAAAAGCAAGCTTGTTCTCTTGCATGAGAGGTGACCACAGAGCCCTTGCTTTGCATGCAAAAGGTTCAAGGTTCAGTCTGTAGTTCACTCTGATGGCATCTAGAAGGGCTGGGAAATATTTTTATCTAAGACCCTGGAGAGCCACTGCCAGTCAAAGGAGATGGGCAGATAGCTTGGCCTTATTTACTTAAGGCAGCTTCCTGCGCTCTCCACTACGTTCTCTCATTTATTGTGTGCCATTGAGGGTTGCAGGCGAACCCTGCAATGAGTAAAATGTGATTAGGGCACAGTTTAATCAAGCAAAATAGCCCCAAATTCCTCACAATACAATAAAAGGAACACATTATTCTACTGCCGAAATGTAATTTCACTTAGATTTAACGACATTCCTGTAGCCTGTCTAATTACGTCAGCTGTGCTAGTGTTTGTCAGGAAGCACATAGGCCTCTCAGCAGAATTTGCACATTATATTGCTATTGACAGCTAACTAGGTAGAGGGAGGGGGCGTAAAAATCATGGGCTTGCTCTTTGTCCATCAGGAAAGAACATAGGCCTTTCGGGAACAGCCATTTCTCACTTCAGAATCCCAGCGATGACGCTTAATGCTTAATTAGTTTCCACGGCAGTATCTTTTAGAATTGCAGGGGAATCAATAGCCCTCAAATGGGATTTGAATGAGCTACAGTGGTTAAGCTCTGACAAGATGAGCTGTCTAGGTCAGGTTCAGAGAACTGAAAAGTGGCTTGCCAATGTGCTGGTTTGTCAAGCAGTCAGTAATTTAAAGAGCAACAGGTTTAAGCTTTCTTACACTGGAATCTATGCCTGATTATGGAGCTGTCTGAAAATGTAAAAGGAAGCTATAATCTGTAGGCCACAACTCACTGAAGTTTATGGATTCTTGCCCATATGCCAATTTGTCCTCATCCATGTCCATAATATTCTCTATCATTCAACCATATCCAAAGCCATCACAAGATGGAGCAACTTTTGTTTTTGTGCAACCCCAGAGGGGACAACTAGAACCAATGGAAATTGCAAGCAAACAAATTTTTGGTTAAACATTTGACTATGACAGTGGAAGAAGAAGAGTTTGGACTTGAAATCCCGCCTTTCACTCCCCTTAAGGAGTCTCAAAGCAGCTAACAATCTCCTTTCCCTTCCTGCCCCACAACAAACACTCTGTGAGGTGAGTGAGACTGAGAGACTTCAGAGAAGTGTGACTGGCCCAAGGTCACCCAGCAGCTGCATGTGGAGGAGCAGGGACGCGAACCTGGTTAACCAGATTACGAGTCCACCGCTCTTAACCTCTACACCATGCTGGCTCAACTATCTCAGGATGCGGAGGGCTCTCTTTCTCCTGAAAGAAGCAAACTCACAGCAGTACAAATCTGATATGTACAAACAAGCCACTTGTTGGTCTTCTGAAATGTATTTGCTATTGACGCAGGAGAGGTGCTCAGCACTTAGCACTCAGCACTCAGCACCCAACCTATGTTTCTGCTGTCACATCCCAGTCTATCTTGCCAGGCAAAGAGGCACTCCATTATTATTTTTATTTAGAATATTTCTTACTTGCTTTCCCCCATAAGGTTCCAATTGTGAGGTAGTGTGGGAGTTAAGGCTGTGTTAGTTGTTACCCAACAAAGGGCCAGTAGTCAGGGTAGGGAGCCTCCAGCCCATGAGCCAATCTTGGCCTACCAGTAGGTCCAACTTGCCTCCTCACAAAGCCGTTTCCCCCAAACTACACACCTGTCCTTCAACTGATGTCATAGGGTGATATCAGCTGATGGGCAGTGGGTGGGGTTCCCTGTAGAGAATACACTGGTTAAGCAGACCCCTTCAGGGAGCAGGACTAAACCCTCCCCCACCCCACCCCGCTCATCAGCTGATGGACAGAGAGTTCAGTGCTACTAGGTGCTGCTTTGCTTGAAGGGAACAGGCTAGTTAAGCATAATTCTCACCCTACCCCATGGGTCAACTTTGACAGGAAGGTGGGTGGGATCACCCACTTATCAGTCACCAGCCATCATCATGATGTCAGATGACTGACACTAACTGGTCAAAGTTAGACCACAGGCTATGGGAAGATAAAAGTTTTGGCCCATCTGCTCAAAAAGGTTCTCTATTCCAGTCTATAGTGAATTCTAGTAAAGAAAGGAGGCATAAGAAGTATTTGGGGTGTTGTTGCCACATGGCATCATAAGCAGCTGACAAACAAAAAACTGGGTGGAAGCAAGTCAGCTTTGTAGAAAAAGAAGCTTTCTCTCATTGATTTAATACATTTAAAAGTTGGGTAAGATATAAATTATACTATCCAAAAACTTTTTTTTGAAATGTGATAGAGCCTCCTATTTGTGTTGAATCAATTTCAAAATTATTACTACTTATCATCACATCCTTTAAAAATTGCACAAGTTAAATTAAATATTTTCTTACAGAATAATTTTAAGGAGGATCTGTACTACCTGTACTTTGGAGCCATTGCTGATCTGAACTTTTGTTTCTATCTTCTGTTTAAATTAGGGTGACCCTGGCCAACGAGGAGAAAGGGTGAGCTGTACGCTTTCTTAAAAAGCATATACAAATAAATCTAAAATCATTCTCAGAGCTTTCTTGACATCTGATGGGAGGGCATTCCACAGGGAGGGTGCCACTGCTGAGAAGGCCCTCTGCCTGGTTCCCTGTATCTTCATTTCTCACAGTGAAGGAACTGCCAGAAGGCTTCTCAGAGCTGGACCTCAGTGTCCGGCTTGAATGATGGGGGTGGAGACACTCCTGCAGGTATACAATCCTGTGTTATAACCACTGCTATTTTTCTAGAAATAGAGGTGCCGTAACTCTCCATAAAAGCCTCCCTTGCTCTCTTAGAATGGCAATGGTGCCCCCTGAGATGTGCTGGAACTGAGTTCTAGAGAGTTCCGGCTGAAAAAAACAAACCCTGGTTATAACTAACTTTTGGGGGGGGGATGTCAATAACAATATAATTGGGAGGAAATATTGATAGCGTTACAAATTTTTAGTGGGAGGCAGATGTGGAATTAAACACAGTGCACATATTTAATTGATTGTTTTAATTTTTAGGGTGATTCTGGAGAACCTGGGCCCAAAGGTGACTCGGGAGAAAAGGTACAGTTCATAGTGAATATTGTGGGGGAAAGATACGTTCACAGTAATTTAATGTTTAAAAAATGTTTTGAAAAGTATCGAAAACAAACTACGCATATAGAATATTTTTAAAAATGTTTTTCTCTGATAAGAAACAATCATAATAGCAATAAGCAAGAGTACAATAGCTATTGTTACAGAATGCAATGTGCTTTACACATTTTGGGGGACCGTGACTGGTTCCTGCCCCACATACCTCCCAGGGTGGTTTGAGATTATTAAAATGCTTATTCATTATATCTCTCTATTTCAACAACATAGTCTACATTTACTCAGCTAGCATAAAATGAGATAATGGCACACATTTCCCCCAGTATTATGAATAAATTATAAACAAATCAAATACAACTGGATTTCACAGCTGCATCTTTCCACACAACTATTTCTTTGTTTCTAAATATGACAGGGCAAATCTATTTTCAAATATTATTTCTCAAAGCATGTTATTTACAGTCAAGTGGATATTGCAGATACTTCAGTCTTTTTAAATCTCCCCATCTCAAAAATTCTTTTTAAAAATAGTTCCTTTCATTAATTTGAGAGTGTTTATTTCTGTGGGGTTTACAGAACAAATTCAAGGACAGCCAATTTGAAAGGCTCCATCAGAGTGAAGCTTTCCCCCTCTTTTTTCTTCAGTAAATATAATATGAACATAGTATTATCCTGTCATTTGTGATACCTAGTTAGATTTCAGTTCTCAAGATAAACTTTGTGATGAGTTGGAGAAAAGGGATGATAGCTCTGACAGATCTTGACTGAGAATAAATAGATGACTACAGGGCTCTTTCAGTCTGACTTTATTAATTTAGAGATTTCAACACATCTTGCCATGATAAGTAATTTTTTGGGAGAGAAAGATAGTCTCTTTTTCTAAATAACGGCAATTATCTTGTGATATATTTTTTAAAAAAACATGAAGAGTCTACCTTCACATGCTATTCCTTTTTTCCAGACCTGTTTAAATTGGCTGTGAAACATGAAAACGAATCTGTAATAATGTCATATAAAACAGGAAAGATGAAGAAGCATTTTTTCTTACACGTGAAATGTTCATTTCAATTACCTGTTCATCTTTGGTCCTACAATGGTCTATGTATGCATGCCTTACCTTTCAAGGTGGCAAACAAGGTCCCCCCTCCACCCAATTTTTTTCTTCACAACAACCCTGTAAGGTAGGTGAGACTGAGAGATAGTGGCTGCCCAAAGGGTCACCCAATGAGCTATTTGGCTGGTTGGCTGGGGATTTGTCCACCAACAGATCTAGTCTGACATTCTAACAGCTCTGGTGAGCTACAATTGTAAGTGATTTATGTCCTTGCTGAGATTTGGTTCTTGAACTTTTTCCCTAAAGAAGGATTAATCTGAAAAACACTAAGCACCTGTGGTTTCCTCCTCTTATTTCCTGCTCATGGGGCCTTCCTGCTTTTATTCTCACAACCACATTACACTCACTCTCAACTATAGTTTATGAGTGAACATGACCCATAAAATATTTCATGATTATATTGGTTTGCTACAACTGTTAAATCTCCACTTAAATTTCCACATTTGATCATTATTTCCGGATTTTTTTTATTCAGGGTGACCCTGGATCTTCTGCTGCAGGAATTAAGGTACAGTAATACTTCGTCTAGCGTCCGCTTCAGTGAATGTCCACAGCAAACCTGGAAGTACCGGAATGGGTTACTTGCGGGTTTGCCACTCGTGCATGCTCAGAAGCACTAAATCGCACTTTGTGCATGCACAGACAAGGCGCTTTGCCCTGTTTCCTTTTCGGCTTGTGGCCAGGGCTCCGGAATGGATCCCGGTCACAAAACAAGGTACGACTATAATGTATAAATCACAGCTTTGCTGCTCAATGCCCAAATGAATTTTGCTGCATTTTCCTTCCTTCTTTCCAGCTTGGAGGTACTCCTACACCCATTTTATGATCTTGCATTCTATCATGTGTTTGTTTCAGGGAGAACCCGGAGAATCAGGTCGACCAGGGCAAAAGGTAATGTTTCAAAGTTATTCACTTATATACTTGCAACTGATAATAATGCTCCATGCATCTGATTAAGTGATATGGTCCACAAAAGCTCATGCCGTTAAAAAAAAAAAAATCTTCAAGTTGCCACAAAACTGTTTGTTGCTTTTGCTGCAAAAGACTTAACACAGCCACCATTCTGGAAACTTAAATGATGCTTTCCCTCAGTATTAAATCTGTGAGATGAATTAATGTTCATTTATTAAGCTCCCTACCACACCATTATTACTATTGTTATTATAATTTCATAAATTTCTATACCACCCTTCACCCTTTACAATATAAAAACACAAAAACACATACCATAATAACAACGAAAACAAAAACAATAGCCAGCACTCCACACATAAAATGCCATGGAAAGTCTGAGGAGAATTAACAAGGACATATTTCCCCATCTTTCTCCTCACAGAAGTCATCAAATAGGGTGACCAAAGCAGTTTCTGTGCCAGAACCAGGCCTAAGCCCAAGTTGAAATGAATCTAGAAAATCAGGTTCCTCCAAGTAGCGGAGCAAGCCGATCGGGCACCTAAGGTAGCACATGTGCCCTGTGCCCAGGGGCAGGGCAAGCCGGGACAGGACTCTTCCAGGGCCCTCCGAGGAGTCTGCCTGCCTCCTCCCACTCAGCTGCCCCACAGCTGGGGGGGGGAGGCAGCGGGCGGACCGTTTGGGGCAGTGCGGAGCCTGTGGGCACCCAAGCCACCACATCACTCCCAGGAGAGACACATGGCTCGGGTATGCTGCAGGCCCCGTGGTGAGTGCCACCCGGCATTTTGTCACCTCCTTCAGTGGTGACACCCGGGGCGCCCCGCCCCCACAGCACCCCCCTTCCTCCACCCCTGCCTCCAAGAATGTCTGGCTCTGGTCTGTGACCACCTGCTCAATAAACCTGCCCAATAATGGGAGATTAGCAGAGAGTGTTTCTTGAGGAGTGGTTTTACCACTCCCTCCTTCAAGCAGGCAAGGACCACCCCCTCTAGCAAGGAGGTATGAAGCACCTCCATGGCCCAGCCAGTTTCCCATCCCTCCTGGTTTTCATCAGTCAAGAGGAGCAGGGGTCAGCCCAAGACGTTTTGCTACTTGATGCAAAGGACAAGAAGATGCAATCCCCAATCCATATACAAAAGCCAACTAGGCTGGCAGCTGAATCTTGCTTCAACCCTGGTGATGGGACACTGTTCTCCACAGCTGGAAGACAGCAGACTAGCTTAGGGAGTGCAGAACTGACCACTTGACAGTTTCCCTGCAGAATCTGCCACCTGAGCCATCTGTCTCACTCTGCCTAGGGCCTGTCCTGAATAATACAATGCTGTGAAATATTCCCTTAAAAATAAGGGGTTTGTTAAACTAATATGGAATGCCCAGCTACCCTGTTCCCAATGAAGCCCATGAACACTCCTGGAACCACCCCTCATCATTATTCTCTCCTGCTTTCAGTATCACACTGGAAATATATTTCCTAATATGCTTACTTGCCTGAAAAAAGATAACTAGATCATATAAAAATTGCACACCAGGCCGTAAAATGTTTTAAACATTTCACTTTTTATGACACAGTTTGTGCTATGCTGGCTAGGTGCTTGGTTCATTCATTTTACTAGGAATTATATGGGAGGAACAGCAGAAACTGCTTAAACTTTACGGAGGATGTTAAGCTGCATTTGGTGGATGGCACCCCAGGGCAGATATTCTGTCAAAGTCTATAGGCCAGGATATGGAGAGACTTGCTTAAGGGGCTCAGCATGTCCATTGGAATGTTTGGGCTTTGCCCCCATTGAGCAGCAGACCCTCAGGCAATATCACAAGCACCTTTTGAAAGGTGCCTAAAGTGCTTTCCATATGGCTGTTTGAGAAACTCAAGGCTAATGCCCTTTGGGTGTCCAGAATTAACTGTCCTCCTCTTTTGAAATCTAGCCATGGAGTTTTTAAAAGAATGGCTCAAAAAAATACTGCTTATTTAAAAGATATATTGTTGATAAATATGTACATAAAGTATTTGCAGCCATTTGGATATTTATGTTTAAAACTGTTATGATCTGCAAATTTATTTTGTTCATAAGAGTCTCTTTTAATTGGAAAAGCTAGTTAATGCATCTTAGATGAATTAATCTATAAAACCATTAAAATTGTTTATAATGCATTGGATGTACTACAGGATATTTTAAACCATGTTTGAATCATGTTCTCTGTTGCTCTTTTCATCAGTCAGGGAATATTTTGCTGAAATGTGGCGTCACTAAAGTGGCTCTCGCTCCATTACATTCATGATTGACCAAATGGATGAGATTGCAATGAATAATCCATAGCCATGAAATCCACATTAATGTAGAATTTGATGAGATTATTGCTTTGGGTGGAAATGCATGATACCATAAATAAATAGATGTAGAGGGCACAATCCATTGGGGATTTCTCCCGCGAAAGATTCCTTGCAACAAAAGTCATCACAGCTGCAGTGTTGTGGAGCTCCCATTGGACTTAGGTCACAAAGTCCATTAAGTCTCATCTGATTCAAGGACAGAAAAATCTGTGATGTTTTAAATGCAATACATTTATCACCTAGTCTTGAGGATATAAGAAAATGTCATTGTCTTACATACGTATAGGTAGACTCCTGAAAAGTAATATTGCTTTTCTGTATTATTTTAGTTGGGTTCTTAGAGCTCTCCTGTACATATCTTTTTGTCTGTGGTTGCCAGGGGTGCTCAACACATCATAAACTCCATTGCACAACAAATCTTAGTTGGATATAATACAAGCTCTCATATTCTGACCTCCCAGTATATCTCTGCCTTAAAGCACTTGCAATTTCATCTTCAGACCTGTACAGCAGAAGCTATCAATTAGCATTAAGTGATGAGTTTGCGATGGTGCCTAACATATCCTGAGAACCTCTCTGACACCATGAAATCTATGATCCACCATAAATGATGTCTGAACTAAAGACACTTAAAGTAGAAATGAATTGATGTACTGTGCTGCTTGCTGCTTTATTTTCAGTGTGTATAATTCCTATAGATAAAATTTAGAAATTTAGAAACTAGATAAATGCTGGTGAGTAAAATAGTTGCAGAGTGATCTATCCATCAGATACTGCTATCATGCAGTCCATTCATTTCAGAGGTACTTGCACAGGTCTCTTCAGTGCCAGCCAAATACATTTTGCTACCTGAAGCAAGCCCAAATGGCACTTGTGCATGCACACATGGCAGGATCAGCATTTTAAAAACTTTGGCTGCATCATATTCCTGCCTTCATATATCTTCGCTGACCTCTAAGACCAGCCCAGGATCTCTTGAAAATGGCAGCTAGAAGCTGGTCAGTGACAGTGTTTGATGGCCTTTGTCCTATTTTTATTATCACAAGTGATTCATAAAATGCTTTTTCCATTTCATACATCTGTGAAGCAAATAAAATGCATACATTCACTGTGAATGTAAATTTGATTTTAACATGACAAAGGACTTGAAAGTCTTACTGGATGTTGCAATAGAGCTAGGAGCGGAATGTCCCTGCATAGCAAGGTGAAGGACAAAGTACAGGAGCACTAATGGTTTTGTAGGAAGCTGATGGAAGTTATAGTCAATCAACCTCTGGAGAACTATAGCTTCCTCAGTCCACAGGCTAAATCTATGAGGCTCCGATCTTAACAGTGTTCAAGTCTTGCATTCTACAACACCATAAAAAAAGGGACGCGGATGGCGCTGTGGGTTAAACCACAGAGCCTAGGACTTGCCGATCAGAAGGTCAGCGGTTTGAAATCCCCGTGACGGGGTGAGCTCTCATTGCTCGGTCCCTGCTCCTGCCAACCTAGCAGTTCAAAAGCACGTCAAAGTGCAAGTAGATAAATGGGTACCGCTCCGGCAGGAAGGTAAACGGCATTTCCGTGCACTGCTCTCGTTCACCAGAAGCGGCTTAGTCATGCTGGCCACATGACCTGGAAGCTGTACGCCGGCTCCATCGGCCAATAAAGCGAGATGAGCGCCGCAACCCCAGAGTCGGCCATGACTGGACCTAACGGTCAGGGGTCCCTTTACCTTTACTCAGGAGCCCTTCACCTTGCCATGCCTTGCACATTTATCCTAGCTCTAAGGCAACTTCCTGTAAGACTTCCTGTAAAACTTCCTTTCTAGCCCTTGGCAATTTAGTCTGTTTTGTCATCAGTAGAATTGGATTTAAGAGCAATGGTAGCAACCACCACTCATGCTGCTGCAGCTAAAACCAGTTCATTAGACTGGGCTGCCTGTCAGCACTTCCTACTAAACAAGCACTTCTGCCAGTTCAGTGCACACTCTGCCAGTTTACTGCACAAATGTACATCAAGGGCTTCTTATTTACTTCTCAGCCTCTTCATCAAAACTGTGACCTCATGGAACCGCCTTTGAATATTGTTAGGCAGCAATTTTCACCCTTCTCCCTTGCTCTTAATTTATCCACAACAGAACAGAGCCCTGTTAGTTTAATGCCTAATCCATTGCTTCAAAACTCTGTTTGACAGCAGACAATATTCAGCATATCAGCAAGTGCCTACTATGGAATAAAAATATGAGCTGTAAATCACAATAAGCTTGTGCAGAACATTAGAGAGGAGAGAACTTTACCACTGTTCTTATATTAAAATACATAGAACAATGGCTAATAACTGGAGTTCATATGCAAGCAAAGTTGTCACTTGTCACTGCTGTGGAAAATATTATTTATCCCTTAGCAATATTAAATGGATGGGTAGTGTTAATCTGAACTAGTATACCAGCCTAATCTACAACTGAAGTAAATCATGATGCTTTAAAGCAATCATCATCTTGCATTTTGGGGGGAAGTTTTAATGGGCATGCAGAATTAATTGTAGACTCCATGCACATATGGAATTCCTTCTTGGGCAAAGGCTTTTGTCAATGCTGCAGCCATGTGCCTTGCCTGTTGCATTCAGTTTTGCACCAAAGTCCTTGGGTTTAAAAATATTTGGTTTCTTGAATGTGAAGGATATCACTTTCAAGTAGGACATTTACGACAATTGTTTAGACCATGAGCAACTGTTTTGCTATGAATGCCACAGTAGAAGTATGCTATCATAGAGAGCCTGTTCAGATGATGCTTGACCCACAGGTCTCTAGCTTGTGGTGAAACTTGGAGCAGGCCTTAGCCTTCCTTTGTGGCTTAAAAGGCCATAGATTGTTTAATCAGCAAACGCCTGGTTATGGAGGAACGCTTTTACCTAGTGCCTAAAGAGATGTTATGAAGGTACCAGGTGAGCCTCTCTGGGGAAAGCATTCCATAAACAGTCTGGTTGGGTTCATATTTAGCTTGTCAGATTGAATGATATCCCTTTTGCTGTTCTGGAGGTTTTCTGGATTCTCCACAGAGTGAATTTTGGGGGTCCTGGGGGGGAGGAGAAGTACAGGGGAACCCCATACACTAGCATGGGTTTGTGCTAGTGGGACTAGTTAGTTGAATCCTGCCCCATATATTTAATTTTGACTATGTAGCTATCTTTTGGCTACTAAATGTGGTTTAATATTCTCCTGCAATGCTATATTGTTTTATTTTGTAGGGTGAGCCTGGGCTCCCTGGACTTCCTGGACTTCCTGGGATTAAGGTAAATATAGTGATGATCTCCATGTAGTGAAGTTGAACCTGTTAAATGAATATGAGAAGGGTGTGTTAACATGTCAACTGGATATATATAAAACTTACATTTTTTAAAAAAAGTTATTATGGAGACTTACAATAAATATGAAATATATTAACGAACAACAGCAGTAATCTCACATAGTCAATGGGCTAACTTCAATAGGACTGGTCCACTGACATTCAAAAAGGCATGTGCATAAAATCCAGTCATGTACATGGACTCAGACTGTAATGTCATTTCCTATATTTTATGTGGCATTTCAAACCATACAATCATGGTTTGCAAGAGCTGGATTTTACACACAGACGTTGCAACAGAGGCAGGCGATTCATGCACATCAGTGGGTGAGAAGGGAAAGCATGTTTTCACTGCCCACCACAAATAGGAAAGCAAACTTGACAAGTGTATCGTTTGATACATAGCTGTCAGTTACAATCAATTATGCATTCTTGATCATTGTTTAGTTTTGTAGATTTGGAATGCAATTGTGCATGATCAGCATGGAAGTAAGCCCATTATATGCAATGGAGCTTACTCCTAGATAAGTGTGCATAGGATCTTTGAGAGTTGGGCAAATAAATGTCTCATGAGCACAGAAGCATATCTTATGAATTCATTACATTCAGCAAGAATGTTCTTACTGTGATATCATAGGAATAAATTCCGTTCATGTTTTTCCCTCTTTCCCTTTCCCATTTTTATTTCAGTACATCAAGAGTAGCCAGTGCGGTACCCTCCAATGTGTGATTTTGTCACACTGCAGCTCTTATCAGCCCCAGCTAGTTGGCCAATGACCAGGCATGGGAATTACAGTGCAGGAAAATCTGGAGGGCACCATGTTGGCCCTGCCTTTCCTACACTGATAGCTGGTTATTGAAGGAAAAAACCCAGAAATTCAATATGTTATAAAGCCTCCTGTGCTGTTGCTCTTTTGGAATAGTTAGAAATGTTACTGGTGTGAGAATGTGCTCCACAGTTTCATTCAGGAAACAGGCAGTGTACTCAAATATAGAATATTGACTCATCAGTGTGAAATCCCATGCTCCCCTTTAAACAAGTCTTCCTTGAACCTTGCATTGTGATACAAAGCAAAATGGCTTTTGGCTTTGTCTGCATTCCAGTGTCCCAGGAAGTGATACTCCATGTATGCATAAAATATATACACACCGATTCCTGGTGGGCAGGGGCAACTCTGGAAAAGAGAAATTATTGCCTCTCTTTCTCTTGAAATTCAAGACATGAAGGCTGTCTCTTAATAGCAGCCAGCACTCCAGAACTAAGCAAGCCAAGGCACATATGGGACAGGATGTTGACCCGTGTGAATTCCAAAACAGTCTAGGGTTAGGGGAAGATGGATTTGCAATGGCAGCCAGATATGCAAATCTACAAATTGAACCCGCCACACAGGCATAGGGGATAAGTCTTTATATTATTTAACAATATTTTGGATTAGGTGATTGGAGAATAGCAGCGGTTATCTATGCTTGCAAAATACAAAGTGCATTTTACTTCAGAGATATATAAATTAAATCATGTTTAAATATGAGTATTTTGATGCACTAGATTTCTGCTAAACAGCTGAGACAGAGAAATTATCTGGGAAATGTTTGGCTGCCATTTTCTCCGCAGGCCTCCTGATGAACCTTGTTTCCTCCAACTTGTGGCTTACTGAAATTGGGATGGTGCTGCTTAATTTATGGTTACACCTCCTGGGGGGCATCGCACTGGCTCCCTCTTCCTTACATGTACCATGAAATACACAAAATCAAATAGTTTTAAAACAGTATGGAACAACAGTGCCCTGCCCAACAGCTACTTGGTGCATGCCATCTTGAACATGCAAGAGTCTTAAGTGCTTTCTTCCCCAAGCAGGCATTGACTTTGTTTAGGAAAGAGATGGGACCCAAAACTAGTCATACATGACTATCACAGATGTCAGAGAGAATGTGGTGAAGCTGTTAGCCCCCTGAAGACTGGCTCCATGGAACCTCAACATGGTGCATCTAAGAGCTTGGGGGGGGGGAGTGGGTGTGTCCCCTCCCCAACAATGCATGCATCTCCACTTTAAGAAAATACCAAAATGGAGTTTCCTGTATTCTTGGCTATTTAAGAAGTAGTTCCCTATGGTTTCTGATTCCATAAGGACCCAGATCAAAACAGAATGGGTCTCTTGTTTTCATTTGCCTCTGCATTGCAGAGGCATCTGTATGCCTTACTGAAATGGAACTGCCTGTTTACTTTGTTTCACACGCCATTAACATCACTAATCTGGGTAGAATTCCATTTGCTTCTTGCTATCTCAGTGGAGTAGTTGATGACAACACAAATCTGAAAAGAAGCAATGTTTGTAGAGTATTTGTACCACCGTGAATGGTGGTTTTTATCTATGTATTTTTGTTTTGTTCCGTTTTGTTTTGTTTTGGGGTCAGACACTGAGTGGGGTGGGGATTGGTTTTGTTTTAGCATAATTGTTTTTGGTTGTTTTGTTTTGTTTTGTTTTCTACCTTGTAAATGGAGGTTAGTATGAGGCTTGGGATTGCTACCGTGATGGGGCGAGGGAGGTATGGCGGTGGGGGCAGATGTTATAGGCGAAGGGGATCGAGATACGGATATGCTCGTACCCCTTCCAATCTGCGCCCCATCCCGAGAGACGAGGGTAGGGTGAGCAAGGATTACTCACCTCCTTCACTGGTGTTGTGCAATGCCAGGTCTATAGGCAACAAAACCGCCACCCTGCGAGATTTCTTTATCTCGCTGGGGGTCGACCTGGCTTGTGTGACGGAGACCTGGGTGCGCAAAGGGGTAACTGTTACCTTACGAGAGATGGCGCCCCCGGGTTTCTCCGTCCTCCACTAGTCACGGACTGTGGGCCGGGGGGGAGGGGTGGCAGTATTAATCCGGGAAGATTGTCCTTTCAGGGCTCTACCATCGCCATCGATCCCCGGCATTGAATGTGTTGGCCTAGTGTGGGGCTCCGAGGAGAGCTTGACTGTCTGGCTGGTGTACCGGCCACCTAGCGCACCAGCAGCCACCCTGTCAGGCCTGCTGGAGGCGGTGGCCGGCTGGGCCTTGGAGTTCCCTAACCTATTGGTATTGGGAGACTTCAACTTCCATGCTGATGCCACTCCCTCCTCACAGGCTCTGGACCTGGTGTCTTCCATGGCGACACTAGGGCTCTCCCAGTTTGTTTCGGGCCCCACACATCAAGCAGGCCACACGCTGGATTTGATCTTTGGCGCCGGTATAGATGTGATCATGTCTCCTTGATGAAGGTGCCATGGTCTGATCACTACGCTCTGAAAGCCAGGATTGACTTTCCACCCCCACCCTGCTTAGGTGGCGAGCCGATTTGGGCTCGCCCGCAGAGGCTGATGGACCCTGATAGATTCCGTCAAGCCTTGCGGGACCTTGCTCCCCCTGGCGACTCATTGATTGAGCTTGTTGAGGGCTGGAATACCCAGCTCCTGGCAGCCATCGATGAGATCGCACCTAAGCGCCCTCTGCGACCCCGCAGAAACCGGGCTCCCTGGTTTACCGAGGAGCTTCGGAAAATGAAGCGGGACCTCAGACGGCTAGAGCGAGTATGGCGGGGTGCCCGTGACGGAGCCTCAAGAACATCTTATAGGGTTTTTATGAAAACCTATGAGATGGCAGTGAAGGCCGCTAAGAAGTCTTACTTCTTGGCCTCCATTGCATCCGCTAGCTCTCGCCCGGCGCAATTATTTAGTATAATTCGGTCTTTAACGTCCCTTGAAGGACAGCCAAATTTAAATAACAATCTGACACATAGCTGTGAGGCATTTGCGAGCTTTTTTGCGGAGAAGGTCCTGTTGCTCCGCCATGACCTCCCTGCCAATTTGGATACAATAAAGGAACTGGAGGCCCCTCGACTGTCCTCGGGTCCAGTATTGGACCACTTTGACCGGATATCTCCAGCCGATGTGGACAGATTCCTCCAAGCTGGAAAGCCCACCACCTGTCCTCTTGACCCGTGCCCGTCATGGCTAATTAGAGCGTGTCCAGACGAGGGGCGGGCCCCCCTGGGGGATATCATCAATTTGTCCCTTGGCACCGGGATATTCCCAGGGGAACTGAAGGAGGCGGTGGTGCGTCCGCTCTTAAAGAAAACATCATTAGATCCCTTAGATCTATCCAATTACCGCCCGGTCTCAAATCTTCCATTCCTGGGTAAGGTGATTGAGAGAGCGGTTGCTGAACAGCTCGGTAGGTTTCTGGATGAAACATCTGCTCTGGATCCATTCCAGTCCGGCTTCCGCGCTGGGCATGGGACCGAGACGGCTCTGGTCGCCCTAACAGATGACCTCCGCAGGCAGCTGGATCGAGGCGGGTCGGGGCTGCTGATTCTTCTTGATCTGTCAGCAGCCTTTGACATGGTCGATCACAAACTTCTGGACCACCGCCTTGCCGACGTGGGGATCCAGGGCACAGTCCTTCAATGGCTGCGCTCGTTTCTCTCTGGTCGGGGACAGAGGGTGGCGCTTGGGGGGGAATTGTCATCGCGTCATTGCTTGGTGTGTGGAGTGCCTCAGGGTGCGATTCTCTCCCCAATGCTTTTTAACATCTTTATGCGCCCCCTCGCCCAGCTTGTCCGGAGTTTTGGGCTGGGTTGCCATCAGTATGCTGATGACACCCAACTCTATCTGTTGATGGATGGCCATCCTGACTCGGCCCCAGACACACTGACCAGATGTCTGGAAGCTGTGGCTGGATGGTTACGTGGGAGCCGGTTGAAGTTAAATCCTTCGAAGATAGAGGTCCTCTGGCTGGGGCGGGACGATATGGGATCGAGGGGGCAACTCCCATCTCTTGCGGGGGTGCAATTAGTGCCAGCACCGTCCGTTAAGAGTTTGGGTGTAATCTTCGATATCTCCCTCTCTATGGAGGCGCAGATTACAGCTATAACAAAGGCGGCATTTTTTCATCTCCGCCAAGCTAAGCAGTTGGCCCCTTATCTCTCTTGCCCTGATCTAGCCACTGTGATCCATGCGACGGTCACCTCCAGACTGGATTATTGTAACTCGCTCTACGTGGGGCTGCCCTTGAAACTGACCCAGAAACTCCAGCGGGTGCAGAATGCCGCGGCGAGACTCCTTATGGGGTCTTCGCTGCGAGATCACATTCATCCGGTACTATACCAGCTGCACTGGCTCCCGGTGGAGTACAGGATCAGGTTTAAGGTGCTGGTTTTAACCTTTAAAGCCCTATACGGCCTAGGACCCTCGTACCTACGGGACCGCCTCTCCTGGTATGCCCCACAGAGAAACCTACGGTCTGCAAATAACAACACCCTCAAGGTCCCAGGCCTCAGAGAGGTTAGGCTGGCCTCAACTAGAGCCAGGGCCTTCTCGGCTGCGGCTCCAATCTGGTGGAATGCTCTGTCACAAGAGACTAGGGTCCTGCGGGACCTGACATCTTTCCGCAGGGCCTGCAAGACAGAGTTGTTCCACCAGGCCTTTGGTCAGGGCGCAGCCTGACTCCCTCCTCTGGCAACCTGCACAGAATTTTGCCTAATCGGTTGCCAACAATTTGATTTTAATTAATTTTATAATGAAATGTTTTTAGAATGTTTTTAGAATTTGACTGTTTGACTATTTGACTGTTGTTAGCCGCCCTGAGCCCGGCTTCGGCTGGGGAGGGCGGGATATAAATAAAATTTATTATTATTATTATTATTATTCTTGGTACAGTTATGTAAAAGAACTTTTGAAGTTTTTGTATTTCTTTCTTGAATAAACCTGAAAAGAGGGTCATAAGGGGAGCCAGAGTAACTTTATTCAAGCAACCAAATGGATTATTATGTTGAAGTTTTTTGGTTGAAAAAGCTGGTGATAGTTTTGGCAAACTGGCAGATATCAAGGAAGCAATCTGTGATGGCTAAATATACTGTACTTTGCTCTGTATGTAATTCCATCTTGTCTTTTAAAATCTTATTTGGATTGTCAATTTGTTTGAAATGACATGAACTCCTTCTTTTCTGACTCATATTAGCCCTGTGCAAACATTCAAACCATTCTCTGTTTCAGCTAATATTGTAGGTAAATGTAGAAAAGAGAGTATGATGTCAATCTTGATGTTGACGACATATCAATAAAACAGTATATATAATTCTGGTATATCCAGAATTGCTGGCTAATCAGGAAAAAAATGACTTAGATTAGTTTGTTTTGGGGTTGATTGCCAGGTTTTGGGTGGGGATTGGAAGAGGTCACAGCAGCAGAATTTTCCTCTTTCAAGCGTGGATGCTGGAACTTAATTCTAAGGAAGCTTCTAAGCTCACTTCTAGCACATAATTCCACATGTGAAGGGCTGCAAGGTGCATGCATACTGCTTCCTCCATAGTCTTCCTCACCATGGTTCTGTTGAGCCAAGGAACATAGTAAGCTGTCTTATATTGGGTATATTAATTGTTCCACCTAACTTGCTATTATTTGCTGACCAGCAGTCACTCTCCAGGGTTTTATACAGGGATCGTTTTCAGCTTTACCTGCAGATGCCAGGGATCAAATTTAAGGCTTTCTTCATGCAAAATCTGTGCTCTATCACTGAGCTACAGCCCTTCCCCAAGATGGGGTTGGCAATGGCAGGGCAATATGCCAACTTGGCATTGTCAGCTGTTGGGGTTGCATTTATCTTCCCCTCCATCTGCAGCTCCTTCAGATTTAGCCAAGAACTGGCTATGGGCTTGTTTCTGGGATCATTTCAAAAGTAGCAATTCTAGCTATGTCAGAAAATTGGTAATAGAAGGGAGGGAATACATTTGTTGGAGGTGGGGCGTGGTTATGTCTTTATGTTCTTTTTGACAATCAATTTAAAACATTTGGTGTTGTTTTTTTTAAAAAAATTAAAATTAGGAATAGGAGAGAAAATTAGTAATAGGAACATTCACTAATATGGGCTTTGTTCCAAATATCGGATCATGTTTAAAGCCACAGGGTTGGTCCTGGTACTGCACAATTTGCCTACAAACACATTCACATGCATGGTTGCTAATGCGAGTGCTAATAGATGCCAGAATTCTGCTGGCAAAAGGCTTATACAATCCTGCTTTCCTAGGGTTCTTTAGGGATTATATCTGCACAGGTAAACCATTCAAAAAAGACTGCTTATAGGAATGAATTCTAGATCAAGATGTTTAGCCAGAAGCATTTTTCTATTCTATGTGACAAGGAGTTGGGGCCTCTCTGTGTGTTATGGCGACTTGAGAAAGGGTACGTAAAAGCTGACTGGGACATTTTAGCAGTACTCTTGACCTGGCAGTGATGGAGATTTCCTGTAACACAAGAGGAGAAGGAAGTAATCAGCCTCTTGTTTATACAAATATATTTAATAGGCTTTCACATGCCAAAATGTTAGTACATGTAAAACTCATGTCAGCGATCATGGTTACAGAACTAGGGGTTGAGGTTTATTGAGGATGAATTAACATGAAGCATACCGATGTGATTTTTAGCATGTTGCAGTAGTGTGAGAAAGTTTTCTAGGAACTCTGCAGAATCAAAGCATTCTATTAATATTTTTGAAGATGATTTAAGAGCCTTAAAATGTGCTTATTAAAGTAAGTTTGATCATGAAACCACTTTTTATTTCTGGCCATTGAAATGAGTTTGGAGTTGTCAGATTGCTGGACTGGCTTGTAACAGTGTTTTCATCATTTGCCTCCCAAATAAAAAGCTGTTAACTATTTTCATTGGTGCCTTTTAACAGAGTTTAAACATGCTCTGTTTTTCGCAACCTATCTCACGACAGCAGTAATAAAATAAATGATTTACTATTCTTTACCTCTCCCTCCTTTTGTTCTTGGCTCTCACTTACAATTTATTGATCCATTTAATGTTCTCTGCAATGCTTACACACTATGCTAATTTATCCAAAAACAGTTTTTGTTTCCAGCTGTTCAGGAAATGTCTTTGCCTTCATAAAGTGGTAATGTTTTTCACACCAACATAACTTATTTGTCAGTCAGCCTAGAGGGCAAGTTGACACTTCCCTGTTCTTTCACTGTATAATTAAGCCGGAGTTATTGACATCTGTCTCTTTTCATAGTAATGCCAACAGTTACAGTGCAAAATTTGTTTGTCATTTTTCATTATTTTGTAGGCAAATATCTCACATTTCATACTAGTTAGTATACAGTGGTGCCTCGCAAGACGAAATTAATTCATTCCGCAAGTTTTGTCGTCTTGCGATTTTTTTCGTCTTGCAAAGCACGGTGTCGGAAAAGTTTCGGAAAAGCTTCAAAAATCACCAAAGTCTTTAAAAACTTCAAAAAAGGCTACCACACCGCGTGCTATGAGTTGCTCCTCGAAGTCAAGTCGCAACTGTATTAACGGTGTTAAGAAACAAACTTGCAAGGAAACAAACTTGCAAGACGTTTCCGTCTTGCGAAGCAAGCCCATAGGGAAAATCGTCTTGTGAAGCAGCTCAAAAAATAAAAAAACCCTTTCGTCTAGCGGGTTTTTTGTCTTGCGAGGCATTCGTCTTGCGAGGTACCACTGTAAATAAAAATATTGTACTTGAATTAAGGGACTAATTTAAATTAAGCGACTAAAGCAGCAAACCCGTGCATACTTACTGGTACTTGAGAATAAGTCCAATTGTGGAATGAAGATAGTGGAACTTACTTCCGCACAAACATGTATAAGATGGGTGTGTTGGGCTGCAATCCTATATTGTACTGTGTTTCCTGGGAGTAAGTCCCATTCAACACAATAGGACTTACTTTTGAATATAAATGTATAGGGCTGCATTGTTAGACTTCATTTTACTTTCTGCACTGGTGGCTGACTGCACAAGTAATGCTTTTTTAGCATTTAGCATGAATCTCACCTACAGCAGTCAAAATCCTTACGACAGTTCTGCTATTGTTTGTAAACTGCCTTGATTATTTCTATAGAAGGGCAGGATAGAAGCACTAGAAAGTTTATCACATTAGTTTTCTAGAATAAATGAAAAGAACCTCGTTTTTATTTGCATGTTGCTCTTTTCATTCAGTTTCTTCCTCTTAAGTTAGTTTGTAAATCTATTGCCAAAACTGTTTAAAGAGAAGGGGGTTGTGTTTGTCCCGGATTCTGATATAACATCTGCATAATAATGTCAAACACAATTGTTCTTCTTTTTAATCCTGGAATGAAAATTTGTTTTGTAACCAAAATTGCAAATGTTTAATATTTTGTAAGTTGTGAATGAAATGTAACTACAGCTAATTAGTTCCCTTTCCCCACTGAATCCGTCATGTTATTAGCCTTGTCTTGGTAGACTTTTTTTTTTTTTACATAAACTGTAATGCAATCCAGGAAGCCTAACATGCATTAATTCCATGAAAAACAAGATGTAAGAGCTTCCAGTTCATTTGCTTTTCTTAAACTCAATGAAGCTTTTCTTGAAGAGCTCTGTGCTGGTGGAAATCAAACTTGATTAATTGTATCTGTCTATAGCAGTTGGATTTGCAGTTAGAAAACCATGGGCGACTAGGAAATTACCATTAGAGGTAAACTTATTTTTACTGTAATTATTCACAGTTAAATTAACAGAGATCTAATGTGCTCATTTTTCAAAGGGTGAACCGGGTTTCATAGGACCACAGGGAGAACCTGGATTACCAGGACTGCCAGGAACAAAGGTATGTTTCACATTCCCCCCCCCCTTAATGTATGTAGCTTACTTCATATCATATTAGTTCAAAACCTAATCCTTATCCTAGACCAAAGCACATTCACCCAACCAACCGTTAAAGCCAAACTGAAGTGATATGTACATTTTGCTGGAACTGAAAGAGAGAATAGAATCAGGTCCACTGGTGGCTCTGCTGAGAAGCCCAGCTTCTTCTGTTTTCTCTCTCCCTCAAGTGTCACTAGAAGCAGCCATTGCAGAAGGAGGATGAGAAAGCAAGCAGAGCTCAGCTGACAGACCAGAAGCTTTTGGCTCCACCTCCCCTTGAACATTTTCTATTCCAGCTGGTTAGTCTAGGAACTTGGTAAATAAGGACTAATGATTGAGGGCAGATCTGCACCAAACATTTAAAGTGCCTTCAACACACATGACTTCTCCCAAAGCGTGCTAGTTTCTCTTTCGCAGACCTACAATTTCTAGTACCTTTATCAAACTACAGTTCCAATGAAGCTTTGGGGGAAATCACCTGCTTTAAATGTGTGTTGGCTGTGATTTAAATAGATGCTGTGGATCCGCCCTGAATTTACTTTTCTCCTTCTACCCCCCCCTCCAATCCTTTAGTCTGCTGTGCAGTATCTATTCCAGCAAACCTTTGCAGGGGTCCAGCTTGCCACTGGAGGCATAAGTGACCTCAGCTGCAAGGAGTACCTTTTACTAGCTACAGCTGGTTCACTAGCTATAGGCGTTTCTGCACAGGGTTAGCCCAGCTGGCCCAGTCAAAGCTATCAGGACATGTGATTGAAATCCCTTTGGACTACTGTCTGGGTTTTTAGCAAGACTATATCTGCCAGCTTGGGCAGGGAGACTGTGGGGCAGCAGGGTAAGCAGTACAACCCATTCTGCCTCTATGGCCCAGTGTTAGGTATGGTACCTTGATAATGCACTTTGAGTAGAGCTGTTTATTTTATTTTAACATCAAGCTCTTCAGGACAAGAGTTTGGATTTGATATCCCACTTTATCACTACCTGAAGGAGTCTCAAAGTGGCTAACATTCTCCTTTCCCTTCCTCTGAGAGCCAGTGTGGTGTAGTGGTTAAGAATGGTAGTCTCGTAATCTGGGGAACTGGGTTCGCGTCTCCGCTCCTCCACATGCAGCTGCTGGGTGACCTTGGGCCAGTCACACTTCTTTGAAGTCTCTCAGCCCCACTCACCTCACAGAGTTTTTGTTGTGGGGGAGGAAGGGAAAGGAGAATGTTAGCCGCTTTGAGACTCCTGAAAGGGAGTGAAAGGCGGGATATCAAATCCAAACTCTTCTTCTTCTTCTTCTCCCCCACAACAAACACTCTGTGAGGTGAGTGAGGCTGAGAGACTTCAGAGAAGTATGACCAGCCCAAGGTCACCCAGCAGCTGCATGTGGAGGAGCGGAGACACGAACCCGGTTCCCCAGATTGCAAGACTACCGCTCTTAACCACTACACCACACTGGCTCTCGTAAACCATCATTCACATTTGTACTCTGTAAACCATCATTCACTATCTTGGTGCTGTATAATAACAAATAATATGGACCACTCTGTTTGCTCTGAGCATGTTCTTAATTGTACAACCTGAACTGCCTTTCAGTTTTCTCCTTAATCAGAGCGTTAGAGACTTCTAAACTTTCAGATTTACTTAATGAAGGAATGGGGAGCCCATGGTCTTCCAGCCAGATGTCCAACTCACATCATCTCTTGCAGTTGGCCATGCTGGCTAGAACTGATGAGAGTCACACACAAACAACATCTGGGAGGCCACAGGTTCCCTACCCCTGCTTTAGAGGTCACAAATGCTCTTTGGAAAATCAAATCTCTATCCACATTTGATGCATTCGCTTCTCAGTTGAACTATTACACTAAATTTTCAGTGGTTGGGGCAATATCGCCCTCTGCTTAGCTGCCCAGTTGCTCACCTTGAAAACAGGATGAAGAACTGAAAGCATCTAAGACTCTGGTGATTGTTTAAAACACTGGAACTAATAAAATGAAAGCACTTTAAAAATGGGTAGCTTTATCTCTCTCACTTCTCCCTCCCCCTGTGCTTCATATTCATATTTAATCCATAGCATTTGAAACTTTCACGGTAGTTTAACATTGACAATTCAGATGAAGTAGCAGTAAGCATCCACTTCTGGAACATAATTTATTTTCCAAAAGAAAAGTTTGTCGCTGTATTGTGCTTATCAGCTCTCCATTTGAAATATGTTCAGGATATTATGCTCTTTGGTGTTTCTAAAATGGCTAGTTACCATGCCTGCTGTTGCCTGTATTCTATAATATTTTCCTCTCATCTTGCTTTCTCTGGTAATTTTTGACAGGGTGAAAGGGGAGAAGCAGGGCCCCCTGGGAAAGGTGAACGAGGTGAGCCTGGAGCTCCAGGGCCAAAGGTCAGTTCGGTTTAACTTTGACAATTAAAGTGTGCATTTTGGAGCTTTGTGTTTTGGTGTGTGTGTTCTTAAAAAAATAAAAGCTCTGCTAGTGATAAAAATAAATTTCAGTGTGATTTATAGTGCACTACAAAAGTCATTTGAATTTATGCTGGTCACTTTGGGGCACAGCCCAGCCAGAAATTATTTATGTAAACTGAGGGATCAAGTGTTAAAAGCCAAACCTGTAGCTATGCACAAAATTTCTTCTTCATAATTGCAATATTGAAATTTAGGACTTTCAAGTATGTCTATGCAGAATTAACATCCTAAGGTGCTCACCATTGCAATGTTTCAAGTCCAGGTAATAAAATAAAATAAAATAAAATATTGACAGTGCAGTCCTATGTCTGCTGAGAAGTCTCATCAAGTTACTGCCAGGTAAGTTTGTATATGAGTGCAACCTTAACCTGGTTTCTAACTTTGAGTCAGGAAGGAGTACTTCTACGTACATTCCATTATCTCATTAATTTACTGCTACAATAGGATTTAGGAATTCTTTATGCTTATTGCTTGCATCAATGTAATTTATTCAAAAGGTCTGAGAGCTACCCAAAATATTAAGATAAGAATTACAGGCCTATGGGTAGTATTCAATATTAGTCATACTCAGAGTAGATCCATTCTACTCCACTGAAATTAATGGGCAAATTATTGGTAAAATATTTCGGCCGCCCTTCACCATAAAGTCCTAAACTGAGTTAAAACAATTGAATATACAATTATAAAAATAAATAAAACCATTGCAATTATGAAACAAATAAAACCATTTTTTTTGGGCAGAGCAGTATAAATTCAGCAAAAGAGGTGGGCCTTTACTGTCAAAGGCCAGACATAACCAACGTAGGTCTATTAATTTCAGTGGGGTTGCTCAGAGTAGAACTTTTTTGGAGACAACCCTCTACAACGAAGGCATACAGTTTTATTTCCTCAGTTATTCTGAGTAAATGGACCCATCCAAATTGGTTTCTTGATTTGCAATGGTTACTTTATCTGACAAGTTGATGTCTGGGGGGAACGACATGTTGAGAGAATTTAGCAAGCTGCTGTAGTAAGAATTATCATGTAGCCTGGATTCATTAATACTAAATCATTCATCATTCATATACCTGCATTAATATCTGTTATTTAGAAGCATAGTTGTCATTATTGTAAAATGAAGTGTTTCTACCACACCAGTGATGGGGAACCTGTAGCCCCCTGATGTTGCTAAGCCGGAGCTCCAATGATCTCTGCCCATTGACCATGCTTGCTAGTCCAACAACATCTGGAGGGCTACAGCTTCCCCATCCCTGCACTAACTTTACAGGTAGCTGATACTAATTCCTTTTCTTCTCACTTTCCTTTTTCTGTCCTCATTTCTCCTGTCCATCTTGTACGTATTCCATCATCCAGGGAAGGTCAGGCGAATCTGGAGCTAGAGGCCCAAAGGGGTCGAAGGTCAGTAGTAAGCAAATTTTGGTTTTACTGATTCAATGTGATGTGGTGAGGTTTTGTGGTCTGTTGTTTAGTTCATTTTATATGTGTATAGACTGCCCTTCAAGCAAACAGTTTGCAGGGAAGATTACATTAAAACGAAGTGACGGCAAAATAACAGAAGGCCTTTTTCTGTGCCAGCAACCTGGTTGTGGAATTTCCCCTCAAAGACTAGTCTCGTCCCTGATGGTCTTTAGGCAGGGAGTGAAAACTTTCTTATTCTGTGTGGCTCTTGATAGTTTTTGACTTATGATTGAAGAGTATTAACTATGCTGCTTTTGATTACAGTCATACCTCGGGTTACAGACGCTTCAGGTTGCGGGTTTTTTTTGGGTTACAGACTGCCGAAACCAGGAAGTACCAGAACGGGTTACTTCTGGGTTTCGGCGGTCGCACATGCGCAGAAGCACCGAATTGCAACCCGTGCATGCACAGACATGCCGCTGTGGGTTGCGAATGCTGCAGGTTGCGAACGTGCATCCTGCACGGATCACGTTCGCAACCTGAGCATCCACTGTATAAGGTTTTTCTTTTTCTGTTTTTGTTACTCGGTAGTGTTTTCTTTCATTTTGTTCTTTTATGTAAATTGCTTTGATCCAGAATGCAGAATACAACTGTTTCAAAGGTAGTCCTGTGGGTAACATTAAAGAAGTAAATCCAAAGTTTTAGCAAAGCATATTTAGCAAAGGCCAGACTGTGCAGGAGAGGCCACAACTGGTATACTAGCCTAAATGGATGAAGGGCACTCTAGATGCTGTTTGGGGCTGTAATGACAAAGCTATATCCAGGAGCACCACTAAAATGTGAAACAGATCCTATACAGTGAGTACAGCTCCATCTAGATCAGACTGAACACTACTGTATCTCCCTCAACACAGCACTCTTAGCTGGATAGATGTTGCCAAGCTTGCTCAGACACATCTTCACACTGTTTCCCTGTATTCAAGAGATCACCAATGATGGGGGGATTTAGCCAAATGTTGCACAATGAGGAACTGTTCCCAACATGACCCTCTGCAAGAAGACAGGCTGCTAAGGTCGCCTCATAGAAGTTTCACTGTGCAAAGGCTGCTAAAGTGTTATTGTTGTTGTTTCTTATTTAAAACCACATTAACACTGAAAACATCTTGGTTCAGTCACAAGCCGAGCTGTACTGTCACAAATAGCTCAGAGCTGTGTACTAATGTCTTTCTAGAGCAGCCTTTCTCAACCTGTGGGTCCCCAGATGTTGTTGGACTACAACTCCCATAACCACAGCTAGCAAGGCCAGAGCTCAGGGAAGATGGGAGTTGTAGTCCAACAACATCTGGGGACCCACAGGTTGAGAACCGCTGTTCTAGAGTCTTCTCTGACTTTCCGCTAGATTATTGTTACTATGAGCAAATGGGTACTCTGTTGCCATCCTAATCAAGTCTCATACTGAATCTAGGCTGATCACAAAGATACAGCCCTTCTGTTATGTACAGTGAACTACTTGCATATGGACCGCAGCTTAGCAAAACACATCTGTTGCTGTTCAAACTCACCAATCCGTGGTGCCATTGGGGGTGGGGCCAGGTGGACAGACCACAGGTGAGCAGGCTTCACTCTGGTCCACACCTGGGGCTTAAATTTGGGGCAGAGCCTGCGCTGAGTGCGCAGTTGGCTTTGGATCTTCAGAGGGAGTAGCAGGTTCCAGTGAAGACTCAGAGAGAAGTGTGTCGTGGGACAGAGCTACTCATAGTGAGTTGGTGAGTTTATCGTGTCCTTCCCCACGTGAAACTTGAAATACATATTTTGCTTTTTATTAGGGTGATTCTGGAGACAAAGGTGATTTGGGGGCAATGGGTCCAAGGGTAAGTGACTACCATTTGAGCCATTTCATGCAGCATGATATTCGTTGCAGCTCATTTCCTCAAGCCGCCCAGATGAAATCAGCAACATTTTAAAACAACTAAAGTATATGTCTAGGTAGGCTTGCGGAAATAAAAAAATTGTTTTCCGCAGGCATCTAAAACAGTATAGCAAGAGTACCTGTTTGATGTTAATAGGCAAAGAGATCTAAAAGTATTCAGCCACACTAAAAGGTTGACTCCTTAGAGAAGCAAAACAGGTATTATCTGTGAATAAATATTATAGCCTTGATCTGCAACATTTTAGCTTTGATTTGCATTATATCTCTGATGCACACTGGGTTGTGATGTGCTTTTCTGAGACTGCACATTCCAGTTGTTATAATATTAGTCAGTTTTCCATTTAACACATTGGTATGATCAGACTAAAAGAACACATTGTCACTGATGGCATTGAATAGATGATTAATCTTGTCTGTTCTAAAGTTATCATTAGCATTATCAAGGCCAATCAACTCTTAAGCACGTCCATCAAGATTTTATGTGCATTTGCACACCTTGGGTAGCACAGACTGTGTGATACCAATAAGCTATCTGAAGAGTGTGAGCTTGGTGCAGCATTTGAAAATGAGGCAAGAAATATGCATCAATCCATCATATTCTGGTATAAATCTTCCAGGCAGCTAACATGCCATTTCTGTAATATAACAAAATGATACCCTGAATGGAACTGTGCTGTAATCAGCAGCTCAGGCAAAATTTTATGTTGCCTTCCTCAAATTGATGAGAATAGTGAGTGATTTGTATCCTGTTCTCTTGATCCAAATAACATTTTGGGGTGAATGTTTTACAGGGCCCTCCTGGACAAAAAGGTGATCAAGGGGCAACAGAGATAATTGATTACAATGGCAATATCCACGAAGCTTTGCAGGTATGTCACCAGACGTCATGCACAGTAGGCATAATTATATTTTTCCTTCCATGCCCTTTGAGTTGGAATAGAAAGTGTAATCATGGTATTCATATGTTGCCATAGTTTAGGAGTTGAGTATGTGCTTTGCATCCATCCATCCATCTATCCATTGCCAGTCCCTGTGAAATATCTCAGCAAGGCTGGTAAAGAACTCAGAAAGTACACAATGGTAAGACACATATGAAACACAAATGTCTGATAATAATTTCTTAGAAGGTTTGGGTGATTTCAACTCAGCCTGTTGAAATACCTGGGTTACACTGGGTTACACTGCCATGATTGAAATTTCTATAACCACATGAGGAGAATCGAATAGGTCTAAAAGCCATCCGATGTAAGTAGATCTAAAAGGACTTGTAAAAGATGCTCAGTCTTTGAATCTCCAAGTGAAGACGAACAGCAGTATTGCTATATGTCAGCTGTACCCTAATAATTAGCAGTGATCTTTTTCTGTCTTCCGAGATTCGTCAATGCACACTGAACTTATGGAAAATTCAGAATTTGGCTGTTATTTAGCTCCCCTCAGGACTTGGAATGCTGTTTCAAGTAGGAATTGGCTTTGTTCCTCACAAGAAGGCTGTCCTCCTGGATGTGTGCTTAAGACCAGGGAAATAAACCAAAAAATAAGACAGAATTTGGCTGGCTGGCTTGCAGTTCCTCTGAGTCATTCCTTCAACTTCATTACACGGGTCATTAGAGAATAAGTCATTTTCATTCAAGCAGCACAGAACACTGTAAGAATTCAAAACCAAATAAGACTGTTTCACCTAGAAGAAGTGGCCAATCCCGATGTTCACTTCTTCTTCCTTCAGAAAGATCAAAGACTACAGTGAGCCCCAATCCAGTGAGATTATTTTACCCATGCACTACACAGGGGGTTATGTGTATGAACAGTAGGGCTCTCGCACTGCAGTCACATGCCTACCCAGAGGCCAGTTCTGTTAAGGGTCTTATGGTCAGCTAAATAGGTATTGAATGACAGCATTAGTAACCTTTAGCGCTTTGCACAAATGATCTCTCAAAGTTCTCCACTATTTCTATGGGAAGATAAATTAGAGGCCATTTTACAAATTTCTTAGTTTAGGTGGAGAAGAAATTATTAATTTCTCTATTTTTTCTATGGTGTTTCTTTTACTTTTGCAAGTGGTAGCAGCATTAACTATGTTGGCAGCCATCCACCACTTTAACCTTACACAACATTCCAGAGCATTAGGGTAGTTGGGAGAATGTAAGCTACACACACCCAAAAAAGTTGAGAATTTTCAGAGGGGGAAAGAATATTTAAAGTGATCTTTCTCTAAGAGAGTGGGTCTGAGAAAGAAAAATCTCAGGCTATTTTCCCAGGAAAAATAATGGCTTCTAGGAAATTTGGACTCACCTCGTCTAGTTTTGCCTAGTATTAAGTCCTTCAGCAGCAGTACTCCAGCAAACTGCTTTACAAACTGTATTTCAAGCTAAATATTTTTTCATACATTACCTGTGTAGCTGTTATTTTCCATAATAGTAAATTGTTTGTTTGCTTGCTTGCTTGCTTGCTTGCTTGCTTGAGTTCATACATGCCCTTTTCTGTAAGATCCCTTGGTGGGTTGCAACGATATTACAAATGGTTAAAACAACTTACAAACATAAGAAGCATATATATTGGATGTCAAAGGCCAGGCCACTATAGATGTCCACCTCTGACTCATTTCTGCAGATCAGGATCAACAGTTGTAAAGAGAGGTTTGGTCCTTAAATCCTACATTTTATAAAGTGTGTGGAGTAAATATTGCCATAAAGTGATATTAGGTATTAATGCTAGGTATACAATAATGACAAAACCAGTGTATTAGAAACCATTAATTTACCAGAAAAGAAAGGAGTATTTAAAACTAATACATCCATTTGGATGAGAAAATGAATTCAAAGCTCTAAACACTATAGGTCCCAAATGAATCAGACCATTTCCAACAATTATCTGTATGCCAAGTTTGCTACAACAGGGGCATGTAGAGATATATTTCGTCTATGGGATTCCCTTTTCCTTCCATGTGCAGATTGCCAAAATCCAACTTGGACTGTTTTATGGAAATGATGCAAGGGTTTTTATTTGAGTCATAGTTTAGTGGTCAGAGATAGTTTAGTGGTCAGAGATAAGCAAGGGGTTGCTTTAGTTATACATTTATTAATAATCCTTGTGTTTCCTTTATTCTGCCCTATAAAGATTGGTATCAAGCCAGCACTTTCAAGGAGCAATGCAGGCTATAAATCAAAACAGACAAGCACGGTGCTTCTCAAGTCATTTTTCATGGCGTTAAGCAGAGCTGAATATTAGTGTGCTTCATTCTTTGTAACTCCTTTATATGAAATAATTGAAAATGTTCCACCTTACAGAGAGCCATTACAATGCTAGATGCTAGATTCCTAGTTAGGATGATACCACTCTTTTATGGAAGTAAGCAAAGTAATATTCTGTTAGATGCAGACAATAGGTGATGGGGTTCTTCAATAACTGTGCAGGATAATTTTTATAAACAATCAGCCTAGCAAATAGTGTTTTCTTACTCTAGTAGTGTTACTGCAATTCATGAACAATAGTATGTAACCAGCACAGCTTCTCAAAGTTTGATGAGACACTGTTCTTTTTCTAAAAGACTATGTAGTACTATCAGGAAAAGTGTGAGGATTATACCACTTACCTTCTCACAATGTGCCTATGTGTTTGAGTTGGACTTAGCAGTTTGAAAGCATACCAGCGCGAGTACATAAATAGGTACCGCTGCGGTGGGAAGGTAAACTGCATTTCCATGTGCTCTGGCACTCGTCATGGTGTCCCATTGCTCCAGAAGCAGTTTAGTCATGCTGGCCGCATGACCCAGAAAACTGTCTGTGGACAAGCGCCGGCTCCCTCGGCCTGAAGTGAGATGAGTGCTGCAACCCGGTAGTCACCTTTGACTGGACTTAACTGTCCAGGGGTCCTTTACTTTTACTGATAAGGATCACAGTCTTAAATTGCTGGTGTATCTCTGAGATTAGTAGGTCTATTTCTGTCCTGACCATACTGGAAACTCATTGGAATTTGAAGAATACACAAGAATATCATGTTTAAAGAAATGTCTGTTTCTAACAGTAATTAAACCTATGCAGCACATTCCACAAAGTATTTAAGATTTGAGTACTCTTAAGCTTATTAACGTCTTTGATGCCAATGTTCTCTAATGTGTGGATCACAGACATTTACTGGCAATGCAAATATATCCTTTTCAAAATCTGGAGGTGCCTTGGGCATGAAAATCTTATGGACAGGTTTAAGTTTTTTAAAAACAATCATACTAATTAATATCAATTGTGTTTAATGTTATAAAAAAGACAGTTTTCTTTAATTTATCTGAGACAGGCAAACACTTATCCCAAACTGCCCAAATTCTGTGAAATCCATTACTAAACAAGCAAAGTATTTTATTTCAAACTGAACATCTGGTAACATTGTCTTCTGTTAATACATTTTGCCAACAGAGGATTACCACCCTAACTGTCACGGTAAATCCTATTGCATGACTTATAGTGTTTTGTAGCTCTTTTCTTCCTTGGTGTTGCATGTTCATAACTTGCCTGATTTAGAATGTGTCTGTTTCATCAGATATTGACTTATCACTACATATATTTCTACATCAAGTGTTATCAGTGTTGAAAACCAGGACTGCAGTTGAAATTAATAGCAATGATCCCATTCATTTCAGTAAAGAAAATGATTTAAAACTCTTGTTTGCTAGTCTAACAAGTTTATCTTTATTACAGCTGTGCATTTTCACTTCTGTTTCTTTTAGTAGGAATTTTTGAAGGCAAGGCTTGCGCAGGATATTTCCCAGTAGTTTTGTGTTTTGGATTGGGTTTTTTTTAAAAAAGCCGTATTTCATAGAAGTTATATGCTAGAAGACACAGACCACACTTACTCCAGAATATTCTTTAATTCATCCTGTAGAATTCATTAGGATCTAAATGACAGTGCTCCAAAATAAGTGATTTGTGAGCTGCAACCAGAGTTGTCATCTCAAATGCAACTTCTTTACATTAAAAAATGTCCCTTTTCCTGTTCAGTGTTGGTAGAAAGTAAGTGTATTAATTCCAGATGTAAAAAACATGGTTAAAGGAAATTTCAGTTGAGCAAGCTGAAAATTTGTCTGTACCTCAAGATCTGATACAGTGAACATGGTCGTCTTCCTCCTCCTCCTCCTCTGCCCTCTGCTTTCATTAACCCCCAGTGGATGCATGCTGGACTAGACTAGAATTCTGCCATGCAGTATTGCTAGGAAATAAAGATAGTTAAGACTATGAGGCTTCTTGGAAGGTAATTAACTATCTCTAGCAGTTCAGAGAAGCATGTTTTGACATCTGTATGGATGCTTTTAAAGCCGTAGATATTCTTTCTGGGACATCTCACTGCAGTGTAGCCCTTGGAGTGGTAATAGCCACATGTTAAATCTGTGCTGCAAAAACCTGAAGTTCCACAGTCCAGAAGAACGGGGCATGGCTTGCATGCAGGAGGCATCAGGGCTAACCCCCAGCATCTCCAGTAGACCTCAAATAGGGCTAGGAAAGTTCTCTAATATCTTAACAAGCAACTACCAGTACTAAGTTCACCTGTGAGTCTGTGCTCGAAACACAAAGGAAACTGTATTACAGTCACCATAAATTATGTGGTGCATTGTGTTGAAGGAGGTTAAAGGGTTCTGTAAAAACTTAACTAATTCCAAAAATGAGATGGGGATCTGTAGTTAAGAATGGTTTCATCTGTGAGCTGAGATGTTCTGTCCTGAGTCCTCACTTGCCTTTCCCCCTTCTGCTTATGTGCTTTCTACCTCACACAAGAAGTGATTTCAAAACCACACGAACCTATTCCTGTCCAATTCATGGAAGGCATAGTGATGTGTGTGTTTGCACTTTTGTCTTTTACTGTTTCTTGTGCATTTGCACACACCTGTAGCGTAAATACTGCTTCCATGATTTACATGTGTATATTGCCAATCTTGCTATGTGAGATTTTACAATAAGAAAATAGTTAAGGACGTATATGAGCATGGCAGTAAAACTGTCTATGAACAAGGTCGAAATAGACACATTAATGCAGGTAGCGAAATTCCAAAGTCGGCTTCTGTTAATGGAACAAACAAGAAGGTGTGATTTTCAGTAGAGAGGTAACAGTGGGTAGTGCTTAAGCCTTCCAGTACATCACTTTTTCACTGCAGTGTTTTTCATTAAGCTCCTTTATCCTCTATGGCATATATATATAATGCCAGTGTCAAGAAAAACTTTATCTAAACATATCAGCCCTACCTCTTTGGCACAGAATCCTTCTGAGAGGCAAGCACAGGATTTTTCTTATGATTTAGCTGAATAAGAAACAAGCAGAGGCCCTGAAAACTTAATTCTGTGTTAGGGTGGGCTCATACCTAAGGTTTGCACTATGTGAAGTCATCTTAATTCATGCAACAAGAAGGGAGTTGCTATCCACACAATTAGGCCTTTACCCTGTTCCACCGCTCACTACCTAAATGCCAATAGCTGCACATGGCACAGGTTAGCTGTTGGCAGAGAACTTACTTACACAGCAATTCAAATGGCCACCATTTGCCCAATGGTCCAAAAAAAAATTGCTCTTATTTCAAAGTTAAATGTGCTTGTTTTGTTTGCAGAAAGCTATAGACTTTGTTACCTAGAAGTTAGAATGCTAATGGGCATTCTAATAGAATTTCTGTTTAAGAGAATAATAATTGAATTGAATTTCAATATGTTTGTGCTGTCTGTAGTTGATCATTGAGTGTCATAGTTGTTAACTGCTTCTTAATACAGTGTTGTTGTTTTGTCACATTGGTTTGTTACTAACGAAGATTAGTATAACTGTGCCTGACAGATAAATACTTTGGAAATCTGGATGGTGCTGGATTAAAAAATGAACTGTTGTTTACCTTCAGGGTCCTCCAGGTCCACCTGGACCCCAAGGATTGCAAGGGTCAAAGGTGAGTCTCCAACTGTTACTCATTTGACGAAGACCCCCTGAGCTTTAATTTATTTCTATGCAGAGTATGGTCTGAAGGCACATATGAGGCTACCACTTTGTAGAAGTTAAGGGGTCAGGGTGTGATCATTGTCTGGGTTGGTGACCTTCTGGAAGCAGCATGTATGCTATCTTGGGTTCCATGATGGAATAAAGGCGGGACGTCAGTGTAATAAAATAAATACTGTGCTCTTAAATGCATAATCATCACTAATAGCACAATCCTATGCTTGTCTAAGGAAGCCCCACTGAGTAACTGTGTGTAGGATTTCAGCCTAAGAAACTTTTTACTGCATTATGTTTTATATTTTATTTTTCTTTCCTTAATATTTATTAATAATTTTAGCCAGCATCACAATAAGTCATTTAATTAATAATTTAATTTGTAATTTTAAATTAAGATACCTTAATTTACCCTAAGTAACCATACACAGTCTGTGTTCTTTTTGATTCTCATCTAAAAAATACTGTTGCTCAAAAGGTGGCCAGGAGAACAGGAGTAGCCAACATGGTGCCCTTCGGATGTTTTCAGGCTATAACTCCCATCCAACAATTTATGGAGGCCGTCTGTATAACTGAAATGGGTGGTCTCCAAAACATTCACACATCCACCTAGATGTGAGATTATTATAGACCAGCATAGTTAATTCATATTGACCCAGTTTGGACCTAATAGTATACCACGGTTTAACACTATGCGGACAAATGTGGACAAAGGCTCACAATCCTAGGAGCCCCCTCCACTTCTTCATCACAGCCATGAAGAAGAGATAAGACAACTTTCAGACTAACTGCAGCTTATTTTTATTTGTAAAATAATTTAAAAACAGCTGTTTCTTATTTCCTTGTGGCTGTTCCATAAGAGGGATGGGTGTGTGTGTAAGCCTAAGAATCAAGAAGTCTTATTAACAAAGCATTGAACTACAGTATATTCCAGGAAATAATAACTTAGTGAAATTGATTTTCACTTTGCAGGGTGAACCCGGATCTCCAGGATTGCCAGGTGCTGATGGAGAGCAGGTACTTGAACAATTATTGCTACTGAGCATATGAATGATACAACAGTAGGTATAAAAAAGAGATATAGATAATAAATAAGATAATTATTTTTGTTGCACAACTCTTTCTTCCCCTTTTCTTTTCTTTTCTTTTCTTTTGTTATGGAATGAAAGATACTGCCAAAAATAAGTGAATATAGTACCAAGAAACAACCCAGAAGATGTTTCTGGATTTACTGGCCCAGTTCCCACATCATGGTAAACCATGGTTATTAGCTCACTGGGAGGGGGAAATGCTTTCCATATAAAAGGTCCCAGTTTTAATTCCTTGCATCTCCAGTGCTAAGAGAGACTTGGGTCTGAAACCCTGAGAACTGCTTCCACTCATTGTAGACAGCACTGTCCAAATCTACTTGAAGGAGTGGTCTGACTCAGCATGAAGCAGCATCCTGTATTGCAATATTTACTGTGAATATACTGTATCAATCTGGGGTGTTCTGCTGCTTTTCACTCACAATGAGGAGGAAGAAAACCACAATATATGGTTCAGCATTATTTCCAAACCAGAGATCACGGTTTGTTTTCCTCTTACAAACCACTATTAGTCATCCAAGAACAAAACTTAGCTGCAGATTGTAGTTTGTTGGGAGTGAAACCAACTATGATCCCTGGTTTGGACATAATGCTAAGCCAGGGATTGTGGTTCTTTTCCTCCCAGTGGAAGCTAATGGAAGGAAGGCAGAGCAAAATGGGAGTGGTTTTTTTATACACAGTAAGCCATGCTCTGAGGTTGATTTTAGATGATCTTGTAATATAAAACTCATTTATGTGGCTGTGCTATTGCAGGGGCCTAAAGGCTCAAAAGGTGATACGGGTGACCCTGGAGTACTAGGAGAAAAAGGAGGAATTGGACTTCCAGGATTGCCAGTAAGTTTGCTTTAAAATGTACCTGCATTTTTAATTACATCTTCAGTGTCTGCTTACTCTTTAAAAGTCAAACAATATTATTATGAAGAGGGCCATTTTAGCACCATGCAGAAAGACCGACACATAGAGAAAGGTCTCTCTAACAAGGAGCTTATAAGGTACACAATGACAGAAAGAGAGATAACAGGAGATCAACAGAGGCAGGGGAAGCAGAGGAGAAAATGTGTACAAAGTGATGTATTTGGCTTAGTTTAGTTTCACAGGATGAAGATTAAGAGCTCCAACCAAAGACATATGTGAAAAGAGAACTTTAAGGAAGGCTTTGAAGGAAGAGAGAGAGACAAAGAGAAGGAACCATTTGGGTGCTTTCTGAAGTGATTTCCAGGCAAATAGGGCAGTGAGGAAATGTCAGCTTATTATCAGTGCAACATGATACAAAATACTCATGATAAAAAAATGCATGGGATGTATGAACCTTAGAGCAAAAGTTGTATATGTCACAGCATGCCCTTCTAGCCATCTCTTTTCCTTTGGGAACATTGAAGTTTAACTGCTTTGATGGATAAACCATTTGCTCTGTTTTCACCCTAGAACGTGAAATTTGTCAAAATTTCAAAGAGTATGTTAATTGAACAGTGAAGGGGGTGGTGGAATCTTTTATAAGGAGAGGCACTTTACTGGGATTAATCTTAAATGTATTGAGATGCAACCTATTCGCAGTTATTCCTGGGTAAGTCCTTTTGACTGTTATCTCATTACAAGGATCAAAATTTAACCACAACGTATTTTAAGTGATTGTAGAAATGTAATTTTAAATAGTGAGTAGTAAAATGATTACACTTTAAACACAAGAGAAAAATGTTCCGTAGTCTGGGCTCTCTGTATTTACTATGACATTTTGGCATGACACATCATTGATATTTGGCAGTCTGATTGAGCAGTGCTGTTCTGTGCACAGTAGGGATACTGTACCCATGAAAAATCTGCTCCTTATTAGCAGCCCCCTATGGGATCTTGTATACAGAAAACAAGAACAGATGCACATGGGGTCCTACTGAACATGTATCATGTTCAGCAGATCTGCTGATCAATTTCTATGTGCACAAGATGTTCTGTCTTGAAATGGCCATTATTAGTGATGCTGTCAAAGTTGGTAATTACCTGGTTCAGAATGCCCATCCGCCAATGCTTGAGTGTATTACCTAATTTCCCTAAGAAATTATTGTCCAGTTTGTGGTGTAAAATGAGATTATTTATGTGTGCCATGTGTGAAAATCAACCCACATCAAATTACTGTATAAAGCACTAGTCAAGCACGATTCTGTAATTTACAGGTCAGTGTGTCTAGATAGAGGCCAGTATTTGTATCTGTAACTCCACAAAAAAAGCAAAATTGTAGTAGACCATCCAGAAAATGCCCTCACACAAATTTGCCTTGTACTTTCATTTAGTTCATTTTATTTAAACCCCATCTTTGAAACAAGAAGCTCATGTTGGCTAACGAAAGATAAACTTAAAGAATAATATAAACTAAAAAGAATAATAAACTTAAATGTAATAGAATAAACTATAAACAATGAAGCAAATCAGCTAACAGAAACAAAATGTAAGGGTCACTGAAACTGTAAACCTGCCATAACGTCAACTGTAGAGACATACTCCAAGTACATTAACACTGCAATCATATATGTGTCTACTCAGAATTAAGTCCCATTGAATTCAAATCTGACTTCAGATCAGATATAGGTTGGCTTGTGCTGTAAACGTTGTTGAGACAGGATATGGGCATAAAGCAAAATAAATGATGCCTATAATTATAAGTGTAAGTGATGTAATGAAAATCTGTCTTCTGAACTAAACAGTATCCATGAGTTGATAAGATGAAAGCTTTGTTCATTGCATCAATACTGATTTTGTAGGGATCCAATGGTATGAAAGGAGAAAAAGGAGATGTTGGCTTGCCAGGTCCTCAAGGTCCCTCTGTAAGTATTTCTATGCTATCTCAGTACTTCCATAAAAATATACTAATGTCTTCTATTAAATAATTTTTTATTTTTAAAAAAGAATGTTTTGGCATCACAGTGCAAGGGCATCAAACAGACCAACCATTTAAAAATGTTTGAAATAAAAGCTGATAGTGATGGTCTTGGAGGGCCACAGAAATGTTTTGCAGGGTGGAATATGGCCCACTGATTAGTTCAGCACCCCTTCTCTATTGCCTTCTTGATAAAGGCTAATGGAGAGACCATTCAAATAAGTTTTTCTATGTGATACAAAGCAACAGTGCATTAGCATTTATTATTGCAGGCACAGGAATGGTGAGTAAGTTAGCTCACCTCTTGAATTGGAATGCCGACCACTGACAAATATTTATTTCTTGTTTATTAAATACTCCGATGCTGTATGGTAAATGCTTTACTGATGTTTCAGTTATGTTTTGTAGATCGCTTTTATTGCATTCTATTTGTTGCAAGCTGCCTTGTTACATTTTATGAAAGAACATTTTCAAATAAATAGTATATTTTATCTCACATAAAGGATTGCAGCTTTCAGGCAGATGAGAGGTGCTACAATTCAGTAAGAACATGTGTTAGTCTGAACTAATTATCCTGCTTTTATATGTAGATCATAGGACCACCAGGACCTCCAGGCCCTCATGGTCCACCTGGACCTATGGTAAGTCCTTTTTGGTTATCACATATGCAACCGCTGAGAGATCAGACCAAAGGAGAATCGTTCCTCTTTCTGGAAGCTGTGGGTGGAAGACATTGCAAGGGCAGGGCTGGTTGTGGCAGGAGGCAGGAGGCAGGAGGCAGGAGGCAGGTATTAGTAGGATCAAGACATGGGTATTTTTGTGGGTGTAGGGCAAATGATGACATCTGAAATTGTGGAGCAAAGGGCTCTTGGCCGTATAAATGTTGGCAATAATTTGTATGTCTGACTGCATATCAAGGGGGGGAATATGGAGAATCAAACGTTTTAGACATGGATCCAGTTGACTTTGAAAATTGATTGTAGTTGGAAGTTGATGCAGAGTTTCATTCTGTCTTGACTGATTAGGTATTTGCCAGTTAATTGAGGATTATGCAGCTTTGGACAGCGACAAGAACAGCAAGCACTAGCTATTGGCAAAGACCAATTTGTAGTTTAGAAATGTCCTCTCTAACTATGACATTTTCATTCTTATTTTTTAGGGACCTCATGGACTTCCAGGCCCAAAGGTAAAGAATCCAATACACAACTAACTTCATTATGTTTATTTGTTATGCACTCATTCTCGTTAATCACGTTGAAGCATGCAGTCATGTTTTGTTCTTCGTCGCACTTTTCTGTTAAATGTGTTTTTTATATTCTTAAACCTTTAAGCAGCTGTTTAAGATAAAGCATTAAAAATATTTTTAAATGATTTATGGCAATTTCCTGTGTCTGTTCCTCATCACCATAAGTTGAATTAGCTTTCTATAATGTTAATTATAGAGCGCCAATAAAAATATCCAGTTGTCTGGTGAGAGATTCAAGCTATGCCATTTGGAACTACCTTACACGTAAGCTTAGAAAAACAGGGGATGAGTGTGTTGTGCACTTAAGAAGTAAAGTAAAATCATTTCCAGATATTACTTTCTTCTTTACCTCTCTCCTTCATTCCTACTAATCTTTTCTGCTCAAGCTCCCACCTTTTACTACCTTTTATGATAAGTTCTCTTTCATTCTTTCTGTCCATGCCTTCATCTTTGAAAAGGCATTGCTAGCAAGGGTCTATATCAGCGAAGTCTTCATTGCTACTGCTGGAAGTGTTATTCCAGATATATGGGGAAAATCCTTCAGAAGGAATATAACCCTGAAGGAATATGTATTTGAAAGAACTTTGTATACCATAGCTAAACTTAGTTTCATTTTTTAAAAACTCTTTTACCAGAATATGTTGTTTGTTTGATTGATTGTTTTGAAAGGAGAGAAAAGAAACATGCTGAGACCATTATGTATAGCATTGAACACTCACAAAACTGACCATAGTTTGTTACATGCCAGGGCTAGCCTAATCTGAACTTAAGCATTTTAATGGAACTCATGACTCCTTGAGATTCTCCAAGCACCAAGTACTGTAGTTTTTGTTTCTACAGCTTCAACAGCACAATCCTACACATGTCTACTCAAAGTTAAGCCCCATTTCATTAAATGAAACTTATTTTCAGGTATGTGGGTATATGGTTGCAGCCTAAAAGAATGGGATTGTAATGAAGTATGCAGTTGTGGAAAGAAAGCAATTCTTCTGCTCTTGAGTACCAATAAAAGAGTAGGATATTTTCAGAGTAATAATAATAATCTCAAAATAAATGGTCTGAAAAATTTGAGGGTTGCAAGATTCAGTTCAGTCAACTTCTTTAGAATGCCCATTGAATTAAATTGAGCAAAATTAGAATATCATTTTTGTGTTTCATTTTCATTCAAGCCTCTTTTGAAAGCTTTATCTGTCACAGATTCACTCAAACAACCTTGAGAATAAGCGTGCTAATAATTATTTGTTAGAAAACCCTAGCTTCTGCAGAGCAAGGGAATATTGGCGCTGTAGTTCTCTGGGTGTATGTGTGTGTGGAGAGAGGGGGGGATATCTGAGATCTACAATAACAAGATTTCATTGCTTAGGAGCCATGACAGTTAAATAGGCTTGGAAGTGGTTTAAACTGCAGGGTGGACATTGCCCTTACAGTCATATAAGGATACAGTAGCAATGATCTTGGGCAGCTCCCCATGGGCTTGTGCAGAAGAAGTTTTTAGCAGATTGTACTCTTATTAGCCTATGCTTCAAAGTGGGCTTACTCCTGGAGAGCAAGCTTTTAATGTGGATTTTAATACATAATATATAATAAAGCTATATTATAGCATAATGTTTCATACATTAACATCATGTGAAATTTCATAAACAAGAAAAGATCACTAACTTCTGTTGTTAATAGGAGTGTAATCACCTTTTTAGAGACCATTTCCTCATGGTTCCAGTGCATATTCCAATAAATCACACTCTTCCTCTGTTTAATTAATTATGCTTAAAGGTTTAGAATATCTTTCCAAGATGTACTGCACATTCCAGTTCACCATGAGAAGAAAAAGGGACCACTTAAGGCTCACAATTTTGCTTCAGTTATTCAGAAATGTTTCAACATCATCATGATGAAGACTTGATTTGAATTTGCAAAATAATTGTGAAAGCTGTATGCCTTTGGTTTTAATACAGATCACTAACATTCCTCCTTTTATTATATCATAGTCTGATAAAGTATATTTCACTGAATAGAACCAGTTGTGTTAAAGAACTGGAGTTTGCATCCACATCTTTGACTGGCTCTCTTCTGTCCCAGCTTGAATATCTCTACCAGCACCCCCAATATACTTATACTTTTACATTTAGGGTGAACCAGGGTTAAATGGTCTTAAAGGATTGAAGGGTGAACCAGGTCACAAGGGTGACAGAGGGCCCCTTGGTCTTCCAGTAAGTAAAATACCTATTCAATTTCAGTGCAAATTGCAAACTACTCTTTCTGCTTTCAACCAAAAACTCTGGTTTACTCAATAGCAAATATAAAACTATATCATGTTGGAGTAAAACATTAGTCTTGTTTTGTTTTTATCCAGAGTCTGTTCTTGTATCATTTCATAACACATAGTTCTGTCAGATGTTGGTTTTAATTTTTATTACCATTTTTGTGTCATTTGTCAGTGTCAACAATGTTACAGCATCATGTTCCTCCACATTAATTATGCCATTACTGAATGCTGCGTGGTGTTTGATTTTACTATTTTAAGTATAGTGTGTATATATTTAAATTCAATATTTTTTTCCTTGAGTGCAGTATTTATAAGGATTGAGACGTTAAGGGTGAAGTCTTAAGAAACTAGTTTGTGTAACTTTAAGTGTTTTTCATTTACTCATAGGTTTGTGGAATTGTTCTGATTTGACTATTTTGGAATAGTTCTTGTTGGTGGTGCTTGTAGTAAATTTGCCTTCAATGAAAGTGTGCTAAAATCAGGATTACTCAATATTGCCTTGAGTGAAAGAAGTGAAATGAATGTGCTGGAGCTAGACTATGTTAGCCATGCTATAGCCCCATTAAAATCAATCACACTTAAGATAGTCATCATGACTAACGTGTCCCACAGTTTTCAATGGGACAAATATGTGACTAAGTTAATATGGATCCAACCCAGTGTTTGGTTTCTTGTAGTCTTAAAGGTAAAGGTAAAGGTACCCCTGCCCGTACGGGCCAGTCTTGACAGACTCTAGGGTTGTGCACCCATCTCACTCAAGAGGCCGGGGGCCAGCGCTGTCCGGAGACACTTCCGGGTCACATGGCCAGTGTGACATCGCTGCTCTGGCGAGCCAGAGCCGCACATGGAAACGCCGTTTACCTTCCCGCTAGTAAGCGGTCCCTATTTATCTACTTGCACCCAGGAGTGCTTTCGAACTGCTAGGTTGGCAGGCGCTGGGACCGAACAACGGGAGCGCACCCTGCCGCGGGGATTCGAACCGCCGACCTTTCAATCGGCAAGCCCTAGGTGCTGAGGCTTTTACCCACAGCGCCACCCACGTCCCATTCTTGTAGTCTTATAATACCATAAATACAAACACGTTTTACCAGTCTTTTTCAGTAGACTTTTCACATAGTGAAATGAAAGATGACCCAAACCAGTTAAAATAATTGAGACACACTGTTCAGAAGAGGCACAGTCTAGGAAAATCAAGCACTTTTAAATCAGTTGAATTCAATGGGAGTTCCACATGTGCTTAACTATTTCCTACTGAAATCAGTGGGGAATTAAAGTGTCTAACTTTTCCAGGGGAAGATCAAGTTTTTAAAAATACTTGAAGGGCCCAATGCTCACAGACATTGGTTCTTTCCAGTGAAGCCATCTGACCTGTTCAATTCAGACAGTAGTATTAGCACTTTTGGAATTTTGCAGCATTGGGCTTTCCTTGTTCACAGAATATCCACCAGGGGTCCTCTGTTCCTCAGCAGTGCCAGAATGAATAGTATAAAACTTTACAAAAGTTTTATACATGCTGGTGGGAGACCACATCCTATGGAAGTGATAGGTGAAACTAATTTCAGTGAATTAACATTGCCCTAGTGAAAACCATTAGCACACTGGTGCGCTCAGGAACATGTTTTAAATTTTAATACAGTGAAGAAATCGAAATATTCTTTAAGAATCTAGGTGTTTTTTCTCATCTTATCATTAGGGCTTTCCAATGGGAACCCATATATTGTTTGCAATGCTCCGCAGTTTTCTTCTCCTTTCAGTTCTGGTAATGAAAAGACAGTTGACATGTCTGTGCAAAATTCATAATTCCCCTTGTTTTATCTTCCAAGTTAAAAGTCTGTTTTACTAACCTATGAATAGAGATGTGTGTGTTAAAGTACAAATAAACTTCCATGATAATATATGAGGTTTGTAGCACTAATACATCTAGGGGCTCATTCTGATTTCATAAAATTGAGGTGAATTTCACTAAAAATAGTGAGATTACCTTAATGTAGGACACATTGCAAAGGGGATCAGAATCAGACTCTTCATGTTGTGTGTAAATTAAAACTAACCTAATGCTGTACTGTGATACTTATTCTAGAACCCTGTAGCAGCTCGCATCCTGTGTATAAATAGAAGTTGTATTTGTTTCATCATCACCAGTTACTAATCTCACATTCTTGTCATTCGTGTTATCCCTGCCATCTATGCTTCCACTTAACCATACAGGGAGCATCTGGCTTAGACGGAAAGCCAGGACCCCGGGTGAGTCCCTTGTGTTTGTATGTCATACTTCACTACTAAATCTACATGCTTTACGGCAGGCAGATTTCTTTTGCAGTTCAGTGTGGTACCACTGCTGCTGCTGCTATCCCTACTGGTACAGTGCTGACTAGGCATTTTACAGGATGCTCCGTCAGAGGAGGAGCCCCGGCTAACAAAAAAGCTAATAACCTTCGAGATGCAAAGGGCCTAAGGTGCTATAGCTGTGTCCAATGTGAAATACCGGCTGCAACTAACCCTGTTATACAGCTGCCTAAATATACCTGCTACATAGGGCTAGTGCATGGGATAAAGAAAAAACAACACCTTGTCCATGACAGGTGACATGATAGAAGACGAGGCTACAGTGAAATCACTGATCTCATCATTCAAATAAAAATGTCCAACTGGCTGCATCACCCTTGCCTGGTGCATTGATCTGATCCTGCTAGCTTTGTTAAGGAAGCCAGCTTTCAAAGCCTGCATTAGTAAAATTTATGTTTGATTCAGATACAGGCTTCTTTTCTTTCTCTTTTGCTTATATTTCTTCCTTGAGAGTCAACGTTAGAAAGCTACTGTTTGCAATGCTCAGAACAAGCCCTTCCTGATCTTTTTAAACCACTAAGTTACACCACGTTAAAAGACACTGCTCTTCTCCTGCTATTTGAAACAAATATTGCAGCTTTCGAATGACGGAGAAGTTAAGGAATAGCATAGCGGTAAACTTAAAATCTCCTCCTCTAAGCTTGCCATCTATCCTTGTGGGTCTTCATGTGAATTGTGCATGATTGTTGTTGATGTTGTTGTTGTTGTTATCCTAAGTCCCTTTGTTTCAACCTTTAACCTATGCCCCTGCTATCTGAAAACCTTTAAATCAGCTGATCTACAACAAGAAAGTAGAGATGAATGAGATGGGAGGAAGCACTGTTTGAGCTTGCCAGAAGGATTGGGAGCTCAGCTGCCCCTTCAGTGAAAGTCCAGCCCATATTCTCTGCCTGATTCTCATGAAATTCTTTGCTAAATATAAACCTTCATTCAGAGTTGTCAGCTCCTATTTGTTTAATCTTTCAGGGCATGGATGGTCCAGTTGGTCCTCATGGCCTTGCAGGTCCAAAAGGAGACAGAGTGAGTGTTTGCAGGAGATCTTCTCTTTGGGGTGGTTCACTTCTTTTGCATGATAAAGGTATCAGTTCAGCATATTGAATTGTGCTCGTTCTCTTGCAGATATAAATAAAGAGGATTCGTAGTTGTGCAAAAAATAACACATATTCACACACCCCCCCAAAAAAAGAGAACTAGAACAATAAATTATTTATTTAATTTGTGTGTGTTTTTTAGTTACTTATATATTTTGTTAGTCACTTTATCATGCTCAAGGCAACCTAAAGCAATTTACAAACTAACAAAAAACCCACATAGCTACATACTATTTTTTAAAATGAAATTAAAATGAAATAACCAAATCATTTAAAGGTTCAGGATTTTAAAGCTAAAATGTTTGTTGTTGTTTTTCAAAAATATTTGTAATAGCTCAGTCAGTAAAGCATAAGACTCTCAATCTCAGGGTTGTGGATTCAAGATTCCTCCATTATAAGAGGCTGGACTAGATGACCCACGTGGCCCCTTCCCACTCTACTGCCAATGGAAGGCACTCAAATCTTTTACTGCTTTTGGCCATAACTGGTAACATATTAGCAAAAAAGGCTAATATTTTTTTTTAAGCACTCCATAGCACTTGACCGTTGTACATTTAGGTATAAAGCAGAGCAAAGTTCAAATCTCAAGAATTCTGGTATATTGAGAACTTCTGGATAGTACCAGAAGTGTCCTCATTAATGAGTGTCCTCATTAAGGCACATCATGACAAATCAAAGAAACAGATGCAGTGGTACCTCGGGTTACATACGCTTCAGGTTACAGACTCCGCTAACCCAGAAATAGTACCTCGGGTTAAGAACTTTGCTTCAGGATGAGAACAGAAATCGTGCTCCGGCGGCGTGGCAGCAGCAGGAGGCCCCATTAGCTAAAGTGGTGCTTCAGGTTAAGAACAGTTTCAGGTTAAGAATGGACCTCCAGAACAAATTAAGTACTTACCCCGAGGTACCACTGTACTGTCTCACACGAGTTAGGCATCTTTGGTAGAGGGTTTCATTCTTTAAACAGCTTATTGAAGCCTATAGAAAGTGTGTTGCAGCCACTTAAGGCTGGCCTCATATCAGCGAGACCTGGCTTTGAATTCCCATTGAGAACCAAGCTGCACAACCAAGCTGCTATATCCCCCCCCCCCAGGAAAAGCAGTAAGAGTGACGAGGGGCCCTTTCCCTCCATTCTACATGGTTCCCATTCCTCTTCAGTTGCTATTTGCACAAGAAGAAGAAAATACATGTGACTAGATTGTTCCCATACAGAACAAATGCACCTGGGAGAATACTTTTGATTAAGAAAATGACAAAGAGGGAGAAGGGTTTAACAACCACCCCTGACAATACTCTGTCCCCCATCCCTACCCCAAATGACACCCACCTGCGACTTCATTTCAGTATTTAAAAGATGTCAAGACAGCTAATGAGGAAGCTCCCATGCAATGTCTATTTTTGCCCTCATACATAAAGTATACTGGCTAACCTTAGGATGACCCCAGGTACGTTGTTGGGGGGAGAGAAACAGGATAACTTTATGTGCAACCCTGAATGTTCGGTAGGACAGAAATGTAATAAATATTATGTAATTGAAATAAATGCTACACAAATAAATGGATTTCAAATACACAATAAATACTGCATAATTGAAAACAAAACCTCTTTGCCCTTTGTAATGAACGTTTCTGATATTGTATTTTAGGGTGAAAAGGGAACCACAGGAGATCCTGGGCCCAGAGGTCCATATGGCTTGCCTGTAAGTTACACGGCATCTTTGGAAAGTGCAATTTTCAGAAATCCTTGATTAAATCCTACTGTGTTTTATGACCATTCATCACAGAGAAATGCAATTAGTTTAAGTTGCCCAAGGTCACTGCTCATGAGGCCATCCCTTATCTCAAGTTTAGGCAGTTTCATTCTCTCACATGCATCTATGCATAAATAATAGAGTAGGTTGTGACATAAACTAACAACAATGAGAAAAGCCAGAATTAAAAGTGACCCCCTCTGCGCAACTCCTGCCATTTCCATTTTGCCGTACATGTGTTATTGCTTGTCTCTAGGCACCAGAAAGTAATGGCAGGAATTCAGGTCAATAAAAAAGTCTCAGGATCATGTTGTTTCTCCTTAAATACCTCAAAAGACTCTCCAGTACAAAGGGCAATCAGCTGTCATTTATGCAAAATGCTTTGTGATTCATTTGCATTTTGGGAGAATCTGTTACAGTTTCATGTAGCATCTTCAAAAAAAAAACACCTTGTGCAACTGATTTTGCTGTGTGGAAGGATGGTATCACAATCCATTGAAGGTGATTCTTAATATTTTTGTCCAATACAAGTAGTTTTCCATTGTTTACATATACAGTATAAGGAGAATGCCATATATCCAATATAAAATAATTTTGAAATATGCGTTATTTGCCTTTTGCTTTGTATGAATATCCCAGCATTCAAGTTGATTCTGCAACATTTTATTAAACTTGCAGAAGGATGAAGAATGAGTTGGATCTTAAGGTGTCTTTCTATGCATAGAATTGCTTTTCTTCCAACAGAAGATTCCACTAATGGAAATTAGCAGGGAATTACTCATTCCCCTAGCAGATCTCTAAACTGTCCGGACAGTTTTCAGGTAGATGGATAGAGAGATAGAGAGAGATCTATCTTAGACCTTATGGTATATTATCTTTTGCTTGACACTCTGTTGTTTAGTCGTTTAGTCGTGTCCGACTCTTCGTGACCCCATGGACCAGAGCACGCCAGGCACTCCTGTCTTCCACTGCCTCCCGCAGTTTGGTCAGGCTCATGTTTGTAGCTTCGAGAACACTATCCAACCATCTCATCCTCTGTCGTCCCCTTCTCCTAGTGCCCTCCATCTTTCCCAACATCAGGGTCTTTTCCAGGGAGTCTTCTCTTCTCATGAGGTGGCCAAAGTACTGGAGCCTCAACTTCACGATCTGTCCTTCCAGTGAGCACTCAGGTCTGATTTCCTTAAGAATGGATGCGTTTGATCTTCTTGCAGTCCATGGGACTCTCAAGAGTCTCCTCCAGCACCATAATTCAAAAGCATCAATTCTTCGGCGATCAGCCTTCTTTATGGTCCAGCTCTCACTTCCATACATCACTACTGGGAAAACCATGGCTTTAACTATACGGACCTTTGTTGGTAAGGTGATGTCTCTACTTTTTAAGATGTTGTCTAGATTTGCCATCGCCTTTCTCCCAAGGAGCAGGCGTCTTTTAATTTCGTGACTGCTGTCACCATCTGCAGTGATCATGGAGCCCAAGAAAATAAAATCTCTCACTGCCTCCATTTCTTCCCCTTCTATTTGCCAGGAGGTGATGGGACCAGTGGCCATGAGCTTCGTTTTTTTGATGTTGAGCTTCAGACCATATTTTGCGCTCTCCTCTTTCACCCTCATTAAAAGGTTCTTTAATTCCTCCTCACTTTCTGCCATCAAGGTTGTGTCATCTGCATATCTGAGGTTGTTGATATTTCTTCCGGTGATCTTAATTCCGGCTTGGGATTCATCCAGCCCAGCCTTTCGCATGATGAATTCTGCATATAAGTTAAATAAGCAGGGGGACAATATACAGCCTTGTCGTACTCCTTTCCCAATTTTGAACCAATCAGTTGTTCCATATCCAGTTCTAACTGTAGCTTCTTGTCCCACATAGAGATTTCTCAGGAGACAGATGAGGTGATCAGGCACTCCCATTTCTTTAAGAACTTGCCATAGTTTGCTGTGGTCGACACAGTCAAAGGCTTTTGCGCTTGACACTCTACATGTGTCCAACTTCATAAGGATATATGCTATGCACTCTACATTCATCAAAGTACATTCCATGTAGGAATTTTGTGACATTTTAGTGGAGGGTTCCCAGTTACTTAGGCATCACCAAAAAGGAGGACAGAAGAGGATACTGATTTATATAAAATGTGCATGTGCTAATTTTTATGTATGGATGCAACTTTAGAAATAATGGCAGTAATTTAATTTCTTTTAAAAATGCATCTCACCATAGTGGGGAAGACTGTGGCCAGGTTGCCTGTGTGCCAACTGCTCTCCCTTCCAATGATTCTTTATCTTGGATTGGATAGCCCTTCAGAAAGGGGGCTTCTTCAGATGGAGGACAGTACTCAGACAGCACTTCAAACAGAGACCTATCCTATCCTCCATTAATGTCTGGTTGCAATAAGCAGAGAGAGCAGTCCCCACTCTGTTTCTCTTGTCTCCATGCATACATAAACAATAGTGGCTGGAGTGGTCGAGCTGCTCTCCTGCCTTCCTAATGCATCAGGTTGCTGCCTTTTACTGAGGGGGAGAGGGGAGGGCCAAGGCAGTGGGAGATTGGCGGTCTCCATTCTGGCCAGCAGAGAGTGAGACTGTGAACCCTTCATGTTCCTGTCACCCATCCCCTTGCAATTTCCATTGAAAAACAACCAGTGCTCACACAAGGGCATCGTTCCCTTGGGAACAATGGGATGCCATTGCTCTATCTGCATTCAAAGCACATGTTGGCAAGAAGCCCCATGTGCTAACCACTCAAGTTGTGGGTGGCTAGAGACCTTATTTTGGAAGTATTAAAGAAAAAGATGGAAGAGTGCAGCCCTTAGACTGCCAGCTTCTAGTGGAATCCACTGAAGTGCAGATTTTGAAGCAGACCATTGATCTGATCTGGGTCATGATCTGCCCAGATAGGATAAGGTGAGTCTGCTGTGGAAACCAAGGAGGTTGGATTCCTCCTCCACCTTCTCCATTATTGTCTTTCATTTAAGAGAGCTTGTTGTGCCAGTCTGTGTTGTATACACAATACAGCAGCTGCATGCCTGAATAGTCCTGGCAGACGTCTTACACAAGCTGCGCTAACAAAGCTTAACATAATTAATATGATTCTTTAATAGGGCAAAGATGGCGAACCTGGCCTTGATGTAAGTAATATTTATCATCACTTTATTTGTGTGGTAGGTACATGTTTGTTTTACAGCCATAGTTGCATGCTTGGAGCATGTCGAATTTTCCCCCATTTGTTGTGCATGACAATCATGCAGAGAATATACTAAACATTGCATTGTCGTTTGCCTTTAAAATAATCATAGAGATAGGAAAATAACATTGAAGAGTGTGGAGAAAGCAGTGCTAAGTAAGGGCAGTCTTGTAAATCCCACCATAAATAGTGCCACTCATAAGTGCCTACAGCAACTGCTGCTAACTAGAGCACCTCACAGATGATCACGGAAAGTACTATTATAATTCTCCAGAGGCCTACAGATGCAGCCAGTAGTGCTTGAAAATGTAACCGTATGGGGAGTGTGTGGCATGACACTCCATTTGTGATAGCAGCTCCTTACAAATTTCTGGCCGTTTTCACCATGCAGAGAACATCACTATTGCATGGATAAAAACAGTTGAAAGCTCATGAGAAGCTGTTTAGAGGAACACTTTGACACATGGAGCAGCCTCCATGCAGTTGTGTTTTCAAGCACCACTGAGTGCAGGTTTTGATTTGCAACCGAGTGTATTTCTCAACAGAAGTTGCAGTTGGGACATTCCTGTTACGCAACTTCTTTTGCAGTGTGGGGAGGGAAATAATTGTAACCATTTTGCCTACTTGACTGAAGCACTTCTCTTTTTAACATTGCCAGTGCTAATTTGCATGTAGGAAAATAAGGGTGTCTTTTGCTGGGCATCTTCAATAACTTTCTGGCTATTATGCGCTTTCTAATTTCAAAATCATTTGGTACAGTTTTCTTGGTGTGTGTGTGTGTGTGTGTGTGTGTGTAGATAATTCAGCTACACAATGAAGGCAAGCCCACATACAGAAGCCAATAGAGGTATTTTTGTTCATTTTTTATAGGGTTTCCCTGGTCCTCGTGGAGAAAAGGGTGATGTAGGAGAAAAGGGAGAAAAGGTGACTTCAATGCTATTAACTGTTGTTTGATTACTTAGCCTAGTCAGCTCTTTTGTCCCAGTCCTATAATTTGTCCCATTAAGCTAGACTTTTCATCCTTCTGTGTGCCAAAAGCCATGTCATGGATCTTTGCTAGACAAAGTCATCTGTCAGAATGTGAAAGAAAGCTTCCACCCAGATCCCGAAAGGTCAGCAGTTTCCATAATGGGAGAAGAGAGGCTTTCTCCTCCAAGACTCCTGACAGTCTGTGTTTGTTTATACAGTAGTTACTGACAAGAGACATTGGAGTAGCAACACGGTAGGAGACACTGGGACAGATTGACAGCTTGTGTAAATCAATATAGGTCCATTGGCTTCAATTAAATGGATGCTGTATTTATACCTGGAAAGCATCTGGCTTGTTGCTGAGAAGACGAAAGCTAAACCAAAAACACTTTGAGCTAATCCAGAGAAAGTTGGGTACATTTCAGCTCTCAAAGTGATGGTTAAGCACACAATTAAGGGCTTAACTTTGTTGATGCACCTTCAGTGTGCCTAATTGTCATTGGATTGCTCCCATGTGCCATGATTGATCCTCTCCTGGCCAGTATGGGAGGTCTGGTGCAGGTGCAAATCTCTTGGGGATACAAGGCGAAATCAGATCTCTGTGCAGTTCGTTACGTATACTTCCCTTGCACTGGCAGAGTTCTGAAAGTGAGAGCTCTGGTGTGCAAACAGGCCTCTTGCACATGCAAGAGATTCCCCAATCAGATCAGTGGACAGGACCTCACGAGCCATAAATCTAGTTTCATAAGCCCAGCAGAGCTTTAGGCTCACTTTGCTTAACCAGCAGCTTTCCATGCAAAATGGCAAACTGTATTTGAAACCTAGAAAATTTCAAAAATGGCATGTGACATGCATCTAAACTTAATTAGATAAGGTTGTCATGGGGCTGTCAAGTATTTCTGTAGTCTAGCTATGCCACAGGGCTGCTTAAGATACTTTAGGTGGATCTACAATCTTCTAATGTAGCCAGGAGGAGAAGACCTCCCTGGCCACTTTGAAGGGCTGCCCCTTGAGGACTGTGCAGATGAGCCCCTCTGTGCAGTTCACTGCCTCCTCCAACATCAGAATGCTCACATCCATGAATTCCACACTCTCGCTGGAACATCTGAAAGTTGTAAGCATAAAGGGTCTTCCATGTGATCTGGAACTCTCATCATGTGAGGTTCCAAATTGTGTGGAAGCCCCCAGTGCATGAACAGCTATATGCACGTAGGGACCTGTTTCACTGTTCAGTGAAACAACAGAGGTATGGGGCATAGTCAATGACTATGGCCACCAGTCATGGTCCCACTTTCGCCTTCGTGTGTTCACTGTGAACAAGGAAAGGGGGCTTGTGCACAGGAATGTCCACCCTTCAGCAGAGCACTCAACTTTTCTGGAGTTTTAAAAAAACCAAAAACCCGAACATAGTTATTTTTATATTTTATGTGATTTTAAATATGTTTAATGTAAATCATTTTGAGATTAGAAGAGTGGTATACAAAGGTCTTAAATGAAGACTAAAGGGACCCCTGACCATTAGGTCCAGTTGTGACCGACTCTGGGGTTGCGGCGCTCATCTCGCTTTATTAGCTGAGGGAGCCGGCATACAGCTTCCGGGTCATGTGGCCAGCATGACTAAGCCGCTTCTGGCGAACCAGAGAAGCGCACGGAAATGCCGTTTACCTTCCTGCTGGAGCGGTACCTATTTATCTACTTGCACTTTGACGTGCTTTCGAACTGCTAGATTGGCAGGAGCAGGGACCAAGCAACAGGAGCTCACCCCGTTGCGGGGATTCGAACTGCCGAACTTCTGATCGGCAAGTCCTAGGCTCTGTGGTTTAACCCACAGCGCCACCCACGTCCCAAATGAAGAATGTAGTTAGATTATTATTTAATTCCCTTCTATTAGCCGAACAGCTCTTTGAACCCAAATCAATGATAGCAGCAGCTCTTTGTGAATATTTTTATTACCCATTCAGAGCTGTGGAGAAGGACCATAGCTCAGTGGTAGAGCATCAGTTTTGCATGCAAAAATCCCTCCTTCAATGACTGGCATCTCCAGGTAGGGCTTGAAATATGCCCTTGCCTGAATATCCTCGAGAGCTGCTACTAGTCAGAGTAGACAATACTGATTTAGCTGGACCCAGTGGTCTGGCTTCCTATGTTCTCTGACATTTAAGTGAACAGACTTGTCTATCAGAGACTCACAGATCTTTGTGTTGGGGACATGTTTAATATTAAAATAATCAGCTTCAGCATGTAAGGGCAAGGACAAAGAAATAAGTTAACAGTATCCAGTTTCTGGCATTCTGACAAGTGCTTCTTATGCATTTAACTGGGGGGCAGGGGCTGCAGTGTTTCTCCTGAGCTTCTGCGGCCTTCCCAGGCCCCACCTCAGTTATGTGTAGGTTAGGAATCAATATGTGCCAGGGGAGAAATCTACATGCCTATGGTTCCCCAGCTGTTGGAATCCTTCACAGTCAAGGTTCCACCTCCCAGGGAAGCCTATTACACATAGAGGCCGGTGTTTATAGCTGCTTGTTCCCATGCAGGGGGAAGGTGGGAAACCACAAAGTGGGATAGTACTGTGGCCCTGCCCCCCTGATTCACATGAGGACCACTTCACATGTAAAACCAGGAAACAGAAAAATTTTATCAGCTTCCAACTTAGAAGCATTAACTGCAAACTTAAGAGTGAAAATGAATAGTTATTTAAATCATATTTATCTGAAGAATACCTGTTTCCGTTTCCAAAACTCGGGAACAACCCTGAAACGGTGCTGTAACACAGAAGCTTGTGCCAGTGCCATTGTGGCAGTTGGTTTCCCCTGCATAAGCATTTATTTGCTGTCTCAGCAAGTTTTAGGATGAGGCCATTTTACTTCCTTAGCCAGACCATTGTTTGTTGAAGTCAACGATGGCAAAAACTGCAAGGACAAACTGTATTGATTTCCCCTAGATTTTCTAGGAGTAGGAAATGAATTGAGATTTGGATTGAGATTTGCCTTTAAAATCCATAAATGCTTCCTTGTCCTTTAAACACTACCTCCAAATCTAAATCCTACATAATCCAGGGGGGTGCGAGATTCCAGGCACTTACCGCAGGATTCGTCTTCCTTTGGAATGAGGAGTGGACACTTTAGTGTCTTAGTAGTGATATACGGTTTATTTACACATATAGACAACCTGAGCCTACGATGGAGGGGTTCACAGCATTAACACCCTATAAGGGTCTTATTCCTTCCATAGCTGCAGACTTGGGTGCAATCCAGCATGGCTCCTTCTCTGGCTTCCCTGCCTACAGCTTTTGCATCCAGCTGTTATCTCATATCACTCAACTCTCCACTCTGGCCTTTGTCTTTCTAACTACCAGCGAGTTGATGGGAGGGAGGGAGACCACCCACTTGCCCTCTGGTGCCAAGCCGCTCCCTTTGTTTCCTTGATGGCAAATATTTAAGGCTGCTACTTCACCAGGAAGCTAGCCTGGCCATTGCTTTTGTTATCACACTGAAGAAAAACACAGTGTTCCAAAACAAAATAGAGTTACTTGAATCGTGGTTTTCTGTGTCCCCTAAGTTTCTGAATTGTTTCCCCCTAAGTGCCGCTACGTAACATTTTGGCACACAGACAAGACAGGCGAAATAGCGTCATTCATATGATGTAATACAGTATATCTCTCCATGGAAATGTGTTTGATTCTCATTGGAATGTTTGTCCTATATGCCATAGTATATCATGTGTGTTGTGTAATTTCACTTTTCAAATGCATAATAGTATGATAATTATTATTTTTTACGTTAACTTAAGGTGAGCTTGCAATTGATTTTAAAGTATGTGTGCTCTGCCTAAGACATTGTAACATGAAAAAGAAACTCTAGCAAACGTTTTATATTCTGCTGTAAATGGACGCATAATATTTTTAATGAGAAAATGGGTGAATGTTCATTTCCTTTATGTCAGGGATGGGGAACCTGTGGTCATACAGATGTTGTGGAATACAACTCCCATCAACCCTTGGCCATTGGCCATGCTGGCTGGAGCTGATGGGACTTGGAATCCCATGGAATCTGGGGGACCACAGGTTTTCTAGCCCTACTATGCCTCATCCTAATCCCTTTTCCCCTTTCAGAGGTGCATCCCTCCCTTCTCCTTTTACCTTGTTTCCTTACAATTCATCTTGTCCTTTTTTACCCCTTTTCCTTACAAATTAAATCTTGCCTCCAACCACAGCCTTGACAACCCTTCCTTGGTTGCTCTTTATTTTACTCTACTAATTTTCCTTTTGCTACTTCTCCATCTCTATAATATTCTTGATTTCCCCTCATTGCGTGTGGTGGGTTTTAAAATTAAAACAAACAAGCAAAGAGAGGCACTTTTGGTTTTTGTTAAAAACTGTGAGTGAGCCTGAAACTCATTTACCATTGTGACCATCTGATCATCTGTGAGATCTATTTTAAATTAGTTCTCAGAATGTCTCCCTCTGGCTGAAAATGAAGCCATTTTCTCAGATAGCAATTCAGCCCACCTAAGCACCAAATCAGTTTCATCAAATCTGTGCATTAGCACAAAATTCTGAAATTCCCATAATGCACGCCCCTTAAAAAGCAGCTCCATTTTCAACCACATGGCTGGATTTTTCAGTTTCAAATTCAGGACACATAACTAAGCTCTGAAAGCAATGTTTTAATGAACACGTTCTAATATTGCGTTAGAAAAAGAATGTACATTGCAAAAAGGATCAGAGTATCTTTTGACGAAGAAGATTTCTTTTGAATCCTTTTGCAGGGCAGAAAAAGAGAATACATACTTAATTCTCTAAGTGACTGATGACCCTTTATTGAACTTTTTAAGAATGGGATTAGCAGAGCATATTTGGCCAAGACCCTTTTAGAACTAATGACAAAAACAGTCATTTGGGAACAGAAGCAAATTGACCTCATTAAAATCTACTACAGATTTAGTTCATCTTATTTTCTCCTCTCATTCAGCTTTATTCTGTTCAGTGAAGCTGCACCACACAGATCTATTCAGTCCCTGTTAAGCTGAACTCCATCCTTTGGATAGAGGGAGCATTCCTAAGTATTAAGGTGCAGCTCTCTTAGGACAATAGCTCCCTCATTGGCAAAAAGATCTTATGAAGAGAAATCCCATTTCGGAGCAATGTTTGCATACTTAGATAGATGTGGAATTCATCTATGCACAATGTTTCCCATTCATTTCAGTGGAATGGGCAGTTCCATCTGTACAAAAAAGGCATGAATTTCCCTCAGGTGCAGTTTACATTGCACTACATTGGAAAGGGGAGTGACTTCTCTGTGCTCTGTGGCTCAGTCCCACACAACACTAAGAGTCTGTGCACATAGGTGAAAAGGGTGTGGCTGGGGCAAATGTCCCTGCCCCTGCAAATATCCCTGTCCCTGGGAAAAACAGCATTTTATTGGGAAAGAACCGTGAGAAAGCGGCTCCTCAACCAAGGTAAATGCACTGAGCCTTGCTGAATGCGTTGGAATTTGCATGTCTTCACGAGCAGGCTGATCGGGGTGGATTTTATCTGAAGGCACTTTCAGGTGCCTCTTTGAGTCAAATGACCAACAAAGCATTCATGCTTTCAAGCCCTGCTCTAGGATTCAAAGTGTTCATAATGATGACATCAGTACGGAAGCTCAGTAAAACCCAACTGATGCAGTTGTTGCTTATGATCACCATTTATTTTTCCACATAATGCATCATGCAAAGTAGAACACAGTGGTAAGTGTCCTTTCAGCCCTCCATTGGCTTAAAAAAATATCTTTTAAAGCATCTCTCTCTTTTTTCCCCTGAAAAGAATGAAACATTTGTTTTGTCCAAACCATTGTGTCCACAGGGGGAAAAGGGAAAGAAAGGCAAAAAGGGGCCTAAAGGGGAGAAAGGAGAACAGGGTGCCCCTGGATTAGATGCACCTTGCCCATTGGTACGTCTCACTTGTGTATTGGACATGTCTCCTCATACAGTAATATAGTAGGTTGCTGCAATGTGAGGAGGAGCAAGCTACTGATATTGTCTAATCATGCTGGTATCCAGCTGGTATTCAGACCAAAGGATCCAATTGCCCATTTAAAGAAATGGTGACATTTCGTCTAACTCTTTCTCAAAAAAGTGAAGATTTTAAAAATAGAATAGATATTAACGGCAAACATTTCCATAATTTGTGGTATAATAATTTGCAATTATTAGCTATATTTTGTCATACAGGTCACTTGCTCTGATACGTGGCTTGTTTCTGAGAAGCAAAATGCCAACATTATAACCCTCCTGTTAGCTTGCTCCTCCTTCCTTCTTTGTTTATTCCAGCGAAGTCAATGCAAAATATATTTCTTAGTAACGTTGCAAGTTAATCTTTACAAACAGGGATTCCGAGGAATTAAGGGGGAAAAAGGGGAGCCAGGCCAGCCAGGCCTGGATGGGCTGGATGCCCCTTGCCAATTGGTACAGTATTGCTCTTTCCTACCAACCCGCATGCAATTCCTGTGTTTCTAGTCAGTTGTTTCCAATGTAAAGTTTAAACTGACCAGACTTTACATTTACATGTCCCTGTACATGCATGTGCATGATCAAACTGGCTGCTTTGGTGATCGTAACAGTATCCAGAGATCACAACATCCTATCAACATCTGCAACGTAACACTAAGCACTTTGCGCCCGCCACCATACAATGATTCTGAGTTTGTTTTATTCCAGCATTGACAATAAGTGTAATTCCCACCCACCCTACTTCAGGATTGCTTGTCTCTCTCCCCATCCTCACCACCACCACCAAAATGTGTTCTATCCCTACTTACAAGAATGAAGTTGCCCTCTTTGCTGACACAAACCAGATATATAAACCACAGGACTGCCCAATTTAAAGAATGTATCACTTTTATTCTCGCCCTGCACATTTTATCTTAGCTCATTCCTGAACATGTTCTAAACTTTTAAGTATTCAGACTGCTTCTGTGGCTTTTCTTTTTAAATTTAGCAAGGGTACTATATATGCATAGGCAGGGGGAGGAACTAATCTCTAATCCAAGCCACTTTAATGCGAAATCATTTTTTATTCCCTGCAGTAATATTAATATGGTAGCTCCACTGTGTACACCAGGGGTAGTCAACCTTTTTATACCTGCCGCCCACTAATGCATCTTTCTTGATGGTAAAATTTCCTTACCGCCCACCAGTGCTCAATGGAAGGGGGATTCAGCTTGTGCCATAGAACCCCCTACCACCCACCTAGAATCCTGAAATGCCCACTAGTGGGCAGTAGGGACCAGGTTGACACCCCTGGTATACACGGACACCCCACTTCAGTAAGCACTTGTGGGCACTGGAATTCAAGCGCACCTATGTGTTCTTGTTCATTCATTACATTTATACCCCCACCTTTTCTCCAGGAAGCTCAAGGCAGTATACGTGATTTTCCCCCTCCTCATTTTTTCCCCTTGCAACAACCCTGTCAGCTAGGTTAGATTGAGAGACTGTGGCTTACCTTAGTCACCCAGTGATCTCCTAGACCGAGCAGGGATTTATGCTCTGGTCTCCCATATCCTAGTCCAGCCCTCTGACAACTGCACCACACCTTGTTAACTTCAGTAGACGTTATAGCCTCATTCATACTCTTCTGTTTAAATGAAAGGGAAAATACACACACAGGGAGGAGCTCTGTTAATGCACAAAGGATCAAGACCATGGGCTCTAATGTGTACCTTATCTATTGGACAACAGAGCTGCTCCAGTCTGTTCTATGCTAACAGAGTTTTCTGCGCATGTATGAGTAAAGATAGTCCCCTGATACTGTTAGTGAGAAATGTTTTTTGATGTATTAGAATAGACACTTTAATCAAAATCCTCCATGGAGCTCTCTACTGCTGCCAATGTTAAAAATATGGAGACAATGGTATAGGTTTGGGGTTTTTGCTGTTGTTTTTTGCCTAAAATTATATAGGCATTTAGGATGACTTGGAACTAGTCTTCAGGACCTCACTAATGTGTCTGCAGTCCCTATGAACAGTTCCACTCTTTTATATTGGAATGCTACACACATCTGAAAGTGAACTTCTCAGACATTTGTAAGGAGTTAATGGCCTGCAGCCCCAAGCCCTCACTGTCTTTGTTTCTTAAATGTTTCCAGTGTAACAGTCTTTCCTTTGAAACTTAATTTCCCACAATATACACAACAGTTCCCAACTTTATGTTAGCATGAGTTCAAGCTCCTACCTATACTAAAATTCTACTCATCGATCCCTCTCCCTTGTACCAATCTGGCAACACTCTTTATTTTCATTATTATCAAAATATGATTATTATTATTTTTTCATTTTAAAAATCAACATTATTTACACATTTCTAGAAAATGCCAAAGGCTTTTTAATGGTTAGCAGTTACAGCTGATCTGCATGTTCTGATACTGTTTGTATAGTTTAAGCACGAATGTTAAAGTTAAGTAGGTTTTATTTCAAGCACAATGTTTCTAATCTAAGTTATCAAATGAATATTTATCTGACTACACAGTCCATGTTATATTTGGTTTGCCTCTGATTAATGATAACTTATAGTTCATGTATTTGGTTGCAAGTAAATCAAGCATGCCTTCATGATTTTTAAAGGGGGGGGGGAATGTTTGCAGTATCATTTCTGTCTGGAAGTAAACGGAAGGCAGGCAGCTATAGGACAAACTTAATAGCCACTAGCAGTGTTGTTGCTGTTTGCTCAAATTATTGAAGATCTCCCAAAAGAAAATTTGTTGGCATATAGAAAATCCAAGAGTAAATTACAGAACTACCTTGACCTTGAATTGGGCCCACTCACCAATTATTCCAATATTTCCACTTAGACAATGGAACTGCCCCTCCTGTTCCTCTACCCACATGTCTCCCATGTTCTTCCCAAATCTGCTCCAGAGGATTGGGGAAATACCAAGGACAGATGTGGGGGTGAGGTGGGGAGAGGAGAAGAGAAGAAAGGGAAGTTCCATTAAACAACCAAAATCCTTGCACTAGTGGTAGGAAGCACTCAATTGGCTACTGTCCAATATATTTTAAAAGAATAATAAAATGACTTGTCACTGTGGACATGTTTGGCCAGCTGCCTAGTGAATAGAAAATGTATTTAAAATGGCAATCCTGTTTGCCCCAGTGGTTCCCAGCATGCCCACACCAGCTCAGGCACTAAGATGGGGCCTGTTTGCTCCAGCCCCTCATCATCTGCCACTTTCTGATTCCATTGAGGCCAATGAGGATGGTAGAACTTATATTCAGGTACTCTGAAGCCCTGTGCCAGGGGTCAGCAAATTTTTTCAGCAGGGGGCCGGTCTACTGTCCCTCAGACCTTGTGGGGAGCCGGACTATATTTTGAAGAAAAAAATGAACGAATTCCTATGCCCCACAAATAACCCAGAGGTGCATTTTAAATAAAAGCACACATTCTACTCATGTAAAGACACGCTGATTCCCGGACTGTCTGGAGGCCGGATTTAGAAGGCAATTGGCCTGGATCTGGGCCCTGGGCCTTAGTTTGCCTACTCATGCCCTATGCATATATTACTCATGCGGAGGGAAACGTTGCAGTCATACCTTTAGCCCCTCTCTTAAAGTCACATCTGCTTCTTCCAGCCACTCTGCATTGCATGTGGTTCTCTGTGAAGCAACTTCAAATGCATGAGCTCCTGCACATGCGTAAGGGCTTCACATGATCAGGACACCCTTCCCACTGACTACTAGTCATGATGGCTGTATTATGGCCAGTATCAGAGGCAGGATGTCTCTGAATACCAGTTGCTGGGGAATCACAAGAGGGTAGTGTTGTTGCACTCATGCCCTCCCTTACGGGCTTTTCATGGGCATCCGATAGTCCACTGTGGGAACAGAATGCTGGTCTGTTCTGATCCAGGACTCTTCTTACATTCTTACTGTTTCTGTGAATTTAATTTTCATTGGTTTTCATGTAGAGAGTTTTAATTCTAAACACGTTCTTACTGAAAATAAACCAGCATGTTTGGGTTTCGCTAGCCTACAGCTGAATTGATTTACTCCCGGGAGAGTAATTCCAGATAGAAATGATACACTCTTGCTCATGGAAAGATTATTCTGAATAGTTTTGTCATTTTCCAAGCCTATCCTGTCCTGCCTAAATGGACTAACTAGTCCAGTTCAACTCTACAGTTGATCCAAGGCAGTGAACTGGTAAAGGCCACCTACAACATCCTTCTTGCTGCATTGGAACTCTAATTATCCTTCCATTACCACAATTACATATGGATCAATGGAAATCTCAAAGCCACAAATAAATTTGCATGAAATAAGGCACTTGTTAATCTTTAAAGTGTTCCTATGGTGGTTAATTGTTCTTCAGAAAATCCAAGGAACACAGGATTATGTGTGTTAAGAGAATCTTCATGCATCCCACCCATTCTTCTGCTGAATGTTTCAATCTTACTTATCTTCCTAAACAAGTTTTCATTTGTGAGATATGGAATGGTGTGGGTGTGGGTGCTTGTTGAGAGATGTTGTTAAACCTTAATCATGAACTTTGTTCTTCAAACAGGGACCAGATGGCTTACCAATGCCTGGCTGTTGGCAAAAGGTGAGGTGCTGAAAATCATCTTGTATGTCCACTTTTTATTAGGCAAATTAAGTTTGGACAATCAAGGGGAATGGCAGAATATTATCAAAATGCTTAGACTGTAGAAAGGAAGATTTTGCCAATTTCCTCTAGACTTTCACACTGTTCTCGGGGGGAAATAGCGGGAAGGGGGAGTCAGTCCAAACTGTCCCATTTCCCACTCATGGGAGATCAGAGACGGCTCTTCATTCAGCACATTACTTAGTTGAAGCAGACATTTGAGCTCATTACTAACCTTGCCAAAATGTTGTTTCTTTGTTTTTGTTTTTTTGCAGTGATGAATCTAACTTTGCAAGCATGAAGTTGTGTATATAACACTCCGCTCTTGTATTTATAGTTGAAAATGGAACCATTGATTTTACAAGTCTGAAATATGTTTACACGTAGCTGCTTCTACTTGTTTGCAGTAGTCCATGTGTACCTCTATTCTTCACATACATCTGCAATTCAACAAAATATAAACTGCAACCAACTTGCAAAATCAAGTATTAGTCTCTATACAGAGTTAATCTTTACAGAGTGATCACTCATAGACATTTGAGTTGTTTCTGCAGTTTTCCAGTTTTTTCTTTGTTTGTCTTCTTTTGGGCCTGCATGGACAACAAGTGCCATGAACTAGTTTACATGAAACTGTGACCAAATATGAGCTCAGTGCTATGAAACGTACTGTACCCGATTGCCATTGGAATACAGTGACTTGGCTTCCATGTTCACCTTCATCAATCCTATCACTGGTTCATAGCTCACATATTTGCTTGTGCTGACTAAAATCAGAAGCATGACTCGTGTGCCAAAACAGCTTGTTGTGTGATCATCCCCATGAGCTACAATGGTTGCTTGCTGTGACTTTTAATTCAGACACCTGAATTGTTCTTTTTTGTCATCTCAAGGGAGTCACACCATGGCTTATTGCAAAAAAATGATAAGAGGAGGAAATTAAGACAATGGTCTTGAATTTGGAGGGAGCTGCAGTTCCTTCCAGCGGTGGATGGCTTTCAGTCTTCTGGGTTATGAAGCCACCTTTGTCAAAAGGGTGAAACCTCTTCATCAGCCTCTGTTTGCTTGCACTCCTCGCAGTCACAAGCCAATCAAATTGGGTGGATTTCAACACTAGTCCCTGTTGACTATTTAACCAAGGAGGAAAGAAGCATGAAGATCTTGCTTTGCGAGTAGGTAGATAAAGCTGCAGAGAGATACCAAAAGGATCATTTGATGATAGGTCTGAGTATCAACATGGCCATTTTCAAGGATTGGTGCAGTATTTGTTTCACATACTGTACTGCATTTTGAGATTTTTGAAGGCACGTATTCTTGACAAAAGATACCGTGAAATGCCTAAAGCAATGGAACAGACATGACTGTAGATGGCTCGCCATTTGAATTTTAGAAGTTCCTGATGAAATATCAAATGCTTATAGGATTTTGGAAAAATATATTTTATTTTATTTGTGTTTCAGTTCGCTATCATCCAGCAGATACATGCTTCCTGAAATTTAAGTTCTGAAAAATGCACTTGTGTTCAACTTCTTTCAGTGTTGTCTTTTTTTGGATCTATAAGGTCTTGACTGCTGCAAAGCAGGGATTTGTTTCTTTTTAATTCACATGAACTCATTTATTCATATACCTTTTTTTCCTTCTGCAGTTGTCCTGTTTTGGGGTTCTGTAGCCCAAAGAGTATGCAATAGGGAAAGAATATTACATGACAGTAACAGCAACATTTTTATCTCAAATGTATAATGAATTCCATCTGAATTTTAGACTGCAATCCTGTGCATTCTTCTCTGGGACTAAGACCCATTGAATTCAGTGGAACTTCTGAATATGTTCCGATTGTGTTGCATATTGCTTAAAAAAACAGCTTTCATTTCTCTATTTTGGACACATCTGCTTAACGTTCAAATCTTTAGACTTGTATTCATAAAGTACATTTGTAGACACCCCGAGAAACTAATTTATGTTGCATTTTTTACTTTGCTTTAAAAAAAATCATTGCCAGTGTTGAAATGGTGATTAAACTTCTATGTACATTCATAAAAAGTCTGACCAAATAAGAGATTTCATACATGTGTGAAATAATGTGAGGAAGACATGATCATGTGTTTCTGGAGACAAGCATCAGTTGCTCCAGAAATGTCATGTGCATCACCTCATAATGATTCCATTTCCAAATAATGGCTACTTTGGACATCACACTAAACCATTGTTTAGCATGATGATAATATGTTGCAGCAAGCCTTGGGCTCATGCACCTCCTCTGGTACATGTGCAAGGAGAACAGATGCTTACATTTTCATTTTAGATGAACTGCATTATAGTGTGCTACCCTATCCTTAAAGTATGGCTAATCTTAAGTGCATATTTAAGATTAACCACAGTTTGTTTAGGACTTTGAGCATCAATACAAGCTGCAGTTAATCTGAAATTGGAGTGCACACTTCAAAACTCCTCCTCACTACTGTGCCAGGGGACAGAGTAGAGTGCCCAAACCCAAAGCTCACCAAAGATCATTGTCATCACAATAAACTATCATGTCTGAACCATACCATTAGCTTAGTACAGTACTGCCTTCTGCCCATGAATCAATAGTATCTCCAGAACTCCTTTGTACTTTTACTTCGGATTTCATTTTCATAATGTTTCATTTTCATTTCAGATTTCATTTTCAGAATGTCAAAACCATTTAATGAAAATAATATCCCCCCCCCAATTCAAAACTTCCTTTCCCACGCACCCCAAAGAGCTGGGGAAATTTCTGTTCAACAATAACTGCTTTAATGCTGAAGCTTTTGTCTTAATAGTTCTAACAAATATTTTGCCAAAGTTTCAGTGATGGCCTCTGAGCAGCAAGGGAAAAGAAAGATCAGGTGCTCAGGGACTGAGAAAAAGGATGCTGTCTTTGCTAACTGTTTTATCGGTTGTTGCGATTCTGTTTTAATTTTTATTGTAAGCTGCCCTGTGTGTGTAGAAAGACAGGATTTAAGCATTTTAAATAAATGAGATAAGTCGTATTGATCTGCATGTGTGTGCACACAGGTGTACACACACACTAACATTAATGCACACATGCAAACAAAGCATATCTTAATCTTTGAACAATTTATCCACCATGCAAGAAATTTGTTATTGCTTCCCAACACATTTAATGCATAATTTTAAATATGTTATGATGTCAATATTCATAACCAATCTCAGTATGTAGAAATGGAGCCTGTCAACTCCCCGTGTACATTCCAATGTACATTTTTATTAGTTTGTATTTCAGATTATTAAGGCACAAGTGTCTCCATTTATCCCTCTTGTGATTTAAAACAAGAGGGTTATGAGCCTTCCTTGTCTGACTACAGAAGGTTCCCTACAGGACTAAACAGAGCCATTTCCCCACCCTAGCACTCATGCAATGCACAGATGCACACAGAGGCAGTGTGTCAAAAAAGAAGAATGTGTGAGCTCTTCTCATGTTCCCATTTAACTCTTCCTTTCCACTTGGTCAAATTATGCTAGATCTGAAATGTGAACAAGTGGAGTGGGGAGGCTGGATCAGATGTAAGGGCTACACACAAACCTGTAGCATTTCCTGTAGTGTCCCAACATGTGGCTTGCAAGCAAACTTGCCAAAGGTCACAAAATGGAGCTCCATTGACCCCTGTGTTGAACCCTTAACACACATTTTCAATCCACTTTAAATGAGCTAACAATGGGGTATCAACCACTAATTTTAGAGTGAAATTAAGTTCATGAATGGTGTCTTTGTAAATTAATAAATTTGCATGCCACCCTACTTTGCTCTAGCTGCCAACCACTCATTGGCATACAGATCAATGTAACATGTGATTTTATATAATCACAGAAACAGCTGCCCGCAATTCCCATTGTGGTCACCAGTCATTTTGATATATCTAGCAACAGACAGGTATGTCCCGTTTGAACTTCAGAAGAAGGGAACCAGTGGTCCTCCAGCTGTTGCTGGACTACAACTCCTATTTACTGCTAACCATTGGCCATGACAGCTGCGGCTGATGGGACGCAAGTCCGACAACACCTGGAGGGCTACTGGTTCTGTACGCCTGCCTGAGTTGGTTTTTGTATTCTTTCTTTCCCTCACTTATTGCTCCATGAGTTTGGCATACATCTGCTTAGAACTGGCCATTCAGTCATCTTAATTCTTACCCATTGTAATTAAAATGCTTTTGCTTGTTAGCAAGAGCCCATTCCAGTTTGATAACGCCATCCTAGTAGAACTACATTGTGATCTGATAAGTCAGTTTGTGAGTTAGCAAAATAGTGTCTGATTTTTAAAAATATCTGTTGCCTGATGAAAGTGCAATTGTGCTCATTCTAGCCATACAATCACTTTCGGAAGACATGCAGTGCCTTTTGTGTTGATCTTTGACAATTATTTTGGTGCTATTTTTTCTTCTTATTGTGTGTCTCTAGTGTAGCTGTTTATGTTTTGCTGCCGCAGGTTTCCTTTGCTTAAAATCTGCAGGTTTGTTGGCGGTGTGATCTTTTTTCTTTCAGTTCAAACATTGGACACAGCTTGAGTTTACTTAAGTTCTGCAACTCCAGCTTCTTGTTTCTGTGATTATTTTTCTTTTGCTGTCCCACCCCCCTCAACACACACCTCCCTGCAATATTTATTTGGTGTCCGTCCTCATGGGTATCTTGTACTCAACAAAGAAACAGCATGCCTGCAACCAACATGTTTCAGATTAATAATAATAATAATAATAATAATAATAATAATAATAAATTTTATTTATATCCCACCCTCCCCAGCTGAAGCCGGGCTCAGGGCGGCTAACAACACTAAAACAGTGCAACATTATAAAGACATTATAAAAATTAATTAAAATACAAATTGATGGCAACCATAAACTAAAGTTTTGTAAAGATTGCCAAAGGAGGGAGTCAGGCTGCGCCCTGACCAAAGGCCTGGTGGAACAGCTCTGTCTTGCAGGCCCTGCGGAAAGATGTCAAGTCCTGTAGGGCCCTTGTCTCTTGCGGCAGAGCGTTCCACCAGGTTGGAGCCGCAGCCGAAAAAGCTCTGGCTCTAGTTGAGGCCAGCCTAACCTCTCTGTGGCCTGGGACCTTCAAGATGTTTTTATTTGAAGACCATAAGTTCCTCTGTGGGGCATACCAGGAGAGGCGGTCCCTCTTTCGCTCCATAAATGGAGAAGCTGCTTTCCTTTAATTTCCATAAACTGAGGAATTGTATCTTCCAGGGTGCTTACAGAACAGATAATTGCAAGGGATGATGTAGGACCACAGTTCATAATGAAGCATTCATTTCTCTAATCTGTTTGTAATTTTAGAATAACAGAGAGATGTTATAGAGAGGTTGAGTGATGTCATGTTCCATATTGTGTCTATAAGAGGCTTAGATGCAATCAAACTCATCCAGAGGTTTCAACTGTGTGCCCAAAGATCTCCCAACTATTTTCCTACGCTGTTCATTTAAATGGAGGGTGAATTCATGTTTTCACAAGTTGTGTGTGCAGACTTTCCATTGAAGTTAATGATCATGAAGGAGCTCCATGTGTGCCTCAAAGCACCCAGGGCTCTTGAAATAGAGCTGTTGCATTTCTTCTCACTGTCAAATGACTTTTCTTTATGTTTGCCTATGTATCATGCTATAAAGACTTGAAATGTATTGTTCTTCATCGTCAGTATTATGTACAGGCTTGAAAGTATTTTAGTTTTATATGGGACTGGAAAGATATCTATTAGGCTTTGCTGTTGCGTTACTGTTTAATTTTGTTGTTTCTGGGTTGTTGCTTTCAATTAAGGGAACCCAGAGGTGGAATTTTGACTTTTGGTGCAATAAAAATGCCCCAAAATGTTAATGCTGGCTAAGAACAGGCAAGAGGCGATCCAGTAACATTCTTGTAGGTTCTGAATTTATTCGCCGTACAGAACTGCTGGATGCAACTCTGGTTTACATAGGGCATTGTTAACTATGAGAATACATGGTTGGATTTATTTTGTATAATGGAATTGTTCTGTGTAATTATTTTTTTAAGAATAAAAGCTACAAGAATGGGTGCACTCTTCTACAAGAGAATGAGGTTTTTGATGACATGTGTTTTCTTTGCAAGCTTTCTAAGCTCTGTTACTTGACTGTCATACAGTTATATCTGTATCTTTTTGTTTTACCTAAAAAGAGACTTTTCCTTTTCACACCAAAAACTACATTGAAATAAATAAATAGAATAAAAACACAAGTTGTGTCAACATGGTCTCCAGGAGCTTTGAACAATGAGACCTAAAGCTGCTAAGAGAAACATCTTTCTTTCTTTTTTCTTGTGTGGCATCTCAGTATCAGTCTGAATGGTCCAGTGCTATGAAATATACAATTCATTTCTGAAACTGCCCGATGATTGGCTAAACACTGCCGGGGTGTGTGTGTCACATTGATTTCTGATCACTGGTGTCTGACCATGTGACAAGATCACCAAAACAGCAAAATGGATGCTAAAAAGGATGAGGTTTCTGTAATACTGGGAGTGTGTTTGCATTTTTAAAAAATATTGATATTTGAAATTCATCCTGTTTACTATGCTGCTCAGAAATAGAATTGTCTTTCCTTGGATTAACAGGGGGCCTTATTCCAGCCAGGGACCTTCAGTGTTTACCTTTAAACATTTTTGCTGAAAATCCATCTAAATCTACTCAGTCACACTTGGTACTGCTTTGAGATAATTTGGAAGCATTTGATTGGGAGAGGGATTTATTTTAAATGTTGTTAATGTTGGCCACAATCCTTTGTCCAGCTCTGCAGGGCATCTCCAATAAAATGAAAGGGTGCTACACAATAATACTGTTGCACACAATCCCAATCTCCGAGTAGTGCAAGAGTCCAGGGGTTCCAAGCACGTATTACCCAGGGTTTGTGTTTCCTTTTGGAATGAGACACAGCAGATATATATAGCCTGAGCCTACGATGGAGGGTTTCACAGTATTAACACCTCAAGAGGGTCTCACAGAGCTGCTTTCCTTTGGTTACCAGGAGGCTAGCCTTGCTTGTCCAATAATTAGAACCCTTGATTAAATATTAACACTTGCTCAATCCAGGGATTTAGTGGGGTCTGGCATACAGCTTAACTCCCCATACTCAGACCAATACTATCAAAGCCTTATGCAACTTTCATATTGGAGCTTGTACAGGAGAGCTTCCCAATGGATTTTGCCCATTCATTGTGGATATTTTTTCTGTTGTACATGTTTGGGAAGTGTAGTATAATGCAACCTGGTAACAATTTTTAAAGGTGTATGTATCTGATCATTTTTCTTTTTGGAAAATATTATATTTTTAATTTGCGTTTTTTACTTTTTTTAATTGACCTGTATGTGCAGTTATTTTGATATTTCATAGCAGTCTTTCTTAAAAGAAGATGATGAGATTTGGAGTGAATTGTCACTGTGGGAAACATTACATGAGTCATTCTCATATCACATATTCTGAGTGTCATTTCACTGTAAAACTATGGCTGTGTAAATAATTTCAAGGCTTAAATCATCACTTTTGATTTGTTATACATTTTTACTTAAGTGTGGCTTCTGGTTCAGACATAATTCAATGCTGAGCCAAATGAAACAATATGAATTACTTCTTTTCTTTGTCAAATTCTCCTGGTTTCTCCTGTTCTTTACAGTTTTAAAATTGTACCTGTTTCTTTGAGTTTTGTATTTGGTTTTTGTTCCTAGCTTGTGAGAAGTTGATCTTCAGAATTATTTTTACACTATTTATGACTTATTTTCATAATGTAAAAAGTGTGTAATTATTAAACTCTTAATCTTACTATTGAGGGTGTTTTGTGTTTTCTCTTTGCTCTCCCTGAATTGTAAAAACAAGCTTGCCGTTTCAGAAAAGGTACCCTTTGCACAGTGCAGTTTCTGTGATAGTGTCTTTCTAAATGATCAACTATTTAAAATATTAATCTGAAGAAATAGTTGGCTTAAATACCAATATTTTATTCCAGATGGTCTTGAATATATTGGCCAGTGTTTGCCTCTGCCTAGCATATGAAATTTCCAAAACACTAAAACCTTCCATTTAAGAGTGTTCTTACAAATTTACTCATGCACCAAACAGCATGGAAACTGCAAGAACTCAACTTATTCCTGCTGCCTGCTTCTTAACTGGTTAACTGAGCCACAAAAATCCTTGCCTTAATAGCCCATGACCGCTAAATTTGCTCAGGAAAATGCTCTAAAATCACTGGAACTTGGGTTACCCCTCGCCTTGAGGGGACCCAGCATCACATGATGCGTTCTGCCCCCGCCCAGTGGCAGCAGGGGATGGGGAACACAGAGGGTGATCTTCACACTCCATGCACCCACCCTGCCCGGCTTGGCCCCCTCCCCACAAATGTTGAGGGGATCGAAGCCCCTTCTGCCCTCTATAGTTGGTGCCCCAGCCTCTGTCAGAAAGGTTTCGAAACCATTTCTCAAACAACAAACTCCAAAGGCTTTTTGCTTTCTTGTACTTTTTGGACCATGCTGCATTCTAAAACTTTCATCTTTCGATCAGAGACTTGGAAGAACAACTAGCATTCAAGCAGTGTGCTGCTGCCTGTTGTTCTGCTCTTTTAAATAGCTCTTCTCCACAGGGTACTTCACATATCAGTGTGCACAAAAACCACTCGTGCTTCACAGCATCTTGAATTTAATCTAAGTTCTGTAAATTTACAATGTTCTGTGATAGAGATTCCGCCTCGAAAAACTTTTATATTTTATTTTACTCAATACCCCTCATAGACTGCCATCTAGCGGTTCAGTCATACAAACACTTTTCAAAACTCAAGCAGATATGTTATTTTGATTTTTCCTACTACTGACCCAATGCGCCTTTCTTTTTAAAAGGGAAAGGGGGGGAAAGAAAACCACAG